CGGACTGAAGGGTCCCAGGTTCGATTCCAGTCAAGGGCGTGTACCTTGGTTGTGGGCACATCCCCAGTAGGAAGTGTGCAAGAGGCAGCTGGTCAATGTTTCTCTCTCGTCGATGTTTCTAACTCTCTATCCCTCTCTCTTCCTCTCTGTAAAAAATCAATAAAATATATTAAAAAAAGAAAGCTGGTGGGCTTACATTAACAGGTAGGAAGGAGACATGCAGACATCTCATCCTTTTCTTTTAGGGGCACTATTATACTTAAAAGGGGTATTTTTAAAATATATTTTTATTGATTTCAGAGAGGAAGGGAGAGGGAGAAAAAGATAGAAACATCAATGATGAGAGAATCTGCAGCCCCTCACTGGGGATTGAGCCTGCAACCCCGGCCTGTGCCCTGTCTGGGAATTGAACCATTATCTCCTGGTTCATAGGTCAGTGCTCAACTACTGAGCCACGCTGGCTGGGCTGGGGTGGGTATTTTTAATTTGGTACAGCTCAGGACTGAAGAAACTTAAAGAAAAAACAATCAGCTTTGAAAGTGAATTTCAGTGAAATTCTGAAAGCTCTTGCTCACTAAGCTAATGTCATTATCTGAGGACCCTAAGACTCACTCTCAACTAGAATGAAATTTGAACAGATCTCTTTAAGGAAGAAAGTGACGGCTTACATAAAATGACAGTGTGGCTGAGACTGGTTTGGCTCAGTGGATAGAGCGTTGGCCTGCAGACTGAAAGGTCTCAGGTTTGATGTCGGTCACATCCCCAGTAGGGGGTGTGCATGAGGCAGCTGGTTGATGTTTCTAACTCTCTATCCCTCTCTCTCTTCCTCTCTGTAAAAAATCAATAAAATAACCGAAACTGGTTTGGCTCAGTGGTAGAGCGTCAGTCTGCGGACTGAAAGGTCCCAGGTTCGATTCTGGTCAAGGGCATGTACATTGGTTGCGGGCACATCCCCAGTAGGGGGTGTGCAAGAGGCCGCTGGTTGATGTTTCTCTCTCATCTACGTTTCTGGCTCTCTATCTCTCTCCCTTCCTCTCTGTAAAATATTAATAAAATATATATTTTTAAAAAATCAATAAAATATATTTAAAAATAAAATGACAGTATGGGCATATGATAAGAGCTGACTCTTCTCAGTGCTTACTCTGGGATTAGGCATTGTGCCTTGTAAGAACTCAGTAAGGTAGGTGTTTTTTATTGATCTCATTTTATAAGGGAGCAAACTGAAACCAAGAGAAATTAAGTAACTCATCAAATAGTATATTGGTACATTAGTTTTATGTATTACATAGAGCACATACATACATTGATTTTTAAATATCTTTATTGGGATGTAATTCACTTTGCAATTCACCTATTAAGGTGTATTATTCAGTGTTTTTTAGTATATTAATTAAGTTGTGCAATCATTACCACTGTCAAATTCCAGAACATTTTCATTACCCCCAAAAGAAACCCTATACCCCTTAGTTACTCCCCCATTTCTTCCAATCCCTTCAGCCCCAGGCAACCGCTAATCTACTTGTTATCTCTATAGATTTGCCTATTTGATTGAACCCACAGTCTAGGTGTGTGCCCTGAATGGGAATTGAACCACGGCTTTTTGGTGTACAAGATGACACTTCAACCAACGGAGTCACCCAGGCAGGCACAAATGGTATTTGTGTATTGCTCTTGTGTCCTGCAATCTTACTGAGCTCATTTATTAGTCCTAATAGTTTTTAAAGGGATTCTTTAGAATTTTCTATAAATGAAATTATGTCATCTATGAACAGAGATAGTTTTACTTTTCCCTTTTATTTCTTTTTCTTGCCTTATTGCCCTCGTTAGAACCTCCAGTACAATATTGGATAGATGTGGTGAAAGAGAACATCTTTGTCTTGTTCCTTATCTTGAGGGGAAAGCATTTAGTCTTAAACCATTGAGTATGATGTTGACTGTGGGTTTTCATAGACAGAGGCTCTTTGAGGAAGCTCCCTTTATTCCTGGTTTGTTTAGTGGTGGTTGTTTTTATCATAAAGGGGTATTGGATTTTGCCAAATGTTTTTTCTGCATTGTCTTAGTCTGTTTGGGCTGCTGTAACAAAATACTGAGCCGTTTATAAACAATAGGAATTTATTCGTCACAGTTCTAGAGGCTGTCAGTCTGAGATCATGGTGCCAGCAGATCCTGTGTGATAGCTGGTGAGGGCTCTCTTCCTGGTTCACTGTAGGAGCCTTCTCACTGTGTCCTCACTGAGGCCTCTTTTGTAAAGCCACTAATTCCCAACTCCATTCCCGAGGGCTCCTCCTCATGACCCAAGTACCTCTCACCGGCCCCACTTCTAATGCCATCATCTTTGGAGGTTAGGATTTCAACATAGGAATTTTTGGGGTAGACCACAGCGTGCATTTATTGAGATGATTGTGTGTGTTTGTTTTTTTAATTTCATTCTATCGATATGATGTATTATATTAATTGATTATCATATGTTTAAACCATCTTTGCATATATGAGATATCATTTGGAAATCCCCTTTCATATGTTACTGAATTTGCTTTGCTACTATATTATTTTTGCATCTGTTTTCATAAGAGGTAGTGGTCTGTTGGTTTTCTTTTTTTATGATGTGCTTTTTATCACGATAATACTGGGCTTATAGCCTGGCTCAGGGGTTGAGTGTTGACCTATGATTTAGGAGGTTACTGTTCGATTCCTGGTCAGGGCACATTCCCAGGTTATGGACTCAATCCCCAGTTGGAGGCAGTCAATCGATAATTCCCTCACATCATTGATGTTTCTTTCTCTCTCTTTCCCTTCCTCTCTGAAATCAATAAGAATTTTTAAACTTCCCAATCGGATCATGAGCCCAATATTTTTTAAAAATATGTTTTTATTGATTTCAGAGAGGAAGGGAGAGAGAAATATTAATGATGACAGAGAAACACTGATCGGCTGCCTCCTCTATACCCCTACTTGCAAGCCCGGGATCAAGCTCGAATCCGGGCATGTACCCTGACAGAGAATTGAACCATGACCTCCGGGTTCATAGATTGATGCTTAACCACTGAGCCATACTGGCCCAGCTTTATAATATTTTTTATTTTTGTAGAGTTGGTAGTAATAACCTGATTTTGTTAACTTGAGTCTTCTCTCTTTTCTCTCAGTCAATCTAGCTGAAAGTTTGTTAGTTTTGTTGAAATATTCCAAGAACCAACTTTTGGTTTTGCTGAATTTTCTCTATTGATTTTCTATCTTCTGTTTCAGTAATTCCCACTGTAATCTTTATTCATCCATTGTTTTTAATCACATTGTCAGCATAAAATAACATTCTTACTCCTTTTTCTCCTTTCAAATGAGCAAGAGAGGCATAGGAGGCTCCAAAGAGTTGTAATTAGCCATGCAAGCGTGCTGCTGTGTAAGCCTCATACATGTAGTTTTCCCTGTGGTCCAAAATAGGAAAAGTCAACAACTTAATGTATTTGGCTTTGATTTTATATATTGTATCCAATGCTTGTCTAGGAGCTCCAGTGCTTAGTTAGTTTTGCTGTGGGGAGTGAACAGCAGTAAGTAGTTCCCCTTCTTGTGTGATAAATATTGTTAAGCATCTCATATATCAGGCTGCGTGCTAAACCTAGCACCTTTCATATAAATTGAACTTATTAAGTAAGAAAAGGTTATATAACAGATGTGTAAGAAGATAAACTTGTTAATTATTTCTTTCTTGTTAAACTTCAACCAAGTTCTTAGTTTTTAGCATATTACTTAAAAAAAAGAATAAGGATTTAATGCAAATTAGAGACTAGGGTGACAAAGCTAGGAAATATAAGATGTGGATCCTACGCTTTGGCATTCTTGATCTCTTTGACGAGATGGACAAGCCAGACTTGGGAAAAGTCAGCGAATCCTGGGAGGTGGGTGGGAGGTTCAAGGAGACACGTTGGTACTTCAGTGCCTGAGAGGAATCTGAGGCCTGAGATTGGTCCAGGCGGATGTGTGTTCCCTTAGCAGGATGTCTTCAAACACTTCTATTTTCCTCAACAACAGTTTCTATCTTCGCTGCACGATAGCCATGCACACTTAGCAAAACAGGGAGGCTCTGTAGCTGTTGGATAGTGGTTTGTCCATAGTGCTGCTTACCTTCCGTCTCTGTGGCCAGTGGCGGAACGTTCTGGGTATCTTTGGAGGCTGCAGTTAATCATGCACAAGTGGCATCTCAAATCAAGACAAAGCACATTTTCTACGGAGTGTTATGGCACTTAGCATTTCGCAGTCCCAAGTCCCGTGGCAGCGTGTTGTGTCCTGGGACGGGATTCAGAGCTGTCTTTGGAGGGCAGGGCCCAGCTCCTCAGAAGGAGCTCCCGCCAGAGAGCAGGCACCAGAGGAGGGTATGTCTGTACCTGGAAGAAAACCCTCAAGGGGAAACAGACTGACTGTATATGTGTGCATGTGCGCGCGCGTGTGTGCTTACATTTGTCTATAAATCTGTGCACATACACGCCTGACAGATCATGCACATTGTCTGCAGGACCCAAAGGTGTGACTACTTAGGCCAGTTGGAAGTCAATACACAATAATGAGAATGGTGTGTTGGTGAGAATCCAACTGGAGAATGTCATTTTATTCTGACCTAAATCCTCTTCTGCACTTTCGTTTTGCACAAATGCCTGTGCTTCCTGTTTTACACCTGAATGCTGATGTATGCTTAAGAAATCCCCTACATTTCTTAGGGGAAAGCCTTATTTAGACTTGAGTGTGGTTCGGAGCTTGAGGTTCTGCTCAATGATCTGAGGCTGGTAGCTAGCATTTATTTATTAGGCATTTAACTCTATAGAAAGAGGAACTCAGTAGCTATCATCTAGCCCCCAAATTCCTATTTCAACTGTGCCCATCTGCAAGCCTTCATTTTTCCATACATTGCCTTAATTAACATGTAAATATTGTTTTCTGTTTTTATACTTAGGATCTCTCAAAAACATTGCCACATTTTTGTGTAATAAATGCCCGTGTTTGCTTCACAGAATGTGGAGGCTGTGGATCCACGAGGTCGAACCTTACTGCACCTTGCTGTTTCTTTGGGACATTTGGAATCTGCTAGAGTCTTGCTCCGACATAAAGCAGATGTTACAAAAGAAAATCGCGAGGGATGGACAGGCAAGTATGCTTTTAAAATCGTTAAAGCCTTTCATTTCAGTGTCTCTTTCGGAATAAAGGCCAGTGTCAGGCATTGTCTTCAGAGCCATCTTTGTCTGAAGACTTTCTCTCCTAGGCCTAGGCCCTGGGCGAGCAGATAGGAGCCTCGGATGCTGCTGGCTGATCTTCAGCCCGGATTACGTCCTGGGCCCAAAGCCCTGAGCAGAGGGTGACGCCTCCTCTAGAAAGCAGCTCTCAGTGCAAACCCTCCCCACCAAGCACAAGTGTGGAAGCCAGATTTCCCCGAGGAATGTGATGGGAACTGCAAGGAATCCATCAGGATAAGCAAAATCAAAAAGAAATTATGGCCTTCTAGAAGTAGCCTTTTGCAATGAAGTCCTGGCACTTTTCTGCGCACATGTACGCGTGCACGTGCCAATTCTCTTATTGTTGGTTAGGGTAATCTAATGGTGACAGAGCAGAAAATACACAAGCAGAGCCCTGCTTGCCTGATCTACATGTAACCATAGCTGTGTGATCACATAGTTAAAGCCAGCTTTCTGAAGACGTTGTCAGGATTCCATGACCAGCGGTAACAAAGGGGGAGAAGGAGGGGATGGATTTGACCAAGGAGGATGAGGGTTTGAGCAAGAGGCTAAACGTGCTCTGTTTCCTCTTTTTACCTATTTACGAGCTAGCAGTTAGAAGCCGTGGTCACATGATAAGGTGGGGTTACCGCCGCTCTCCTCTCCAGGAAGAACGTGCCGGTCTTTGATCTATGTAGACATTTTTCCAACTGGCTGTGGAATGTGTCAGAAAGTGTAAGAATGCTGGGCCATTAGGTTTTACCTTATTGTTTTCCAGTTTTACACGAGGCTGTGAGCACTGGTGACCCTGAGATGGTGTACACGGTTCTTCAACATCGAGACTACCACAACACGTCCATGGCCCTCGAAGGCGTTCCTGAGCTGCTCCAAAAGATTCTCGAGGTACTCAATATGGCACTGCCGTCATTGGGTTACTGCTGGCTGGCAGCACCGCGGAGACACAGCCTGACGACCCTGTGGGGCGCTTCCTGAAGAGCTTTATTTTTTATTTTTTATTTATTTTTTACAGAGAGGAAGGGAGAGGGATAGAGAGCTAGAAACATCAATGAGAGAAAATCATCGACCAGGTGCCTCCTGCACAACCCCTACCGGGGATGTGCCCGCAACCAAGGTACATGCCCTTGACCGGAATCGAACCTGGGACCTTTGAGTCCGCAGGCCGGCGCTCTATCCACTGAGCCAAACCGGTTTCAGCCTGAAGAGCTTCATGAGTCGGGAATACATGTATTGGATACTGGAGAGCATGATTTCCTGCCTGTCCAGCTGTTAAATGTGTGGATCTTCCACAAGTTATGTTTCTACATTACTAGACTTACCCTTTTAAGTGATATTTAAAAAGTAGAACTAAAGCAAATAGGCATCAAACAATGAATTTGTCCAGGTGCCTGATTTCTTAAAAGTAGCATCCTGGCCATAGGTCACCTTGGAGATGGTTGGGCCTTGGTGACTGGACAGGGATTGTCAGGGTCTCTTGAGGTTCCCAGGTCTGCGTGCATCTTCTCCTTGTCACTCCTGTTACTTCTAGCCATCAGTATTCTGCGGCTTCTAATTCATTGCCATATTTGATGTACAGTTTTTGGGAAGTTTACCTGTCTTTGTGAATTAAAGTGCAGGACTGTTTGACACCTAGAGAAGTTTCTTAAACAGTTTTACTTCTAGGGCCCTGGATTGTTTTGGGTGATGGTTGCCATTCTACAGATAACCTTTGTTACCTGCAAAAACCATTTTATCAGTCAACCATGTGGAATATTCCCAGGGCAGCAAGAGACGAGAAAGTGCCATGGCTCAATTTTCATGCCATTTATTCTCAAATTAAGCACAGACGTGAGCTCCTCAAAACATCTCCAAACATATTTGTTGATAAATTGGCTTTATGATGTTAGTCAAAACACATTTCTGGAGAAAAATGAGCAGTTCTGTGGCGAAAAGGAACAATTTTGCTAGAAGTTAGACAATCACTGCTCATTATCTGAGCCCCTTTACAAGAAATATTTCTATGACATGTAAAGTAAATGCTGCCTAAGATGTTAATTTCCATGTACTGCAAAGAAACCTTCCATGGCATATGAAATAGTTATATGCATTGTTTTTAAAATAGGTGTGCGTTTGTACAACGATCACATGGGGATTTACCGTTCTCTTATCTAACTTACTGCAGGAGGAACTAAAAACATTTCTCCATTTGACAAAACAGAAAATGACTTATTTAACATGGTGTCACCCCCATTTTAAAAATTCGAAGTAAAGGATTTTTCTTTTTAACCTGTTATTGATCCATAATAGTGAACTGCATTGCACTGTACTCCCTGCTGGAAGGTATGGACAGCCCATAGCTGACCTTGTGCTTATTGGCATCAGAGGCCGTGGCTGATGTTTTGTCTCATAACAAGCTCGCCTTTCTTTTTGGCTGCCCTGGAGAGGGTCGCTGTCCGGTGCTGGAATCCTGGCCAGTCTTAAACCAGGGTAGACTCTTGGTTTTCCTGCCCTGAGCTTCTGGCAAAACCTGGTAGTGGGAGGGACAGGAAAACACCTGGACTTACTAGCATTTCTCTTCTTGGGCGGTAACTGGAAGTTAGTAGGTGGCACTTAAGAAATTAAGTAGCTCGCCACGAACCTTGTAGGTCAGAAATCATCTTAGACGGGGCTGCTGTGGTGGTGTGAAACGTCAGAAAGCCACATTCTGAGAGTTAAGAGGAAGGTGGAGGGGAGTATAAACTTCTTGAGGAAGTGATGTCTAGCTGCCTCTCGTTGGTTTCAGAGCAGTCCAGTTAGTGAAAAGCCATTTTCCATAACGCAGAGCCTTTCAGCCAGGTTCCCAGCCTGCTGGATGGAACGGACATTCCTCTCTCTGCTTGGAACGGCCTGTTCTGCACGCTGCCTGGTGGTCCTTACCCATCCTCCCAGGCTCTCTTTATGTTCCTGTTAGGAACCAGATTGAGCCCCTAAATCAGACTTGACTTTTATCCCCCTCCAATGTTATTGCTTTCAGTTAACTTTATTAACTGTCTAGACATTTCATATCAAGAACAAATCACAGCCTGAATGTAAAATAAGCATTTATTTTGATGGGTTTGCGCTTTGTGTTTCTTATTTTCTCTGTTCTCTCCCCCTCCCCCACTTTAAAAAGCCCTATTAACCCTTACTGTGCTTGTGTTTAGTTAATAGCACAAGGGTAATTTCTTTTCAACCTTTGTCCTTCAGACGCCAGATTTCTATGTGCAGATGAAATGGGAGTTCACCAGCTGGGGTGAGTGGCTGTGAGATTGTAATTTATTTCTGTTCCCAACTTTTTTTTAATCTAGAAAATGCATAGATAAGAATTATGAAAAATAGTTACCTATAATCCCACTTAAGCACCACTAGTGTTAGTGTTCTGGGCATTTCCCTTCTAGGCTTTTCCCCACATGTAGGACTTTTTCTCCCAAGCATCCATAAATATGACATACAGACAATTTTGTCTCTTGTCATTTCCAGTTGACATTGATTTATAGTATTAGTTCTTTAAAAGGTTGATATTTTAGTAGGACTTACCGTAATTTGCTTACTTCCTTATGTGGTTTAGCTTGATTCTTTTAGACTCGTTATTCTGAGGAAGAAGATGAGATGAATATCGGAGTAGCTTGTTTTTGGATGTATTTCTCTCCAAAATCTTATGTGAGGCAAATTGACTGACAGTAATTTTCATAGTTGTTCTATTTTTATTTCAAGTTGATCAGTTAATGACAGCTCCTAATTCCCAGTTTTCAGCCATTTTCACTTCCAGACTTCCCTTTCAGGCAAGACGTCATATTTATAATGAAACATTGAAATGGAGTAAAAAGTATACAAAGAAGAGAACTTCACATTCTTTTGTGAAACGAATGAGTTTTTTTTCTAATGCAGATATTCACTGATTTCAGGTTTTGTTAAAAAGCAGCACATTTTATTTTATTTTTGAAATATATTTTATTGATTTTTTTTACAGAGAGGAAGAGAGAGGGATAAAGAGTTAGAAACATCCATGAGAGAGAAACATTGATCAGCTGCCTCCTGCACACCCACTGGGGATGTGCCCACAACCAACGTACATGCCCTTGGCTGGAATCGAACCTGGGACTCCTCAGTCCGCAGGCCGACACTTTATCTACTTAGCCAAACTGGTTTTGGCAGCAGCACATTTTAGACATTTGATCATCTGAATGGTGGATCTGACAATATGGCAGCCGCAGCCATATGGCAAAAGTAGCATATGATCGAGAAAGGCCAGATGGACCCACCCGAGCTCTGATGGCAGTCCAGGAGAGAAGCTCGTTTTGACATTGAGCACACTCTAGCCCAGTGGTTCTCCACCTTTCTAATGCCGCAGCCCTTTATTACAGTTCCTCACGTTGTGTGACCCTCAACCATAAAATTATTTTCATTGCTACCTCATAACTGTAATTTTGCTACTGTTATGAGACATAATGTAAATATCTGTGTTTTCCAATGGTCTTAGGCTCTACAGCAGCAGTTCTTAACCTGTAGGTCAGGTTGAGAACCACTAGCAGGGTCACCTAAGACCACTGGAAAACAGAAGGTCCTTTTTTATTTATTTTTTATTATTATTTTTAAAATATATTTTTAGTGATTTCAGAGAGGAAGGGAGAAGGAGAGAGAAATGGAAACATGAATGATGAGAAAGAATCATTGATAGGCTGCCTTCTGCATACCCCACACTGGGGATCAAGCTCACTGCTTATACATATGCCCTGGCTGGGAATTGAACCCATGACCTCCTGGTTCATAGGTCAACACTTAACCACTGAGCCTTGCCAGCTGGGCCATTTTTATTTTTTAAAAGTGACTTCTTGTATCAAGTTCAGCCAGGTTCAGCTCTATGTGACAGTCACCATCTTTCTATTCCTATCCTTTCATTAAAGTCAGAATCCTGATTTCTGGGTGTTTCGCTTGGCCATCGGGTTTTTCTCAGTAATACACTTCTCTTCTTCAGTGCCCTTGGTTTCCAGAATATGCCCAAATGATGTCTGTCGCATTTGGAAAAGTGGTGCCAAACTGCGTGTTGATATCACATTGCTGGGATTTGAGAACATGAGCTGGATAAGAGGGAGGCGTAGTTTCATATTTAAGGGAGAAGGTGAGTAATTTCGTTGTAGTAACCACTGCTCATGCTAAGTTATAGAGTGATTTTTTAACCATAAAACATATTCACATTCATGTGCCTTATCTGATCTTTTCTGGGCATTTTTTAAAAAATATATATTTTATTGATTTTACACAGAGGAATTGAGAGGGACAGAGAGTTAGAAATGTCGATGAGAGAGAAACATCGACCAGCCACCTCCTGCACACCCCCCACAGGGGATGTGCCCGCAACCAAGGTATATGCCCTTGACCGGAATCGAACCCGGGACCTTTCAGTCCGCAGGCCGACGCTCTATCCACTGAGCCAAACCGGTCCCGGCTAGGCATTTTTTTTGTTATTCTTTCTTTAATTATGTTTTTATTTTTAGAGAGAGAGGTAGAAACATCAATGAGAGAGAAGCATTGATTGACTGTCTCCTGCATGCCCTCTGATTGAGCCCGCAACCCGAGCATGTGCCCTAATTCGGAATTGAACCCAGCCCTCTTGGTTCATGGGTCAGTGCTCATTCACTCAGCCACATTGGCTGGCTTGTCATTCCTTCGTTATTCATCTCTCAATTCCTGTACCTTACTTGTTATCTATATAATTCTCCTGTGTGTATTATTTACCACCTAACATTGTTACTCTCTTCTGTCCCTGAGCTTTGGATACAAGCCTCTGTCTTATATCTCATTCATTATAGTCCCTCCATACAAGGCATTGCTTATCCAGTGTTGTGCATAAATAATGTATATTTTGTAATCATATATTTTAAAAAGTACACAGATAAATGTGTTGCTAACAAAAAGTGAAAATTATTTTAAAAGCCTGCATCTCTGAGGAAGATGGCTCAAAGATGCAGACTTGGAAAGAGGATGCATTTTAACATGAGGTTTTCTGGGTTTTGCCTCTTACTTGCACTGTGCTTAGTTATGCCCTTGTTTCTATTAACAGACAACTGGGCGGAGTTGATGGAAGTCAACCATGATGACAAAGTGGTCACCACAGAACACTTTGATCTTTCCCAGGAAATGGAGCGCCTCACTCTGGACTTGATGAAGCCAACAGGCAGGGAGGTTGAAAGGCGGCTCACGAGCCCAGTCATTAACACCAGCCTCGATACTAAAAATATTGCTTTCGAAAGGTATGAATTTAGGCTCTGCATTTTAATTTCTCATTCCTTTACTGCCATCTGTAGTGGCGTGTATGTATTAATTGGAAATTATGGGTGATTAGGATTTTTTTTTCTACTGTGGCAGTTTAAGCACTAGCATTTTAAAGTTAATCTCTGCTCTCACCAAATGTAAACCATTACTGACATCCTTCATCATACATCATTTTTATAGCACATTGCTTAAGTTTTGGATAAATGTCTTCATATTCTTTCATGGGCCCTTTCTAATGGATTTTACTTGAATTTTATTTTTGTTTTGGTGTTTGGGGATCCACAGGACTCCCTAGTCCCCGACCATGGGACTTTGAGTTTCTGGAAGCTGTTGAACTTGGTCACACTGATGTTAGCCAGATTCACAGCTTTCATAGAGGCAATGTGATCCTCTCTCCCCAGTTTCCCTACAGAAGGCCTACCAGTTTAGAGCAAGAGTCTGGAGGGTTTCAGTTCTATTGCAGACTCTCCCTGAAGAACCTCAGAGCGGTCTGTGTCTCAGTTAGCCCAGATGGGAACCTCTGTCTGGTGTGGAGGGCCTTTGTGAGGGAAGGGGACCTGTCCCTGCTGTGCCCCGGGGGCTGGCAGAGCCCTGAGTGTTTGCCTAGGATGTCACATCCAGCTCTCTGTAACCAGAGCAGCATAACATGACGTACTGTGAACGCTGTCCTGGAGTTAGTCTTCCTTTTCTCTTCACAAATATACTAACGATCCTAGCCTTTTCTTCTCTTCATTTCCAATATAAAACCTAATAATAAAACAGCTTCCTGTTGAGTCATATAGAAGACTTGTTCAGTGCTCTTTCCTTTAGTTTAGATTGAGCTGTAGAATTAGGGTATTTGCTTATAGCGTAGGAGAAAACCAAAACTCGGGGTATGCTGCTGCTTGGACGGGTGCTCCCCGAGGCAGGGTCAGTGCCACACTGTCAGCCTCCCCCGGTGACAGCCATTGTCTTCCAGGACAGCAGTTGGCCATGGCTTTACCAGTAAGGATATGGGAAGACATCTCCAGTCTTGGGCACATGGCCCTGCAGACCTTCAGCCTAGGGCTCTGTCCCTAAGCTGGAAGACAGAGGAGTAGTGACAGGGGCTGGGAGAACTGAGCCTCATCAGCAGGGCTGCTAGCTGACTGTGTGGCTTTGGGCAGGTGGCTTCCCCCTCCAGGATGCTGTCTCCTCGGCTGCTTTGTTGTGTAGTACTCAGGAGTGAGGTGTGATCAGTGAGCATTTTGTGCATCGAGAAAGGATCCAGGCACTCTGAATGTGAGGCTTGCTGCTGGAGGTCTGAGCATTCATTTGATTGAAGTTGGAAGATGTGGAGCTCTAATATGACAGTTGTTTTCATCCAGTTCTTTTTCTAATCTGTTCCTCGGAGCTTGATGCTTGTAAATCAGTGCCCTTCTTGCATAAATTTTTGGCCTAATATATGCCCTCTGATCGCATTTTGGGTTTTTTTTCTTCTCTGAAAGATTATGCTCAACTCATCCTAAACAAAACATTTCCCGCCCCCATCACAGCTCTTTCCCGAATTGTGTAGCGGCCTCCGAGCCAGAGCTTGCTCCAAGCCAGTTTTGGGTGGTGGTCTCAGTGGAGACAGGCAGAGGTGAACATGGCAAAAGAGGGAGCTGAGAACCCTCATGCCATCTTCAGAGGCCTCTGCATGTAAAGTTAAGTGCCAGGGAGTTTTTAGGGTCTTGGTGTTAAACTAGGATGTAGACATTGAATTTAAGAACTAAACTCTCAGAGGACTTCAGTCAAGAGGGCAGATTAGTGGTGGATTTTGTGAAGGAATTGGTGCTGGATTAGTGGATGTTGCTATCTGCAGATTACCCCAAAGGAGATGCCTCTACTGAAGAAATGCCAAAATAAGTTCTTTAATTTCTATTTATTTTTATTGTTTTTAGACAGGAAAGGAGAGGGAGAGAAGGACAGACACATCAGCTGCCTCCCACCTGCCCCCTATTGGGGACTGAGCCCACAACCCGGGCATGTGCCCCAACTGAGAATCAAACCGTGACATCCTGGTTCATCAGCCAGCACTCAACCCCTGAGCCACACTGGCTGGGCAATAAGTTCTTTAATTAAAAAAAGAAAGAAAGAAAGAAACCATCAGAGAGTGAGGATGAAAAGGAAATGGAATAGTTGAGGGTTGTGGCTGAGGGAGGTGAGTAGGAGCGTGGTTCCCGGGAGAACAGTGCAGCTGTTGGCTCAGAACGCGTGCAGGAGGAAGTGGAGTGACCTGGTCATCCTTCGGTCCTTCAGACGACTCTGTGCCAGAAAAGGAATATTTCCTGTGCTGAACTGTCAAGTGACTTAGTGACAGACAGGAACTGAGGATTGAATTTGTTAACCAAAAGGAATATCTCAATTTTCAATTGTCAATGACTGAGAGGGGCCTCTGGTTTGTTAATCAGTTAGGTGAGGTCTCTAGCCCCCTGCACTCCAGAATCATTTGTTTCTGAAATGTCACTCGGACATAGCTAGCAGTTTGTGTAATCCCTTTAGGATTTCTTTCTTTCCCTCCCAAGGTTCATGGCGTACTAATTGAGGACAATTAATAGGACATTTAAAGCTTTTGTCCCTCCTTTCTATGATGGACTGTAATGCATACATAAAACTCCTATATCCCATCTGGCCTAATTCCATTTACTAAATCCCATTAGAAGAAAAGCAGAGTATTTGGAAACACAATATGCAAATGACCGCAGACCTTCTCTGTGACTTGGCTAACATGCCACCTGATGTCCCCCTTCACGCCAGGTCAGAGCAGAAGGCAGGCAGCTGCCCTGCGCAGGGCCAAGTGCGCAGTCACAGCGGAGCTAGGATGTGATGTCCTAGACCAAGGGCAGTCTGGCAGGCTCCCCTGTGAGCGGTCACATTTTCCAGGGTGTGAGGCTCTGAAAAAGAACCAGAGCCTCTTGGCTGCTTTTGGTTCCTAAATGCATTTTTCCAGGACTGTGTTGAGTGGAATAACTGAGTTTGGGGTATTTTACCAATGCTGCAGCTGCTGCTGGAATGCTGGGCTGCTTTAAAAGCAGCTCACAGAGCCGGGATCCACGGCCGGGCTGAAACCCTGCTTTTAACACCTTTCCCCCTGCTGCACCCGATTACATGCGTGGCTGACTCCCACGCCATTCTGGGGGCACTGGTGGTTTTTCCACGCAGCTTGCCACAGTGATGAGTTCCTCTCCCACCCCCACTCTCCCAAGGAGCAAGATGGTCTATGCCTCCTTGTGCCGCTAATTCCCCCATGATTGTGGCTGCTTATGGGACAGAGCCCCTGACATCTGTGCCCACAGTTAAGATGACCCAGATAAATGCTCTGACCCACATACTGCTTTGTGGCGAGCTTGGATGCCGGTCATGTCACTCACCCCTTTAGGACAGCTGTCTAATAAATGTCACCACCTTTGTTGCCCGTGCTGGCAATTTTTGTAAAGAAGCCAAGAATGGAGGCTCTCTGTGCCGGGGGTGAGGCGAACTGATGAATAGCTGGGAGGGGGCGGGAGATGCTTCAGCCATCTGTCACCGTAACATCCTTTATGGACACTTGGACCATGGTTTCCAGATGTCCTTCACTAACTTAAGCTGGGGGAAGAAACGATAAAGGCTGCAGGGATAAATCTGAATGGCATGTTGTACATGTAGAAATTTGTGGTGTTCACTTTTTATCAGAACTAAATCCGGATTCTGGGGCTGGAGGACAGATAAAGCAGAAGTTGTTAATGGTTACGAAGCAAAGGTAAAAGGAAACTCTTAAAATAAGATTTAATATAGCAATTTAGCTTCTATGCAAATGAGTCTGTTCAGATTGTCATGCATCTGTGCCATGGAGATGCTCTGGGGACTAAGTACTATCTAGCGTGTCTCTCACTTGGATTTTTATCTTACTTGACTCTCAGAAAATGGGATAGCATGTCCCAAGGAGGTCTCTAGTTATGCCAAAGAGAAACACTACTGTAGAGAAATGAGGACAGGTACCAGTTGTCCTGGTAAGAATGAAAAAGACACACACACACACACACACACACACACAGAAAGGATTAGACTTAACATGACTGTTCATCTTTTTTTTATAACCAGAGTGTGTTTTTAAAAAAATACAGTAGTTTTATGAGTCTCCATTTTTTGTAGTTAGCCTCTGTGTAAGCAATTGACTCATAGCCCACTTACATGACATCAGTGAGTTTGGAGCATAGTTGTCATAGTGGAGACGACAGCTGGCATTTTGTCCGCTGCACTGCACAGCCCTGTTTCCTGGCCCTCCCTGGGCCTGCAGTACAGCAGGGATTGATGGCTCCAGAGGCCGGAGCCAGGCACTGCAGTATCCTCTGGTGACCTCTGAGCAGCAGAGAAAGCTTACGTCATGCTCAGCGAGATACATTCAGGAACAGTCATTCCAGTGCTGAGTGTGCTTCCTGGACTGCTGAACGTATGGCAGATATAGTTCTCTGTTAATCGAGACATTTGATTTTCCAAACCCCCATAATTCCCAGTCAACCTTGCTAACAGAGCATTGACGGGCAGCTACAGTGATTTTTGTCACTCTTTGGCATGCCTTCAATAGTGGCTCTGGTTGTAAAGCTTATCAGTGAAGAGAACCTTTTGTTCACTCCCCTTCCTCCTGCCTCCAATGGCCGTCTTAGTCAGTCCTGTTACAGGATGGCCAGAAATCAGCAGAAGTCCTCAATGCAGATTCGGATGCCTTAGCACAGTGGTCGGCAAACTCATTTAGTCATCAGAGCCAAATATCAACAGTACAATGATTGACATTTCTTTTGAGAGCCAAATTTTTTAAACTTAAACTTCTTCTAACGCCACTTCTTTAAAATAGACTCGCCCAGGCCGTGGTATTTTGTGGAAGAGCCACACTCAAGGGGCCAAAGAGCCGCATGTGGCTCTCGAGCCACAGTTTGCCGACCACGGCCTTAACACACTAGAAATGCGGGGAGCCTAAAGGCAGGCCTTCTCTGCGAGCACTTAGCAACAAGGAGACGAAACCTGTCTGTTAACTCCTCAGCGTTTCACCTCTGGGGGCACAGTGACTGCTCAGGCCTTTCTAAGCTGATGGCTTGTGTATTTTCTCTGAAGGATCGAATGATTGTTAACCGTTTCTCATTTTTATTTTGCTGCATTTCTTTTTTTCTTTTTTCTTCTTTTTTTTGGCTTCAGCATTCTTGCTCTTGCTATGCTTATTTTTTGAGTTTCGATTCCCCATGTCACTGTTTTCTCTTGCACATGTCTCTCAAGGTTTATACCGTAAATAATGTGAGTGTGATAACCAAAATACGGACAGAACATCTGACTGAGGAAGAGAAAAAGAGATATAAAGGTAATTCTCCACCCCTTTTTAAAAAATAAATTGTGTGTCTTTTTAACTGATTTCAGAAAGAGTGGGATAGAAACATTAGTGATGAGTGAGGATCATTGATTGGCTGCCTCCTGCAAGTAGGAGGGGACCAAGCCCACAGCCTGGGCATGAACCCTGACTGGGAATCAAAACTGTGACCTCCTGGCTCATGAGTCAGTGGTCAACCACTAGCCACACCTGCTGGGCCTCCACCCTTTTTTAATCCTAGAGAGAACCTTTGTTGGCTCTGGTAAGTTTTGGGGTTAATGTGATCTGTTGTACTAATCCTAATACTGACTCCCTTTTTATAAAAATTTCCTTAGTCTGACTTATTCTTAGAGATATTTCTCCTTACTTGGCTTCAGCTATAATTAAAGCCATTCCACGAGGACTTATGTGTTATGAATAACAGTTGTTGGATGAAAAAGTAGATAAGGCTATTGGAGAATATTTTCACTGGAATAAGTGATTTGGTCCAAACTATCACAATGAAAAATTTAGACAGAACTTGGGCTCTGAGCCAAAACATCGCCAGTACATCCTCGCCATTGCCCAGCTCTGCCAGTGGCTGGTTCTGTGGCTTTGTGAAATTATTGACCATCTGTGCCTCAACTTCCTCAAAAATTAAATAAAGGTGCTTCTAGATCTTAAGAGTTACTGGGGGGATTAGGTGAGTTACTACAAATAAACATTTAGAGCAGTGTCTGCAGTATGTGGCTAGCACAAATAATTGTTGACCACCAGCACCACCGCCATTGTTAACGATGTTACCACAGTGCTGTGGCTGCAGTTTGACAAATGAGGACACAGACCCAGGGCACGGACACATGGGCAGGGACCATTCAGGAGGAGATTGGAATCCAGATCTGGCTCACTTACAAATGCAACCTCTTTCCACAATGTACTGCTTTAATTCTTATAATTGTTGTTCATCTAGAGACCCTACAAAAGATAAATTAGCTGATGGTTCTTGTGGATGATTTTATGAGTCTGTCCGTAAATGATGCCCTGATGCAGGTAGCTTGGGTCAGAAACTTTAAAATATGATGAGAATCTTTTTCTATAGTCACAAGTAAAGTATGATATTAAACATTGAACTTTTCGCCCCTGTACAGCGGACAGGAACCCACTGGAATCCTTGTTGGGAACTGTGGAACACCAGTTTGGTGCGCAAGGGGTAAGTTGAAGCAGCGAGCTCTCAGCGCCCTTTAAAGGAAATGACTTCCCTGTGGTTGGTGGCGTTTACGGAATCTCTAATCGGCCACTCCGACTGAGAAGGCCACAGGGTACTCCCAGCTGGAATTGGAGACACTGCTGGAAGAGAATTAGATGAGTGAGTCTTTAAAAATAAAGATTTTAGGGGAAGTGTAGTGATTATAAAAATCAGGTGCTTTCTCTCTTATGTGTTATAAACTAAGATCTCTGTAAAAATTTAAATTAAAAAGGATTGAGGACTTCACATTTTAACAAAGCACCTTAACAATCGTTTCCTCACTTGATCCTTACAAATAACTCTATGAAATTGCTACAGTGGATGTCCCTGAGGGTCAGAAATATGAACTATCTTTCCAGCAGCACAAGCTAGAGAATGCAGAGCTGGAACTCACACCCCAAGCCTCCCAGACCTGTGCTTTCCTCTTTCTATAATCAGGAGATAAAAATGCAAAGGAAAGTGGAGAAGTATTTTGAAATCGAGAAATGCATTTGACTTGCCATGTAGCTTGGTAACACCTTTATAGATTTTCTTGTTCTGTGCAGTAACTTAATTTTAAAAAGTTAATGACTAGAACTTCCTGATCTGTAGCTGATTAACATGTCTGCCTCAGAGACTGAGTGCCATAGGCCTCCACTTGTGAGCACCACTTGGCATTTCTGATTCCCCTGAGTTCTGGCCCGGCAGGACCTCACCACAGAATGTGCCACTGCAAACAACCCCACAGCCATCACACCTGACGAGTACTTCAATGAAGAGTTTGATCTGAGAGACAGGGACGTCGGAAGGCCGAAAGAGCTGACGATCAGAACACAAAAGTAAGAGGAATTTACTGGCCATTTTCTTTCTTTTTTAGTTGATTTCAGAGAGGAAGGAAGAGGGAGAGAAAGATAGAAACATCAATGACAAGAGACAATCATTGGTTGGCTGCGTCCTGCAGGCGCCACACTGAGGATCCAGCCACAACCTGGGCATGTGCCCTTTCCCGGAGTGGAACAGTGGCTCCTGGTTCATAGGTCTCATAGGTTGATGCTCAACTACTGAGCCGTGGTGGCCAAGGCTCAATGGCCATTTTTCAACTTACGGATATTTGTTTCAGAACTATGCTGTTTTATGGTGTCTTGGTCAGTCATTTCTCTGCCCCCTGCCTTTAAAAATAATTTTAAATTACTTTACAAAGGCCCATCTTTTATTTTACTTTTAAAATATATTTCTATTGATTTCAGAGAGGAAGGGAGAAGGAGAGAGAGAAATAGAAACATCATTAAAGAGCCATTGATCGGCTGCCTCCTGCATGCCCCCTAATGGGGATCAAGCCCGCAACCGAGGCTTGTGCCCTTGGCTAGAATCTAACTGGGATCCTTCAGTCCATAGGCCAGCACTCTATCCACTGAGACAAACTGGCTACGACAAAAGCCCATCTTATAGCCCTCGTAGAGAATGAATTGGATATTTATTTTACTGCCAACAGCATCCATTGATTAAATGAAACGGTTTCCACCAGCTAGCAGTTTCTTCATGCTTGCTATCAGTTAAAGCTCTGATTGCCAGATTTCAGAGTGATCTGAATTCCCCATTGGGAGTAGTCCCCGCCCAGCTCATAATTGAGATGTAAGATAACTGGGAAGGCGGCAGGGTGAGCAAGCTGCTGTTGTCTAGCCTACTGCATAGAATTCCATTTCCCTGCCAAAACTGGTTTGGCTCAGTGGTAGAGCGTCGGTCTGCGGACTGAAAGGTCCCAGGTTCGATTCCGGTCAAGGGCATGTACGTTGGTTGCGGGCACATCCCCGGTAGAGGGTGTGCAAGAGGCAGCTGGTCAATTTCTCTCTCATCGACGTTTCTAGCTCTCTATCTCTCTCCTTTCCTCTCTGTGAAAAAGCAATAAAATATATTAAAAAAAAAAAAAAAAGAATTCCGTTTCCCTGTCTGATGATCATGTCCCCCGCCTTTCCTCCATCAAACCCTGTAGGTTCAAAGCCACGCTGTGGATGTGTGAGGATTTTCCTCTCTCCCTCGTGGAGCAGGTCATTCCCATCATTGACCTGATGGCCAGAACAAGTGCTCATTTCGCAAGACTCAGAGATTTCATCAAATTGGACTTCCCACCTGGATTTCCTGTCAAAATAGGTACCGTTAACTGAACGAACACAGGAACACGTGCAGGCTGTGCCCTTCTTGCGGTGACAGATGTGCTGTAGGGAACGGGAGCACTTGCATCAAAAGTAGCAGACAGGAGGCAAAATGGAGGAGGGCATAGCCTCTGGTTTAATTTGGCTTGAAGAAGTGTCATGGTACTCGGTCACTTTGCATAGCAAAATTATTATAGGAGAGTCCCCAATCACCAGTTCAATTTATTGACGTGAAAAGGCATAAAAATGTGAAACATTCATTGTTTCAATATCAGACCTTAAGTGAAACTTCAAATTAGATAGTTAATTGAGGAAGACAATGGATACCAAGATCCTTTGACACATAAATAGGCTTAGGGCATGAAGTAGTATGCATAATACCATATACAATACATGTTACTTGGGACGAATTTATATTTTGGATAGTTGTACATTCATGACCCTTGAAACCCGGCTCAATCATTTACTTACTGTGATCTAGGAAAAGTTGCTTAATCTCTCTGAATCTGTTTTCATATCTATATATTGGGAAGGGTTGTTATGAGGATTAATGAAATCATACTCATAAAGAGTACTTGGCATGGTACCAGAATAGTAAGCACTCATAGCTAAGTATTAAATGATGGTTGTTATTATTCTCAATAAAGTTATTTATAAAAGCTTTTATTCTGTTAGAAATTCCCTTGTTTCATGTATTAAATGCACGGATTACCTTTGGAAATGTTAATGGCTGTAGCACTGCTGAAGAAATTCAAACTGTGGAAGGGACCCAGGCAGATTCAGGTAAGAGAAAATGGGGTTTTGTGATTTTTAAAAGAAAATTCATACATTTAGTCATTATACTAATTATTCTCTTTGAATTGGAGTATCTTATAAAGTAGTTCTCTGTACTAAATCAGGAAATTTTTAAATTTAGTTTAAATTCAATGAAAAAAATTGAGAATGTTTATTAAAAACAGCATATTCTTTAAAAATGATTTTATTCAGGTGTAATGTTAATACAATAAAATGCCCTCATTTTTAAGTGTGATAGGTCAGTGCATCTTGGCATATGCAACCACCTCCACAGTCATGAGAGAGCATTTCTATTATTCCCCCAAATTTCCTCCGCCTCCTTTGCCATCAAGTCAGTTCATATTTTGGATGCTATTGTAAATGGATTTATTTTCTTAATTATTATTTTCCAGTTACTCATTGCTAGTATATAGAAATATAATTGAATATTTTTCATTTTTTAAAAATTATGCTAAAATAGTGTTCTGTGTCTTAGGCTAGTTGAAAGAAAGATACACAGATGTTTGTTTTATATTTTTATTTTGTTTATATATATACACACTATTTTATATGTTCACTCTATTTCATAATAAAAGAAAAAAGAAAAAGACACATTGCACATTGGTGTGATTGTGTGTATACACACACATTCCTCAAAGGATGCTTGAGTAAAATCCTGGTTACCTCTGGAATTTGGACATAGGAGAAAGGGTACAAGGAGAGAGATCTTCACTTTTCATTTTATAGTCTTCTATTTTTTTTTTTATAACTCTGCATTAATTTTATTACTAAAAAATGATCAAGGCAAAAAGAAAAAGAAAAGCAGTATCCTAATACTTTTTTTTAAAAAAAATGTCTTTACTGACTTCAGAGAGGAAGGGAGAGGGAAAGAGAGAAATATTTTTTTTTAATATATTTTATTGATTTTGTACAGAGAGGAAGGGAGAGAGATAGAGAGTTAGAAACATCGATGAGAGAGAGTCATCGATCAGCAGCCTCTTGCACACCCCCTACTGGGGATATGCCCGCAACCAAGGTACATGCCCTTGACTGGAATCGAACCCGGGACCTTTCAGTCTCCAAGCCGACGCTCTATCCATTGAGCCAAACTGGTCCCGGCGAGAGAGAGAAATATTAATGAGAATCATTGATAGGCTGCCTCTCGCATGTTCCCCACTAGGGATCAAGCCCGCAACAGGGGCCATGTGCCCTTGACCCAGGACCCACTGAGCCAAACCAGTCAGAGCAGTATTCTAATACTTTTATCTGTCAAGATTATTCCTCAAGCCGGGACCGGTTTGGCTCAGTGGTAGAGCGTCGGCCTGCGGACTGAAGGGTCCCGGGTTCGATTCCGGGCAAGGGCATGTACCTTGGTTGCGGGCACATCCCCGGTGAGGGGTGTGCAGGAGGCAGCTGATCGATGATTCTCTCTCATCGATGTTTCTAACTCTCTATCTCTCTCTTCCTCTCTGTGAAAAATCAATAAAATATATTTAAAAAAAAAAAAAAAAAGATTATTCCTCAAAATCTCTCTCACAGCCCTAGCCGGTTTGGCTCAGTGAATAAAGCGTTGGCCTGAGGACTGAAGAGTCCTGGGTTTGATTCCAATCAAGGGCTCGGCTCTTGACTTGACCCCCAGTAGGGGGTGTGTAAGAAGTAGCCAATCAATGATTCTTTCTCATCATTGATGTTTCTATTTCTCCCTTCCTCTCCCTTCCTCTCTGAAATTAATAAAAATATATATATTTTTAAATCTCACATCTAGCAAACTTTTATTTTAATCATATTTTTAAAATTTAAAAATGTGTATAAAAGTTGAAGTGGAAATTCATAGGCTAACTCAGATACACTCTTTGCGTTCCAGCTTCCCCGGTCACCAACTTTGAGGTTGATCAGTCTGTGTTTGAAATTCCTGAATCTTACCATGTCCAAGACAATGGCAAGAACATGCATCTGCAGGACGAGGACTACGAGATCATGCAGTTTGCCATCCAGCAGAGCTTACTGGAATCCAGCAGGAGTCAGGTGTGTCTCTCAGAATGAAGGGCGGGGCATGGGAGGTTTGCCCTCCCATCTGACCTCTTCAAATAACAACTTCGGCATATTTATGGTATTTACAGAAATTGCTTTGTATTGTACACACCTGGTCTTTCCCAAAGGTTATTACGAGATATCTCTCTCTCTCTCTCTCTTTCTCTCTCTCTCTCTCTCTATATATATATATATGTATGTGTTTGTATATATATGTATGTGTGTATATGTGTATGTATGTATATATATATATATATTAGAGAAATATGCTAATTAGCAGGGATGTATTGTACACACCTGGTTTTTCCCATAGGTTATTACGAGATATCTCTCTCTCCCTCTCTCTCTCTCTATATATATATATATACATATATATGTATTTATGTGTTTGTATATATGTATGTATGTATGTGTGTATGTATGTATGTGTGTATGTATGTATGTATGTATGTATATTAGAGAAATATGCTAATTAACAGGGATGCCATAACTGGTCGAGACTGGACAGAAGGGTTGCACACACAGCTTTGGGGGCGGGGCGGCAGGGCCCTCTGTGTGCCTGCACTGGGGGAGGGCCTGATCTGCAGCAGCCGGGGCTGCTTCAAGGGCCAGAGAGGGAGGCAGGGCCGGATTGGCAGTGCCTTGGCTGCTGTGGGCCCAGAGAGAGAGGCAGGCCCGCTTTGGGGCCTGGGGGAGCGAGGGCTCCTAATCTCATATAATCTGCGTAGTCTTACCAGCATCGTCTCCTGACAGACTTCCCTTTTCCTCTTGTTCACCCGTATAGCTAATGGTAACGTATCTCTTGGGGTTGCTATGTAATTTCCTAGTGTTGAAACAGTAAATTCATAATAGTTTACACCATATTTTCCCTAGAATATTATCGGTGTCAGTAGTGTCATAGAAGGTATGTGGATTTTAATTTCACTTCCTCCTCAGGAAGACAAATCATTGTCTTAGTAAGGGTATGATGAAAGTGTTGGTTGATGCTTTGTGAGCATTTTTTTTACTCAGGTATTTTATTTGTTTTAAGGGGTATAAACCCAAGCTCTTTGAGCCTCTAACTACAAGTACGAGTAGAGCTAAGGACAGGACAGACCAGTATTAAGAACAGTTGCCTTTTGTTTTCTGACATGATTCTTCCTCCAGGCCTCCCCATCCTGGGACAGTCCAGAGCCTGTGGTACTCCCCCATCAGCAACTCCTCCTGCTCCCTCCCTCTTCCCAGGGCTCAGGTTTTGACATTCTGCTTTTATTTTTGAGTCTCGGAGCTTGAGTAATGTGAGCCCCACGATTCCCCTTCCTGGACCCCATTGGTAGAGCCATTCCATTTTCTGAGGTTGCCAGGCCCAGGGCCGGACCTCAGGGCAGGCGTGCTCCCTAGGAGAGCCTCCTGGGAGAAGGTCCAGCCTGGGCATCGCTGTCAGTCCACTGCCTCTTTTCCTTCCCTCTATAAGCGAGCTGCTTCTTTCCTCCAGGGCCTACATAGACCTACGTGACCATAGTTTTACAAAAAGGAACGGCCAGTCACACACAACAGACTCAGCTAGGCACTGCTTCACGATGGGCAATGGGGATGCATTGAGAAATCAACGTTAGATGTTAGATTTCCTCGTGTGCGAACATCATAAAATGCACTTACATAAACCTAGATGGTATAGGCTACTACGCTCCTAAGCTAATGGTATACCACCATCACGTGCACGGTCCAGTAGTGACTAAAACCTTGTCATATTGTGTATGACTGTATTGAATGATGTATTCTAACCTTGCTCTAAAAGAATTGCCTGCTTTGTTCATTTAAACTTTGCCCAAGGTTAGCTACTTTTTAATAGACTGGGTTTTTTTTGTCAAGTATGAAAGGCTGTTAAGAAGGGTAGTGTACCATATACTACCTGGCACTTAGGTGTCATTTTAGAGATAACTTAAGTCCCTATTAGTTTTTCACACAGTACTCTCAATAATGCAAATATTTTTAGTTTTGTTCTTGCTGCTTTATTTTCTTATCAGTGACACCTGTTCCTTCTAAGAGATATTCATGTCCATCATGTTTGTTTTTCCTAGGACCTTTCAGGACCAGCTTCTAACGGAGGGATCAGCCAGGCACATGTCTACGATGTCCAATATGAGAGGTAACTGACATAATTCCTGGCACAGGCACTTTGTACACACAACACTGTGCCTGGCAGGAGAGACTGATAAAGTGTTAATTCTCCTGCTGCTTCCTGTGGCAGTCACTCATTAAAATAGCTGTGATCTCTTGGTGGCTGAGTTTCCAGGAGTGGGTGATAGCACTGCTGACTAGTTCACAGGCCAGTGCCATTGGCAGCCAGGCCCCGAGGAAATGTTTTCCGATCTGCCTGATCTGCCAAGAATGTGTGATCACACAGGGTCTAAATGCTCTCAGTGGGACATTTATATAATTTTAAAGATAATGGCATTTTGGGGAAGAGCTACAAAGATTATTATAATTTCTTCCTTTATTTTTAAACTAGTGGCCCAATGCATGGAATTTGTGCATGGAAGGGGGATTCCCTCAGCCCAGCCTGCACTCTCTCCAATCAGGGATCCCTTGGTAGATGTCCAACTAATGGGCAGTTGGATATCCCTCTTATAATCTGGGACCACTGGCTCCTAACTGCTCACCTGCCTGCCTGCCTGATCACCCATGTCTCTGCTGCCTGCTTGATTCCCCCTAATCCCTCTGCCTGCCTGCCCACCCCAACTGCCCTCCCCTGCCAACCTGATCTCGCCCCCCACTGCTCTTCCCTGCTGGCCTGATCTTGCCCCCAACTGCTCTACTATACTGGTCGATTTGGTTCTGATTGGTCAGTTTCTGTGCCAGTCAGCATCAAAAGCTTCGCCTGCTAGGCAGCCATTGACTCCTCACAGCTCACCCAGATTTGGTTCTGATTGGTTGGTTTCTATGCCAATCGGCATCTCCAGGCCTCATCAGAGAGGTAGGGCTGATCAGCAGCTGCCAGAGGCCCGAAGAGAAACAGAGGCATGACTGCCGGTGAAGCCCAGAGAAAGAGAGAAAGAGAGAAAGGCAATGGCTGATCAACAGCTGCCACGAAGGCCCTGCCTCTCTCTTCAGTTCTCTCTCCAGGTCTGATCCACAGCCCCCTCAGCAGTCAGTGCTGGGTCACCACAGCAACCTTGCACTGACTGTAGGACTTGACTTCTGGTGTTTGGTGGAGCCTTCGGTTGTTTTGGACGTTACGGACTCTGGCTCTTTATATATATAGATGGAGGAAACCAGAAAGATTCCTTTTACAAAGCATTTCCCTAAACTTTGGGCATATGAAAACCTGTTGAAAAACTTGGGGTTTGCTTCAAGTAGATCCAAATTTAATTCCTAGCCCCATCACTTAGTAGTTGGGTGATCCTTAACAGGTGTCTTAACCTCCCTGAGCCACAGACTTCTCACCTGGATACAGCCTCTGTGCTCCCAGAGGCATGGGGGATCGAATGGCATTATGCAGGTACGTGGTGTGCACTTGGTGAACAGTTAAGAATGATGATGATGATAATAACCCCTGTTTCTCCCCCCCCCCCCCTTTTCCAACCCAGGGCCATCCAAGAGAGCCTCCTCACCAACTCGGAAGGCCTGTTCTCTGGTGCCTCCAATGAGACAAGCCATTTTGACAGTGATTTGCAGCTGGCCATGGAGCTCTCTGCCAAGGAGCTGGAGGAGCAGGAGCTGCGGCTGCGGGAGGAGGAGGCGGAGCTCCAGCAGGTCTTACAGCTGTCTCTCACCGAGAAATAGGCCTCTGCCCACGCTGCCCAGCAGCGCTCTGGCTGCAGGCAGGTGCTACGTTACCAGGGCCCTGAGCTGGGGGGCTGACTGCACCTCGCATGTGCACAGCGACGGCAGCTGCCCCTTCTTTACCCAGAGGTGCAGGACCAGGGACCCCCAGGCCCATCCACAACACTCCCCGGTGAAGGGGCTGGGGACTGGCAGGCCACATCTCCAGACTAAGGGGAGGAGAGCATCGTCACTTTCCATTAGCTGTGTTGGCTTGCAGGTCACATTTTTACTACCAGCTTTAGACAAACCCAATCCCCACAGATCTGTAGGTTCATTTTTACCAAGGAGTGATAACAAAACAAGTTATTGCAGTCAGGGTGCTTTTATATATGAGAGCAGCAGCCTTTGTAGAGTGTGGTTTATGAAAATTTATGATACTTTACAGTTCACCAAAGAAATGGATAATCTGTGCCGATCTACTCTTTTATTTTTACCTTTATACAGGGTTTCTAGGCCACCATCACTGTTCCTCCTCCATCTCCACCTCATTCCATTCTTTCCATCCCTAGCTACAGTTAAAGAGGAGATGTGTACAGGATCTATTTTAGATTAGGGTTAACTATTTGCATCAAATTAAGATATACTACTATGGATGTTGCCTTAGCCTTAAGAATTACTAATAATTTCAGACCACCTCACTTCATTCATTGAGGGATCTGATTTGAACTTGTAAAGGCAGTTCCTTTGAGAATAGGGTCCTCCAGGCTAAATCCAAGGCAGCTAATCCTGGCCCTGAAGGAGCAGCTAGAATGAGCTTTGTTCTTGCAGCAGGCAGGCTGGCCAAACAGCAGACAGCATAGAACCAAACCGCACGTGCGTGTGCCACACTCCCTCATGCAGGATTCCACGAGGCGGCCGGGAAGACCACCCCTGCAGTCCTCGGCTCGCTGGAGGAGAAGGGGTGGAGTTGGACAGGGGGCTACAGATGGAACCCAGTGGCTCTGTATTCAGAAGGGAAAGTGATGATTCCACATTGCTCTTTGGAGTTCAAATCAACATCTTTCTCGATAAATATATTTTTTAACAGAATCTTTTTATTATTTTTAAAAGATATAAAAACTATTCCCATCAGTAGCAATACAAGGTTATACATTTTAACCAGATTTTCTCAGGCCTTTTTTTGATACCTTTAGTAGTTAACTATTTTGTCTAACCCTTCTGTAAATAGCCATCACAGAATATACAGCAGAAGGTACCCTCACTCTAGCCTGCTCTGTGTACTCATGCTCACAGCTGCACTGAAATGACCTGGTCAATAATATCCTCCTGTTTGACATCAGTTTCCTGTGTGCTGGGCTGCTTTTGGGATGGGAAGAGAAACAAGAATTACGTTCCAGTTAGAGTCTGTAATACAGTTAGCATTGCCAGTAAAATGTCCCTAGCCACACAGAAATGTGCTTCTGATTCAGTATAACCACCTGTCTGTCTTGTCATGGTCTGACCAAAATTCCTTCCCTTCACACCAGGCCAGTATACGCAGCAGCACCTTTGTTCCAAGTGCATACCTTGGCATTTTGTTTACTGAATGTTTGCCTTGAGTGAGGACATAGCTTGGGAACGGCTGCAGTTAGGCAACAGTTTACTCACTGAGGTGAACCATAAGTAATCTATGTTTGCATTCCATTGTTCTGCTTCCCCGTGTCTCTGACTTTATCCCAGGAAGTCAATTAAAAAGGGACTGAGCTTTTTGTCAACCTGCCTGCAGTGTCTTTCATTTATGTGTTCATGCTCTTAAAATGCAAAGGCCGCTTCCTTAGTGCTCATACAGCATCCCGGACAGCCTGGGAGTCCCTCTCCTCAGGTTCTTAGTCACTGAATGGACCTGCACTTCGTTTTGTGTGACACCCATGCTCAGTTGTATATTACAAGGTGGCATGCTCCTCCTGCCTTCCTGACCAGTCCTAGTCCACATGCCCAGTGCTCCTGGTCTCCAGTGGAAACGAGAAGCAAGCCAGTGTGGGCTGCTCTCTGGCTTTTGCAGCTGGAGCTGGGCTGGCTCTGGTGAGTAAGGAAAACCAAGCCAGCATCTGCTCTCCGGCGAATTAAGCAGCGCTCGCCTTTGAAGTTGAAGAGCTTTTTGTCTGTTTTTTTTTTTAAATATATTTTATTGGTTTTTTACAGAGAGGAAGAGAGAGGAAGAGTTAGAAACATTGATGAGAGAGAATCATCGATCAGCTACCTCTTGCACACCCCCTATTAGGGATGTGCCCGCAACCAAGGTACATACCCTTGACCGGAATTGAACCCAGGACCTTTCAGTCCGCAGGCTGACGCTCTATCCACTGAGCCAAACCGGTTTCGGCTGTCTTTGTGCTTTTCATTGCTTTAGAGCAGTGTTTCCCAAACTTTTGACATATGTGTCCCCCTTCTGTAATTTTCATAATGCTGAGAGTACCCCTCGTACTCATGAGAACGTAGAATTAGGTGCAGCTAAGCACGGTGCAGTGCATATCCCCACCAAACCCCGGTGCAACGCGTACCCCCACCAAACTTCCCGTACCCCTGGGGGTACGCGGACCGCACTCTGGGAAACGCTGCTTTAAAGAGAAAAGTCGTTAGGCCATCTACCATACACGCCCCAAATAGGAGGGTGAACCTGAGACCTGCGTATTTGCCCTAACCCAGAATCGAACCCGCCACCTTTCGGTGTAGGGTAGGGCATTCCAACAGAGCTGCACCTGCCAGGTTGAAGCCGTGCATTTTGAGGCTGCTCTTAGCAGTTCAGTTGATAATTAGGGCTTTAGGACTTATCCTACACCAAGTATGTTGGTATTAAAGCGAGGCAATGACTAGTGAAAGACAGTTTCTGAAACAAGGCCTTGGAAAAATGGGGAAGTAAATAGCCAGGTAGGGCACTAGGAAGAAAACTTCTGGTGGAAACACAATACCTATGGATTATTTAATTAAAAACCAACCGTTTCCTGCTGGACACAGATGACATCAAAGGCAAGTTGAACTATGGCAACTTAATGCCTGCAGCTCAGTAAGTGATGGAGTTCAAACCCGACCAGGCCCATGTGTGATCTCAAACACCCAGCTGGAAAAAGTCCTAAGACCGGAACCCCTCTCTCCAGCAGCCCTGGCACGTCTTCATCTCAGCTTTAAGATTAGTGTTCGCTAAAGTAACTCATTTTTATGACTGGTGTCAGTTATGTGTGTGCATTTGGGTACTCGGGTATTCTGAGTACAGTTCACTTTGTGAGGTCTAGGTCCCCCGAGCTCCCTAAAATGGTCAGGAAAAGAATCTACCTGAAGATACCAGCTGGTCAGCCTCTGCTCTCAAAAGCTTTTCAGTATAATTCCCTCCCTCCCCCAGACCTAAGTTTTTATCTTTCCTTGCCTCTCTGTGATAAGCCTCTTCTACAAAAACGATTTTCTTCCTTTAGCTTGAAGTCATCCTACACGGATGGAACATGGAATGAGGATGGAGGCTGGGTTTTGGATTGTATGTGAACTGCCAAGTTTTTTCAGAAAATGAACATGGCCCTACTACCTGCCTGCTGATTACTGAACAGACAGCAGGGCTGGCAAGTTCTTACTGTTTCCTCTTAAAAGCTTAAAAGTGGCCCTAGCCAGTTTGGCTCAGAGGATGGAGTGTTGGCCTGTGGACCAAAGGGTCCCCGGTTTGATTCTAGGTCAAGGGCATGTACCTGGGTTGCAGGCTCCTCCCGGCCTGGGCCCTGGTCTGGGCTCATGTAGGAGGCAGCCAATTGATGTGTTTCTCTCACATCGATGTTTCCCTTTCTCTCCTCCTCTCCCTAAAAATCAATGGAAAAATATTCTTGGGTGAGGGTTAACAAAAAATAAAATCCTAAAAGTGGCAATAAGTTTTTTGGCAGCATATCAAAATGTGGTGTTCCAGATGAGGTGGGACTTAACCCTGTCAATGCCAGTCTTGGCATCCCACCCACACCTCCTTCCAGCCAGTAACAAATTTCTACGGGACAGGCTAACTAGTAATCCCACCTTCCTTTGAGTTAGCTTTCAAATCATTTCATCTATACAATATTTAAGAACAAGTGTATGTCACCATTTCAAAGAAGAGAAACAGGCTCTGAGGAAGTTCAGGCTGTTTGTGCCTGGAGCTAGGACAAGAGTCCAGGTCTCCAGACCTCTGGCCAGCCTGAGGGATTAATCGGCTCAGTTTTCAGAAATGATGCCTTGCCTTGGGGAAATAGTATTATTTCACATATGAATTTAAAAATCCACTTCACAGTGCTTCCTTAAGAGATTTGATTCAAACACACCTGCATTTTAAATGCTTGGAACATAACTAGGAGTAAAACAGGATGTAAGATTTTACTTTAATTTTAACTGACATTTGCTGAAAAGCACAGAACAGTTAACATTTGAAGGTTTACAAACAAAATACGTCAAAGAGTTACAGGATCCCACATCAGTTATTTCACATTAAGTGCGGGTTTAAAAAAAAAAAAATTAGGAGCACAAGATATGCATTTCAGTTTAACAACGTAATTAAACTTAGCACCTTTAAAGTAAAATAAATACTGATGGCCAAGTAAGTACAAAAGCATCACTGCAATAGGGGGAGATCCAGTTCACCAACAGTGCAAACCAGCAGCAGCATTTCCAAAGCTGAAGTGAAATTTGTAAACACAGACCCACTCCCACTCTGCCTAGTACAGGAAGGGAGTCCTTCCCACCCGGGGCCGAAGAGTCTTAGATTCCAAATCTGAAAAGCTGCCACGCTTCGGGCCACGGGCCGGGAAGGCTGAAGTGCAGACCAGGGAGGTCCGCACGTTTGCAGGAAGTTCTTTTTCAGACGGGTCACCTTGAAGCTTCCAGTGCCTGCCAGCCCAAGGGGACACATGAGAGAGCCTACCTGATGTGACCCCGACTTCAGTGGGGGCAGAGCTGATGCTGCATGAGGAATGACAGCCCAAGCTCCCCACAGAGGACACTGCTTTGCAACCAGAGTACTCTAGGCCACCTCTAATCACAAACGTTTGTGATTCTTAACCTATAGTCACAAATGGTTCTTAAGTGCTGAATGTCTGTCTAAGTCGTCTACTCTTTTCAGACATTAATGATTAGTCCTTCCCAATCACTCACAAGGTTACCGTGTTTCCTGAGGAAGGAAACTCCATTTTTACACAGAACTTTGCGCTGAGCTTTAGGTCTTACTTTTGACAAGTGTAGCCACATATAAAAGAAAATACTAAAAGTAGACTCAGTGGCCAATTATTTGCATTACAGTGTTACAGAAAATCTGCTAGATGTTCTAAGTCAGCATTTACTAATTGTCCAGACCAGAGGTCATTTCCAAGCATGAAAGTTCGGATTCCAACTTCTCCACTGACCCGTGTGCAACACCACTTATTCTGTTCCCACACTCCGGGACGGCTTGCTCGGCTGTCAGCGACGCCGAATGGGTTTGTAGACACAAAATGCCATAAGGATCATGGTCACCAGCAGGATGCTGAAAACGGTTCCCATCAGCACTGCAAAAGGAATACAAGTTACCTCCTCATGGCGGCCCGGTTCCGTAAGTCCTCATTCACCATCGGCGACGGACCGAATGCCGCTCAGTGCCCGGCGCTGTGCCGGGGGGAAACAGCCTTGAACAGACCCTCTCTCTGGAAGTCTCCAAGTGTTGGGGAGAATGTAAACAAGAGCATTTCACAGCCTGAAGGACTGCAGTGAGGAAACTACTGTGACAGTTGGGGGTGGGGGGGCGCGGAGACATCTGAGTGGGGACACATGAGCTGAGGCTTTAATGAAAGGAAGGTCCTGGCCGTATGAAGATTTGCAGGGAGAGCACTGTCAGCCCCATGATCAGCAAATGAAGGCCGCTGAGGCCAGAGCAAGCCAAAAAGCAAATGAATGAACAGGAGACCAGTGTGGCAGAGGTGGGAACGGTGAAGGGAGGAAGGCAGGGAATGGAGCTGGAGAGGAAGACTGCAGCCATTGCATGTTTAAGGAAACATGGATTTTATTCTGAGTTTAAAGAAAGGGTTTTAGGCAAAGAATAACGATCTGAATAAAAGCAGGGAGCCCAACTATGTTTTTAAAGCCATTTATAAAAACTAAAAATTCAATAAAATATTTCAGTCTCTCTGTGAGTTTTGAGAAGGGCCTTTCTGATCAAAGAAGCAATTTACTAACTTCACAAACCTACTATGTTTTTGAAAGGAAACTTCACAACTAAAATTTACGGCCAAAACCGGTTTGGCTCAATGGATAGAGCGTCGACTTGGGGACTGAAAAGTCAGGGGCATGTACCTTGGTTACAGGCATATCCCCAGTAGGGGGTGTGCAAGAGGCAGCTGATTGATGACTCTCTCATCGATGTTTCTAACTCTCTATCTCTCTCCCTTCCTCTCTGTACAAAATCAATAAAATATATTTTTAAAAAAAAATTTACAATGTGCTCAGGTAAGAACTGGGACCTGCAGTTGGTAACAAGTTGATCTGTGGTACAGGACTAGGCTGAAGGGCCTGGCTTTAAATCAATGTAACCAGCAACCTGTCAGAAGTCACAGGCACTCCCAACTGTGACTCTCAGAATTGTGGGAGGTGTTCAAAATGCTGTTCCTTTATTTATTTATTTATTTATTTATTTATTTATTTATTTTATTGATTTTTTACAGAGAGGAAGGGAGAGAAATAGCTAGAAATGTTGATGAGAGAGAAACATTGACCAGCTTCCTCTTGCACACCCCCCACCGGGGATGTGCCCGCAACCAAGGTACATGCTCTTGTCCAGAATCGAACCTGGGACCTTTCAGTCCGCAGACCGACGCTCTACCACTGAGCCAAACAGGTTTCGGCAAAAAATGCTGTTACTTTTAACAAGCGCATGTACGTTGGTGTTGGAAAGTCTGTCTGGAGATATTCTGATTGATTGTGTGGGCTGGGATCTAGTGGGTAAAGGCCAGGGAGGCCGCTAAACATCTCACGGAGTGCAGGACAGCATGTCTCCATGCCTCCCTCCTGACAATGAATGATCCCATCAGCATGATGGATCTAAAGCATACAGCAGGATCATGTGTGGAAACCACGGAGCACAGCACTAGCCAGCTAGGCACACAACACAGTACGTGCGAAATACATGACAATGAACCCTAATGGTTTGGCTCAGTGGATAGAGCTGTGGACTAAACCTGGTTCCAGGTTCAATTCTGGTCCAGGGCACATGCCCAGGTTTCAGACTCCATCCCCAATAGGGGGAGCGCAGGAGGCAGCCAATCAATAGCTCTCTCTCATCACTGATGTTTCTAGATCCCTCTCCCTTCCTCTCTGAAATCAATAAAAATATTAAAAGAAACAAGTCACATGACCTCAAGCTTCAGATGCTGGGGATGGGTACAAAGAAGAGATGGGGCCTGAGGCTTCTAACTCCTTCCTGGAGGCGGCCTCCCCTGGAGGGAGCCCTAGGTCACTGGGCTGGAAAGCAGAATTCGGGTCGGGGGTCGGGGATGACACCTTAATTCTAGTCTTGCCTGCCACCAGCTTCCAGTGTGACCTTGGGACATCTCTCACCCTCTCTGGGCCTCGGTTTCCTCAATGTTTAAATGAGGGACAGAGGCTGCCGGATGCTCCCTGGCCTTTCTAGCTCTGGCCCTCTTGAATTATTAAAATATATGTTTTTAAAAATACATGACAATGAGTTCACGTACAGATAATCCAGAAATGATACTATGTGGCAGCTTTGTTGATGTCCAGATGTAGAGTGAGGCACAGCGGGAAGGAAGGGCTTTGACCAAACAAGAGGAAGTTATTCCGAAGCTCGAGAGTCGGCCCCTCCGTAGCCGAGGCCCCTGGACGAGGTGTTTGAGGAAGAGATGCTCTCACAAAGCCGGTTCCGTCCCGGCCGCCCCCGCTTTCCAGCTGTGTGACCTCGGGCAAACCTCTCCGAGCTTCCTTTTTTCTCATCTGTAACATCTGCTGAGAACTACCGCTTCACTTCAGTGAGGCCGGCACGAAGTCACGTGTACGAAGTGCTGAGCACAGCACACGGCCCGGCGGAAGTGGGCCAGTCACCGCCGTGACCACGGTCCCACGGGGGAAGCGGGAGCGGGGTGCACCCTCACACTCCTTGCGGCCTGGCCTGCGCACCCGCCCGGGAGGAGGGGACCCGGATGGAGGCCCAGGACCCCGGCCTCGCCATGCCGAGAGCCTGTGCACCAGGCTGGCGCCGAGCTGCACGGCCCTGTCCCCAGGCCCCGGCGAGGTCGCCCCGCACCAATAACCCCCGTTCGTCCCCGCCGCCCGCCCCGCCGGCCCGGCTCCCGGCGCCCCAGGGGCGGAAGCGGAGCCCGATCCCGCCGCCGGCCCGCCCGCGCCGCTCACCCAGGTTCTGCCCGCGCAGCACCGCGTACGGCCGGCTCCGCTCCAGCGGCTCCCCCGGGCTCGGGGCCTCCGCCCGCCCCACGAGGAGGCCACACAGGCCGAGGCACGGCCACCACCACCCGGCGCGCGGCATCCTCCCGAGCTTGCAGCGGCAGAGCCCGCTTCCGCCGGAAGCCCCGCCTCTGTCTCCACTCACTGCTTCCGCTCGTGCGACGCGCGCCGTTGCCAGGGTAACTGCAGTGCCGTCCCCCACCAGGAAGGGAACCGGCAGCCGGTGCCCAACCGACTGATCCACACCGGCCGGGGCTTTTTAAATTTTTCTTTAATTTTCCACGATGAAACAAATAATAATAAATAATCCTGCTTCTCCTTCCCCGCGCGCCTGCCAGCTTTCTCCAAGCGGCCACATCTTCTGTCTGGATGCTGCGGAAGCTCCTTTACTGCGCTCCTGCTTCCCTTTTGCCCTGCGCCACACCCCCTGCTTTTTCTCTGATCCTCTGCCAGGAGGCAGTGTCATCCTGTTAAAATGAAAGGCAGACCGTGTTCTGCCTCGTTGGAAACTCCCCAGTGGCTCTCCATTTCGCTCAGAGTAGAAGTTAAGAGTCTTGCCCTTATTGGTTTGGCTCAGTGGACAGAGTCCGTCTGTGGACTAAAAGGTCCCCCTCTCCTCCACCTCCGTTGCAGAAAAACCAAGCAGCATTTGGAGAAATGGAGTCACACTATATTATTATTATTATTATTACGTGCAGCTTCAGAGAAAAATGCCTTTCAAATTCTGGGCAAAGAAACTAGGAGGAAGCTACGCTGTTTATACTTTTTCTAGCTCAAGTAAGGGTGTTTCTGGTTCCCTTTGCACGTTCTTAAAGAGCCCTATGCGCTGGGGCTTTGAGACCACAACCAAAGGGTTGGCCTGGTGCCAGCACTGATAACTTCATCTGGGGAAGGTTTGTGGCCTCTCTGGAATGGGAGTAGTCTTATTTTCCTTATTATTTAAGCAGTCAAGCATTTACAGGAGCCAAAATAGCAGGGTTAAAATTTCAAACAGCAGTTTTTATATAAGATGCTTCACCCCCACCCCGGGTTTGATCTCAGTCAAGGGCACATGCCCAGGATGTGGGCTTGGTCTCCTGTGCAGGAGGCAGCTGGTTGGTGAATCGGTGCTCTCTTCATTGATGTTTCTCTCTCTCCCTTTCCCTCTGAAATATATATATTTTAAAGTCAAAGTCTTAGTAGTTTTCAAGATCCTACACCCTTAGTCCCCCCCCCCCGCACCCCTTCTTGACACTCTCTACTATTCAAACCTTATCCCCTCCCACCCTCCTCCCCCTATCATTTCCCTCCCGTCACAGTGATATTCCTTAAACCCACCAGGCCCACTGTCGCATGGCCCTCTGCATTTGCTGTTCCTTCTGCATTGAAGGATCCTCTTCCCTCTGACATGCACATGGCTCACTCTTCACCTCATTCATGTCTTTATGCAAATGTCAAATGCCTCCTTTTAGGGCCTTCCCTAACCACATTATTTAAGACTGAACACACACACGCACACACACACACACATACAGTACCTCTTAACCTTTCTCTGCTTTATTTTTTCTGTTTAGCACTTATCACCATCTTGTTTACTATAATTTTATTTTTATTTTATTTTTTTAAAATATATTTTATTGATTTTTTACAGAGAGGAAGGGAGAGAGATAGAGAGCCAGAAACGTCAATGAGAGAGAAACATCGACCAGCTGCCTCTTGCACACCCCCTACCAGGGATGTGCCCACAACCAACATACATGCCCCTGACCGGAATCGAACCCGGGACCCTACCCTTCAGTCCGCAGACCGACGCTCTACCACTGAGCCAAACCGGTTTCGGCTATAATTTTATCTTGTTTTTGTCTGTCTTCACCATCGGAAAGTAAGCCCTCTGCAAGCAGGGAATTTTGCCCGTTCACTGCTTTATGCCCAACTCCTGACTGGCACATAGTAGATGCTCAAAAAAATGTTTGTTGAATTAATGAATGAATGGCACTCTAAGATTAAACTCCTGCCCTCCTGCCTGCCTTGCTTAAATAATAAGGAAAATAAGACTACTCCCATTCCAGAGAGGCCATAAACCTTCCCCAGACAAAGTTATCGGTGCTGGTACAGGCCAAGCCTTTGGTTGAGGTCTCCGCTCTGAACTCTCCATGCCAAGGCAAATTTAGCACCTGAGTCCTTGGCACACCCCTGGATAGTTCACACTGCTCTGTCTGCACTTGTTTTGTGCCCTCTTTTCCTGGCCACATCCCCACTCTTTTAAGACTCTTCTCAGTCAGGTGCCGACTGACACCATAGGTGACCCCAAAGAAACTCTTCTGCCAGCTTCCCACTAGGCTTCCATGCCCTTTTCCTACCTGGCACACATCACTTCAGGCTCTAGCTTGTGTCCTCCACTGCCCGGGGGGCCTCTTGGGGCAGGAACCAGTCTATTTAGTCTTCTTAGCACAATGTCTGGCACCGAGAAGACACTCAGGAGATAATTAGAAAATGAATAATACCTGCATTTAGTGAGTGTTTTATATTTAATTTGCATGACAACGTATGGAGCAAGCGGTCAAAGGGGTGTAGAGTCTGCAGAGTTAACTGGGATTTAAAGTCCGTTCTGTACCCAAAGAACCCTAAAGATTCCACCAGTATCAGTCTGGTAAATTGGACAGATACAAACAGAAACTCTACCACTTTGTTACATGGTATACCCGAAGACACTCAAAATGGAGTGAAAGCTTAGATGTAAGACTTCAAACCATAAAACCCGTAAGGAAAAGAGGCAGCAAACTCTCAGACATCTATCTCTCTCAGTAATATTTTTCTCTGATGCATCTCCTTGGGCAAGGGAAACAAAAAAATGCATAGCAAAGGAAGCCATCAATAAAATGAAAAGACAATCCACTTAATAGGAGATATTCGCCAATGATACATCTGTTAAAGGGTTAATATTCAAAATTTATGAAGAATGCATACAACTCAACGCCAGAAAAACAAACTACCCAACTTAAAAACGGGCAGAGGTCGCCTCGGAGCACACGCGAGCCTTCTGCGCCCTGCCCCTCCCCCTTCTCCTCCCGCCCAGGCCTGTGGCCATGAGCCCCTTCGCTCCCGTGCTCCAAGGGCCCTCCTTTACCTCTACAACTGCTTTCCTGAGCCCATTTCCTCTAGGAATTACCTTTTTTTGTTGTTCTTTATTGTTTAAAGCATTACATAAGTCTCCATTCTTGCCCATTGACTTCTCCCTGGTCACCCCCCTCCCCCCACCCTCATCTTTCCCCCATCTGTGCCCATTGGTTATGCTAATATGCATTCATACAAGCCCTTTGGTTGACCTAATACCCTCCCCCTCCCCTGCCTTCCCTCATAGATTGGACAATCTATTCCATGCTTCTATGTCTCTGGTTCTGTTTTTGTGCATCAGTTTATGTTGTTCGTTATATTCCACAAAGAGTGAGATCATGTGATATTTATCTTTCTCTGACTGGCTAATCTTCCTCTTTTTTAAAAAAATAAATCTTTATTGTTCATCTTATTATAATTGATTCTCCTTTCCCCCCACCTATAGCTCCACCCCACCTGGTCCCCACTCCACCCTCTGCCCTTACCTCCTCCTCCTCCCCCTCCTTCCGTCCTCATCCAGAGGTATGATTTTTGTCCAGTCTCTTCCCGTACCCCCCACACAGACACCCATTTCCCCCTGAGAATTATCAATCCCCTCCCATTCTATGCCCCTGATTCTATTATATTCACCAGTTTATTCCATTCCTCAGATTTTTAATTCACTTGACTTTTAGATTCACTTGTTGATAGATATGTATTTGTTGTTCATAATTTTTATCTTTACTTTCTTCTTCTTTTTCCTCTTTTTAAAGAACACCTTTTAGCATTTCAAATAATACTGGTTTGGTGGTGATGTACTCCTTTAGCTCTTTTTGATCTGTGAAGCTTTTTATTTGCCCTTCAATTCTGAATGATAACTTTGCTCGATAGAGTAATCTTGGTTGTAGGTTCTTGCTATTTGTCACTTTGAATATTTCTTGCCACTCCCGTCTGGCCTGCCTAATTTCTGTTGAGAAATCAGCTGATAATCGTATGGGTGCTTCCTTGTAGGTAACTGTTTTTCTCTTGCTGCTTGTAAGATTCTGTTTTTTTTTGCTCTTGGTATTTTAATTATGATGTGTCTTGGTGTGGTCCTCTTTGGATTCCTTTTGTTTGGGGTTCTGTGTGCTTCCTGGACTTGTAAGTCTATTTCTTTCACCAGGTGGGGGAAGTTTTTGGTCATTATTTCTTCAAATAGGTTTTCAGTGTCTTGCTCTCTCTCTTCTTCTGGCACTCCATAATTTTGATGTTGATTCGCTTGAAGTTGTCCCAGAGGCTTCTTGCACTATCTTCAACTTTCTGGATTCTCTTCTCTTCTTGCTTCTCCGGAAGAATGTCTTTTGTCTCTTTATGTTCCAAATCTTTGTCTTGATTCTTGCAATCTTCTAGTCTGCTGTTGGGTCTTTGTATAATATTAGGTCTAGTAATAATTAATGTCGTTTTCTAATACTTTTTAAAATCGAATTTATTTAAACAATACAACAAAATTTAATCAACAATATAGTTGCCATTGTTTTCTACTACTTGTGCCCAATGCTCAGGAAGCATTTTAATCCCTCTGTTGTAAAATTCTTGTGATTTTGATGCAAAAAATTCGGTCAATGCATTTTTGAGGCATTCTTCATTATTAAATTTTTTTCCAAGAAGAAAGTTTTGCAAACAATGAAACAAATGGTAATCGGAAGGGGCAATATCAGGAGAATATGCAGGTTGAGGGATAACTTCCCATTCCAACTGGTGCAGTTTTTCAGCAGTGATTCTTGCAGTATGCCGTCGTGCGTTATCGTGGTGAAGAATTACGCCCTTCTGATTAATCAGCGCGGGTTCTTTTTCTCTTAAAGCTTGGGCTAACCTTTCCAATTGGGCACTATACACTGCACTTGTAATGGTTTGGTTAGATGGTAAAAGTTCATAATGAAGAATTCCTTTAAAATTCCACCAAACACACAACATCACTTTTTTCGCATGCAAGTCAGGTTTTGGCGTGGGCTGCGGAGCCTCATTTTTGTCCAACCATTGAGGCCGCCTTTTCAAATTAACATACAGCACCCAGTTTTCATCTCCAGTAACAATTTGCTCTAAAAACGACAAACGGTTTTGACGAGAGAGGAGCAAACTGCAAATTGTGACTCTTTGATTACAGTTGTTGTCGGTCAACTCATGAGGAACCCATTTTCCAAACTTTTGGACTTTGCCAAGTGCACGCAATTGATTGGAAATTGTTTTTTGTGAACAATTTAAAGTTGTCGCAAGCTCTTGTTGGGTAATTTGAGGATTTTGCACCAAAAGAGCTTGAAGAGCTTCTTGATCAAAATTGGACACACGGCCTCGACCACTCTTGTCATCTAACGAAAAATTTCCTCGCGAAATTTCTCAAACCAATGCTGGCATTTTGTGGCGCTAACTGCATCTTGACCAAGAGCACTACAGATGTTTTTTGCAGCCTCACTTGCTTTTCTTCCTAATTGGAACTCGTAAAGCATGCAGTGCCGAATATGTTCTTCATCCGCCATCTTCTTAGACCTAGTTTTGCAACAAAAACCAAACCAAACACAAACTTTTTCAAGCAAAACTTGTTAATTGCACTTCACACGTTCTGTAGATACCACGTGTTTGAAGATTATGTCAATACAAGTCAACGCCAAGCAAGATTTTAAACCAATGTTTAAAACGACATTAATTATTACTAGACCCGATATTTTTATTTCAGTCAGTGCATGTTTAATTTCTAGTTTAATTTCTTTTTCATATCCTCGAGGGTCTTGTTAAGTTTATCAGCCTTTTCTAGGAAATTCTTGAAGAACCTTATAATCGTGGTTTTGAACTCTATATCCAGTCTTTTGTTTGTTCTCCTCCATTTCTTTTGTTTGAGATCTCCTTCCTTTTCTTGGCATTTTCGCTGCTTATGCAAAAGCAGCTGTGTGGCCGAAACTGGTTTGGCTCAGTGGATAGAGCATCGGTCTGTGGACTGAAAGGTCCGGGTTCGATTCCGGTCAAGGGCATGTAAAATGGTTGCAGGCACATCCCCAGTAGGGGGTATGCAAGAGGCAGCTGGTCGATGTTTCTCTCTCATCGATGTTTCTAGCTCTCTATCCGTCTCCCTTCCTCTCTGTAAAAAAATCAATAAAATATATTTAATTAAAAAAAAAAAAAAAGCAGCTGTGTGGAGCCTGGGCGGGTTTGTAGAATTGTGGGGCGGGGCCTCAGGGCAGGGCGGGGCCTTAGGGCGGGGCGGGGTCTCAGGACCTCTCTAGGCTGGGGCGTGGCAAGCAGCGATGGCTGCCGTCAGCTGTCTCTGCCTGTCAGCGTTTCCAAGTCCCCCGCTCCAGTGCAGGAAACAATGACTGCTGCGTGCACCTCTAGGCTTTTCAGCTTTTCAGCTCTTGTGCTCCTTTCTCTTTCAGCCAGCTTTCCCGTGGTTTTGGGTGATAGATGTTTTGTCTTTTAGCTGTAGTTTTGAAATTGTTGTGTGAGGGAGCAGATTAGTTGCTCAACTACGCTGTCATCTTGGCTTTTCCTTTATGAATTACTTTTTCTACCTCTATAATTTACCCAATAAATATTCTCTTACAGAAATAAATAAATAAATAAATAAATAAATAAATAAATAGCAAAGGACTTGAATAGACATTTTTCCAAAGAGGTCATACAGATGGACAATAGACTTATGAAAAGATGCTCAGTCACACTAATCATCTGAGAAATGTAAGTGAAAACCACAATGAGATGTCACCTGACACCTGTCAGAATGGCCACCATCCATAAATCAACAAACAACCAGTCCTGGCGAGGGTGTGGAGAGAAAGGAAGCCTCAGTCTGCTGGTGGGAATGCAGACTGGTGCAGCCCCTGTGGGGAACAGTATGGAGTTTCCTCAAAAAAATTAAAATGGAACTGCTTTATGACCCAGTGACACCACTTCTTGGAATATATCTGAAAAAACTCAAAACACTTATTTGAAAGGATGAATGCATACTGGTGTTCTTTGCAGTGTTGTTTACAATAGCCAGGCTCTGGAAGCAGCGAGGCAGCCGTCCACAGATGAGTGGGTGTTTTATTTTATTTTATTAAAATATATTTTATTGATTTTGTACAGAGAGGAAAGGAGAGAGATAGAGAGTTAGAAACATTGATGAGAGAGAGTCATTGATCAGCTGCCTCTTGCACACCCCCCACCTACTGGGGATGTGCCCGCAACCAAGGTACATGCCCTGGACCGAATCGAACCCGAGACCCTTCAGTCCCCAAGCTGATGCTCTATCCATTGAGCCAAACGGTTTTGGCGGAGTGGGTGTTTTTGTTTGTTTGTTTGTTTGTTTGTTTTAAATATATTTTATTGATTTTTTTTTACAGAGAGGAAGGGAGAGAGATAGAAAGCTAGAAACATCGATGAGAGAGAAACATCGACCAGCTGCCTCCTGCACACCCCCCACCGGGGATGTGCCCACAACCAAGGTACATGCCCTGCCTGGAACCAAACCTGGGACCTTTCAGTCCGCAGACCGACGCTCTACCACTGAGCCAAACCGGCTTCGGCCGGAGTGGGTGTTTTTAAAGCTGTGGTGCCTGTGTACACTGGAATATTACTCAGCCATTTTATGTGACTGCGTGGACGGTGTTATACCCAGAGGGTAATATGCTAAGTGAGCTAAGTCAGAGAAAGACAAATACCACATCATTTCTTTTTTTAAAAAATATATATATTTTATTGATTTTTTTATAGAGAGGAAGGGAGAGAGATAGAGATCTAGAAACATTGACCAGCTGCCTCCTGCAAACCCTCTACCGGGAATGTGCCCGCAACCAATGTACATGCCTTTCACCAGAATTGAACCTGGGACCTTTCAGTCCTCAGGCCGATGCTCTACCACTGAGCCAAACCGGTTTTGGAATATGATTTCATTTATATGTGGAATCCAAAGGACAACGTAAATGAACCAACAAAACAGAAAAGCCTCATAGGTACGAAGAGTAGGCTGATGGCCGCCAGCAGGGAGGAGGGGGATTGAGAGGTGCAGCCTGGCAGTTACAGCCCAGGGAGCACAGCCGATCGTGTGGTGGTGACTGCGTCCGGGGCCACGGGATCTGGAAAGGCCAGGGGCCCTTTGCCAAGCGTATGATTGTCTAACCACCATGCTGTACACCTGACGCTGATACAAAATGATACGGAACATAAACTGCAAATGAAAAAAAGAAAAAATATCCAAATTAAAAAGTATAAATAGTCTGTTCCACCTGACGTGAGTCCCAACTGCTCATCCCCACCATGAACAAACCCCTTCTCTGCCTGAACTTCGGACAAGGGTGGCAGGTACCATCCAACTCGGACCTTGCTGGCAGATTGCCTCCTCTAAGGACCAACCCAAGCCAATTTCACTTTCCAAACGTCATTAAAGGGAAACTTAAAGAGTTGGGAATCGAAACCAATAGCAGAAAGTTGGGCCAGAAGCCAAGCCTGTTAAGGTGGCCCCAGTCCTCCCAAGCTCTGCGGAGTCCCTCTGCGCCTCTGCCACAGCCAGGGCTCCCCAAGGAGGGGGCCCCAGGCCAGCCCCCTCGCTCCGGGCTTCCTCTCCGTTATCTGTATCCCAGCAGCCGCTAGAGGGGAGCGGAGGAGGAGCTCCCTTAAAAAAAAAAAAAAAAAAAAAAAAAGGCGTGCACACCAGGAGCTGGGCGTGTGACTACATATCTGCCTGGCAGGGCTCCTGTCACAGGTCCTGTCACAGCGATGGCACTGCCCGAGGAGCTGTACGACACCCCCGCCTCCAGGCTGGACTCCTTCCTGGTGCAGCGGCTGCAGCCCAGCCGGGAGTGGAAGGAGGAGGTGCTGGAGGCGGTGAAGACGGTGGAGCAGTTCCTGAGGGAAGAGCCCCTGCAGGGAGCGTGTTGGCCGGACCAGGAGGTGCGGGTGCTGAAGCTGGTGAAGGTGAGACTGGGCCAGGGCTGGGCACACGCAGCCCGAGGGGCCTGACCGAAGAGGCGCTGGGGATCTCCGCCCGCTATCCCTACCCCACGCTGCTGACTCTCAGCACTTAGCTGCCTGCACCCCACCCCACACTGCCCTGAGCAGAACAACCTGGTAAGGAAGCTAATAACAGTTCACTTTTTGGGGTGCACCAGCATTACCCCTCACCAGGTCTGATCTCTATGCTGTTCTCTTCCCTTTTCTCAGATGAGAGCAAAATGGACGCTCAGCGACTTGAGATTGATAGCAACCAAGTGCAAAGCCAAGTCTTTGCTCCTGGTGTGAATAGATAGATCATCAGAGAGAGAGAGAGAGAGGGAGAGAGAGAAACAGGTTTCTCGTTCCACTTATTTATGCCTTTGTTGGCTGATTCTTGTATGTGCCCTGACCTGCGATAGAACCAGCAACCTTGGCCTATTGGGAAGACACTAACCACCTGAGCTGCAGGGCTGAGGACATCTTAGCCTGACCTGGATGTTAAGTAATAAGAGTGAATCGTTGCTGGTTGTGTTAGGTGTGACAGATCTGCGGTTAGGGGAGATATGTTCTCTTACATTGTACACAAATGCTAATTTATTTAGGGACTTGGTGTCTATCGTTTACCTTAATGTGGGTTAGATGAAGCAAATGTGGCGAGAAGTTAAGATTGTTAATCTAACTGGATATATGAGCTCACTTTATTCTCTATGTTTTACTTTAAATATATATTTGATTTCAGAGAGGAAAAGAGACGGGGAGAGAGATAGAAACATCAATGATGAGAGAGAATCACTGACCAGCTGTCTCCTGTGTGCCCCACACTGGGGATCAAGCCCGCAACCCTGGCCTGTGCCCTGACCGGGAATTGAATCGTGACCTCCTGGTTCATAGGTCAGTGCTCAACCACTGAGCCATGCCGGCCGGGCTGACTCTGTAGCTGACTGTGACCATGACCACGGACCCCCACTGCCTCAGTGCACCTCAGAGATAATGTTACAAGTGGCCCCTCAGTCGCCAGGCGAGAGGACGCAAAGGTCTTGTCTGCGCAAAGGGCTCTCAGGCGGCCAGACCCAGCCAGTGCTCACCCCACGGGGAAAGGGGCTGATCTGAGGCCTGTTCATGCCCAGCAATCCTACCTCCCGAAGAGAGAGAGAGGAGAGAGAGAGAAAGAGAGAGAGGAGAGAGAGGAGGGTGATTTGTAGGGCTCTGAATGATCACATAGCTGGAGAAGCCAGGCAGGAGTCAGGTCCAGGTCCGGCTGCCCAGGCTCTCATCCACAGGCAGTCCTGCCCCCCCCCCATGTCATAAACCACTCAGACCTCCCGCTGCCCGTCCAGCCGCCTGTGGAGGCATCCATGTCCGGGCACACACATGGCTGCAGGGAGGACGGCCTCAGAGCGGAGCCGAGGGAACCGGGCCTGGGCTCCGGCCTCAGGCTGCGCACCTGCGACCCGGCAGGTGGCTTCTCCCGAGCTCCCGCTTTCTCACCTGAAAGAGGGGGGACGGGTACCCCCGTCGGGGCTGTGGCTGAGCCCTCGGGGCTGTGACCCTGCCCCCCGGGGCTGTGGCTCGGACCCCGGGGCTGGGGCTGAGCCCTCGGATCTGGGCTCGGACCCGGGGCTGGGGCTGAGCTGGGCGGTGACGGGCCCTGTGCCCGCAGGTGGGCCCCTTCGGCACGGGCACGGCGCTGCGGGGCGTGGCGGAGGTGCGGCTGGTGGCCTTCCTGAGCGGCCTCCGCAGCTTCCAGGAGGCGGCCCGGTGCCACCAGGCGGCGCTGCGGCTCCTGCGGGGGGCGCTGTGGACCTGCCGGGACCTGCTGGACCTCGGGCTCGAGGGCCTGGAGGTGGCCCCGGGCGTCCCCGACGCTCTCGCCTTCACCATCTGGACCCGCTGGACCCGGGAGCCGGTCACCGTCACCGTCGTGCCCGCCCACCGGGCCCTGGGTAAGGAGGGGCCCCTCGTCCGCCGGCCCCGGCCCCCCGGGGACCACGCTGGTGCATGGTGATGGCAAAGCAAGCAAGACCCCGGGGGCGGAGTGGAAGGCGCAGGGCACGCACCGGGGACCCGCGCAGGCCTGGGGGGGGGGGCCTGCGGGGACCGGAGGCGGCAGAGCGGGGAGGCGCCCGGCCCGCAGCCGCCCCAGCACGGCGCCCCGAGCCCCGCTTTCTGCCCTGGAACTGGGGTCCCCGCGGCGCTGGGGCCCAAAGGAACTGAGGCCGCGGGTCCAAAACGGGCCTGAAGGGAACGCGCTGAGCGCCTGGGGAGGGCGCCTGGGGGCGCGAACCCGCTGGTGGCGGCAGGAAGGACCCCCGCCCCGGGCAGCCCCCGCGGGCACAGGCCCGGAGCAGCCCCTGCAGCCCCCGAGGCCCCAACCCCCGCCCCGGGCAGCCCCCGCGCCCCGGCCCCTGCAGCCCCCGCGCCCCGGCCCCTGCAGCCCCCGCGCCCCGGCCCCTGCAGCCCCCGGGCCCGGCCCCTGCAGCCCCCGCGCCCCGGCCCCTGCAGCCCCCGGGCCCGGCCCCGGGCAGCCGGGCTCCTCACCCTCCCCCTGCGCCCCTCGCCCCAGGGCCCTCGGCTCCCAGCTCGCCGCCGCCCCCCGAGGTCTACGAGCGCCTGGCCGCAGCCTGCCCGGACCCCGGCCGCCTCTCGCCGTCCTTCTGCGAGCTGCAGCGGGACTTCGTGAAGTACCGGCCCGCCAAGCTCAAGGGGCTGCTGCGGCTGGTGAAGCACTGGTTCCTGCGGGTGAGCCTGGGGGGGAGATGGAGCCGGCCAGGGAGCGGGCCGTCTTCTAAATACAAAGTGGAACAGAGAGGCTGGAGAGAGCCGGGCCAACCAGAAAGTCCCCGCGGCTCCATCCCCAGCAGGGGGCGCGCAGGAGGCAGCCCATCCATGGTTCTCTCTCATTGATGTTTCTCTCTCCCTCTCCCTTCCTCTCTGAGATCAATAAAAACAAATAAGTAAGGAGCTAGAGAAAGAGGGGAAAGAGGAGGAGGGGAGGGGAAGAGAAAGAAAAGCTGGAGGGAGGAGAAAAATAAGGAAGTTACAGGATTTCAGTAAGCAAGTACACAGTCTGGTACCGTTAATGCCAATTGCAATGGGATATCCGCACGTTAATCGTTGCCCATGAAGGCCGCTAACAAGGGGAAAGATTCACCGCATTCCGCCCACACCAGTTCCCCTCCCATGGCCGGGGGTCCCGGGATCATGACTAACTGAGTGAACATCTTCATAGCAGTTGCCTTTCAGATTTCACATGCGATGTCTGCATGGAATCATGTATATTTCAAAATATCCATACGACACCTGGAACTAATATAATATTGAATGTCAACTGCACTTGAAAAAAAGAATGATTATTAAGATGATAGATCCTCCCTTCCTCCAACTGATGGACAGACGTAAACTCCACCTGCAGCCAGACGTTCCTGTGCATTGAACCACCAACCAGCACCTGCCAAATACACTAAGCCCCCGGTTCCTAAGTCCCTAGGTCCCTAATCCTAGGCCTTACATGAAACCATCAATCAGCGTGTGCTGAGCGCCCTAAGCCCCGCCCCTATCCTTAAAGGTGCTTGTACCCCGGCCCTCGCTCTCTTCCGCTCTCTCTCTGGAAGCAGCGGGCCGGGGTACTCTTCTCTCCATTACAGCCTGTGTCCTGCATCCCGGTCTCCGCCCCACTCTGTTTCATCTTTCATACTGGTGCCTCAGACCCGGGTGAACGTGGACGATCCTCTGGCCCTGCTGGGCGGCATGGTCCTGAGTTGATTGGTGGTTTAGTGCTCCGACTAAGAGACAGAGTTTACGTCCGTCCATCAATTGGAGGAGGAAGGGAGGATCAAGCCTCTGCCCCTGAGACAAGGATTCGGCCACACAGGGTTTTATGAAGCTGTTTCTTGATTCAGTACTATTACTTTGGTGTTTTATTTGACAAGTTTTATCCAGCTAGGTGTCACAAGCTATTGACGGATACGTAAGGACATAGAGCTTGTGTTTATGGTAAACAAACGGGAGTCCCATGAGGCTAAGGGGTTCAGTTCCGGTCCGGAGTTTGGTGAAGTCCCTGGTGTCAGCATTGACTTTTATGGCTCAGTCGTGTTTTAGTGTTCACATCAGTTCCTGGGCTGGGGTCAAGGACCAAAGAACTGTGCGGAGAAGCCGGAACTGGGGTGTGGAAATTATGAAAACGCAGAGTAGGCCCCGTGAATGAGGGGTCAGCAGGTCGTTCCTTCAATATCTGAGCTCCCACCTGGGGAAGGGAAACCCTCAGGGTCATGTCGATTGAAGCTGCCCTTTCACTGTACCTACACGAAGGCACAGTCACAGGACCTGTTACCTTCAGATCCCAGAGCCAGAGGGTGAGGTGAGCCAACGGGGTGGGGCTGCCCTTCAGCCCAGATCTGGAGCTACCAGGGTAGCCAGCACTCATTGTCCATAAGGCGGTTAGGGTGGGGCACTCTTTTCCCAGCCGTATTTTATTACTTATTTATTGATTATTGATTTTTTTAGAGAGAGAGTGGAAGAGAGAGGAAGAGAGAGGGAGAAACATCGATGGGAGAGCGAAACGCCCATCTCGGCTGCCTCTGGCAGGCCCCCTGCCTGGGATGGAGCCTGAAACCCAGGCATGTGCCCTAACGGGGAATCAAACCTGCCACCTCTCGGGCATGGGAAGACACCACCCAATAGCCACACCAGCCAGGATAGTTGAGCTTTTGACTTAAGTTTTTTGTTTATTTGGGGGAATTTTTTTGCCATTTTAAGTGTACAATTACATTCACAATGTTGTATAAACACAACTATCTATTTCCAGAACTTTTTCATCCCCCCAAACAGAAACTGTACACATGAAGCACTAACTCCCCATGTTACCCTTCCCCAACCCCCGAGAACTGCCATTCTGCTTCCTGTCTCTATGAATTTCCCTACTCTAGCTTCCTCATATAAGTGGGATCATACGATATTTGTCTTTTTGGTCTATCTTATTTTGTCCTTGATTTGTAATAGTGGGGTTGATTATCACACTTAATTGGATTAGAGTTCTCACATAAACATGAATTTATTTATAAATTTGATATGTTATTTTTAAAAAAATATATTTTATTGATTTTTAACAGAGAGAAAGGGAGAGAGATAGAGAGCTAGAAACGTCGATGAGGGAGAAACATCGACCAGCTGCCTCTTGCACACCTCCTACCGGGGATGTGCCCGCAACCAAGGTACATGCCCTTGACCAGAATCGAACCTGGGACCTCTCAGTCCTCAGACCAACGCTCAACCACTGAGCCAAACCGGCTTTGGCTGATATGTTATTGTTATTGATTTATTGATAAATTGTTTTCTCTAATTCTATCCTGGTAGGAAGAAGGACAAATTTTTATTGAGCTTATGTAAATACTACATAGTGTATTTACATTATGTAAATTTACATTATGTAAATACTACATAGTCATGAAAACAGGAACTTAAAGTCACTTTGTAAATATTTAATCATCATTGTAAGCAGGGCCTATATATGCTATTATTTTGCAGAATAATTCTGTGTGTGTGTGTGTGTGTGTGTGTGTGTGTGTGTGTGTTTCCTGAGGATTTGTTAGTTTATAACCAACAGCAAGAATTTTTATGGAATTTTTTAAATTCTGATATTCCAGTTAGAATAATATATCACTCAAAGAATGTTTAATCTTAGTTTGCACAAGTATATCATCTTTTTGTGAGGATTTGAGATATATTAAGAAGAAAAAGTTATTTTCTTACATATCCATCAAATATAGAATAGTAACCAGGGTAGTTAATTCCCTCTCTCTCTCTCTCTCTCTCTCTCTCTCTCTCTTTTTTCTTACCTTGGCTAAGCAACTGCTTTTATGAACTCATATATTTCTGGAATAAAAGAGTTCAGTGAAATTCTGACTCAGTCCCATTTGGTAGGGATCTGAGCCTTTACCCATGAATTTATTCCTGGTCCATAAATTCTCCAGAGTGGAGTGGGGAGAAGGGGCTTTCCCACAGATACATTCTATTGTAACCAGATTATTGTCTTTCATTCATAAACATAAAGACAAAAAGAACTAATGGCTTTGGTTTTACTGCTTTAATCATAGGTCAAAATTAGCGCAGCATAAAATCTATGCATCAGTGAGCGCCTAATCTTACAGCTTATTTTCTGGGAGTCACATGTACAGATGAATGTTTGAGTGATTCAAGTTCATAATGACATGCAAGACGATAGTGAGGGTCCCAGGAGATATCAGAATTCTCAAGACACAGATGGAAAAGGAAGAACGAAAAATAGAAAATAAAATCCAATCCCCATTGACTGGCCCCCATCCAAAGATAAATTCCTATCATCCATCTCCCGATAGCGACCACCAGATTCATGGACTGTTGTCACCAGCACAGACTTAAGTGGCCTTTGCAAATAAGAGCAAGAACCAGAATCAGACTTGGCCAAAACTCAGACTTAATCCAGAATCAAAAATAGCAACAGCTGCCCGGCTCAGTGGCTGAGCATCAATCTATGAACCAAGAGGTCACAGTTCAATTCCTGGTCAGGGCACATGCCTGGTTGTGGGCTCAATCCCCAGTGTGGGGAGTGCAGAAGGCAACCAATCAATGATTCTCTCATCATTGATGTTTCTTTCTTTTTTCTTTTTTTTTTTTTATTAAGGTATTACATGTGTACATATCTTAGCATTGCCCCCTCACTCCCCAGCGTTTTGCGTCCATTGGTTGTGCTTATATGCATGCATACAAGTCCTTCAGTTGATCTATCTCCCTCACCTCTCCCTAACCTCCCTGCTGTAATTTGACAGTCTGTTTGATGCTTTACTATCACTGTATCTATCTTTTTGTTCAGCAGTTTATAATGTTCTTTATTATCCATAAATGAGTGAGGTCATATTGTATTTTTCTTTCATTGATTGGCTTATTTCACTTAGCATAATGTTCTCTGATTCCATCCAGATTGCTGCAAATGGTAAGAATTCCTTCTTTTTTATGGCAGTGTAGTATTCCATTGTGTAGATGTACCATAGTTTTCTGATCCAGTCATCTGCTGTCGGGCACCTAGGCTGTCTCCAAATCTTAGATATTGTGAATTGTGCTGCTATGAACATAGGGGTGCATATTTCCTTTCTGATGGATGTTTCTAGTTTCTTAGGATATAGTCCTAGGAGTGGGGTTATTGGGTCAAATGGGAGTTCCATTTTCAGTTTTTTTGAGGAAACTTCATACTGTTCTCCAATCATTGATGTTTCTATCTCTATCTCCCTCTCCCTTTCTCTCTGAAATAAATATAAAATATATTTTAAAAAAGAAGAGTTTTCTTTAAAGAAAACCTGTCTAAATCCCAGTTTAATTAAATTGAATTAAAATGAAACTTCTTGGATTGGGATCCTGCTCACTCCTGGAGACGCCTCTTCGTACTCCATTCCAGGAATATGTCAAGCACAGTTTGAAACCACTGGACAATCCAGCCCCTTGAATCTAAAGTGGGGCACCATTTAGGGCCAGAGATGGAAACTGAGACTGGCTAGGAAGCTCAGCTGGTTAGAGCAGCATGCCCATACACCAAGGTTGTGGGTTCAGCCGAAACCGGTTTGGCTCAGTGGTAGAGCGTCGGTCTGCGGATTGAAGGGTACCAGGTTTGATTCTGGTCAAGGGCATGTACCTTGGTTGCGGGCACATCCCCGGTGGGGGGTGTGCAAGAGGCAGCTGGTCGATGATTCTCTCTCATTGACGTTTCTAGCTCTCTATCTCTCTCCCTTCCTCTCTGTAAAAAATCAATAAAACATATTTTTTAAAAAAACAAAAAACGTTGTGGGTTTAGTCCCGGGTCAGAGCATATACAAGAACCAAACAGTGAATGCATAAATGAAACAAATCTCTTTCTCTTTCTCTTTCTCTTTCTCTTTCTCTTTCCCTTTCCCTTTCCCTTTCCCTTTCCCTTTCCCTTTCCCTTTCCCTTTCCCTTTCCCTTTCCCTTTCCCTTTCCCTTTCCCTTTCCTTCTCTCTCTCTCTTTCTCTTTCCCTCCCCCACCCCCTCTCTCTCCTCCTCTTTCTAAAACCAATAAATTTTTTAAAAGTTAGAAAGATTACACAGCCAGTAGATGGCAGAGCTGAGACTATAATCGGAACCCAGGTTCAGCGGCCTGCTGCCCTGAAAACCCAAACTCAGGAAAGACACTAATTCAAGCCCAGACTCCTGCGAAGACAGGGACGCCCGTGACAAAGCCCATCCCCCTTCTCCGCGCAGGCGGAGGACTTGGGAGGAGGGGGAGCGGGAGCAGAGCGAAGGGGCCGGAGGAGCTGGACGGCTTCTGCACACGCAGGCCGCTCGGTCCACTCCCACGAGGGCCTGGGAACGGTCCAGTGAGGCCTGCTGTGCGCCCCCCGTCTTCCTCCTCTTGGTTCTAAGTCATAAGGTCAGCACTTCTCCCAGGACAGGCGGCTGGAGGCCGGAGTCTTGGTTCCTAGGATTCAAATACAAACATGCTGCTCACCACAAGCTGCCATCATCAGGCAGGGTCAGCATTCACAGACAGTGTCTGTTAGAGGAACCTGGGTCTTCCAGGGTCCGGCCCTGTGCCATCCTGACACAGGGTCTCAGGTCTCGCTCTCTCCCCGTCTCTCTGCACAGTATGTGAAGGCCAGGAGCCCCCGGGCCGCGCTGCCCCCGCTCTACGCCCTGGAGCTGCTGACCATCTACGCCTGGGAGGTGGGCACGCAGGAGAGCGAGAGCTTCGGCCTGGACGAGGGCCTCGCCACGGTGATGGAGCTCCTGCAGGAGCACGCGTCCCTGTGCATCTTCTGGACCACGTTCTACACCCTGCAGAGCCCCGTGGTCGAGGCCGTGGTCAGACAGCAGCTCCAGAGAGCGCGGTACGGCCCGCCCCCACACCCGTCCCAGGCAGGAGAGCGGAGGGGGGGTGCTCTGGGTGTCTCTCTTTTGGGAAGGGAGCTTTATTAAGCAGCAAGGCTGCCAGGAAATCGTGACCTGGCCGCCTTCGCAAACCGCCAGGGCCTTAGCAGCTAGAGGCCTTTTCCTTGGCCCTCAAGCCCCCGCCCCCTCCGACCGTGGCCCTCAGAAGATCAGTTCAGTGTTGTTTATTTATTTACTTATTTTTACTTATTTTTAAAATATATTTTATTGACTTTTTTACAGAGAGAAAGAGAGAGGGATAGAGAGTTAGAAACATCGATGAGAGAGAGACATCGATCAGCTGCCTCTGGTACACCCCCTGCTGGGGATGTGCCCGCAACCAAGGTACATGCCCTTGACCGGAATCGAACCTGGGACCTTTCAGTCCACAGGCTGATGCTCTATCCACTGAGCCAAACCGGTTTCGGCAGTTCAGTATTTTTTAGAGAGAGCATGAGAAAGTGGGAAGAATCATGGAGACCCACGTTTAATCCAGCTCGGCCTCAGTTCCTTCTCGGTGAGACAGGAGCCGCCGGCACCACGGATGCAGGACTGTGGGGCCGGGGGAAATGCCGAGAAGGGCCCCGTGTGGGCGCCGGTACACGGTCACGATCGCAGCACCTGCTGCGGGCCCACCGCGTCTCCACGAAAGCTGGCCGAGGCCTCCAGGGCAGCGCCTGCGTCCCGCTGCCTGTGGCAGCTGGTGGAGAAATAGCCCCGCTCCCTCCCATCGCAGACCGAGGGGCTCGCTCTGGGTCCCGCCTGCTGCACGGTTAATCCCAGCAACCCTCCCGGGAGACTAACTTCAGCCCCACTGCAGCAACCACCTGGACACCCCCCACTAGGGGCACCCTTCCCTGCCATCTCCCTTCCCGCTCCTCACGGGCGACTCCCGGGTCTCCTCCTGAGTCAAACCCTTACCTTGGGAACCTGCCGAGGGGAGAACCCAGCCTGAGGCTGTTCTTTGTAGTAGAAGGTCTAAGTCAGTGCAAGTAATGTCACAGGAATGTTTGTTGCTCTTTTACATGAGTGATGGTTTTGTTTTTTTGTGTTTTTTTTTCCCAAACAAGGAAGACAAGCCTGGTCTCCTTAAGAAAAGAGGGCTGATTATAAGGATGCCCAGGAAATTGAGGCTGGAAACCATCAGGACCTGACAAACCTTTGGCTCGCTCTCTCCCTGACACTCTGCCTCACTGCCCACACTCTTTCCTCTCTGCTCTGCTCTCCCACCCGCTCTGCTCCTGCTTACTTACATCCCTGGTCCAAACTCCAGAGAGAGCCAGGCTGGCCACTGGGCATCAGCCCTGTGTCTCGGGTCCCCCGATGGGCCACTCTGGGTCAGGTGACCCCCCCCATCCGCAGCCTGGCTTCTCCAGGATAATACAGGAGCCAGGGATGTTGGGAGTAACAAGCTTGGAGCCTAAAATGCTCCGTTCAATCCAGTAGTCGCTGTCACATTCTGTCACCTGGAGCCACGGCTTCCTCCTAAGTCCAAAGCCTGGGAACAGGCCGGCTCCTATCATGGGCGTGACACCCAACACACGTTGTTACGTGAGCAACCCAAGGAAACTAACCCTGAGCCTAAGCCCCTTCAAGCTTGTATTCCTTAAAACATTCACCCAGCAGAGGAGAGACACCTAGAGGCAACTCCAATCCGTTGGAGGAGGAATCCCATCTGCTGGCTGTGAGAACTGAGGGAGGTCTATGTGCCTCGGTTTCCTCATCTGTAAAATGGGGAACACTAGTCCCCACTTATGGAATTGTAAGGATTAAAAGAGGGAAATTCACATAGGGCTTGTCCCAGTACCTCAAATATCAGTAGTTGGGGAAGGGGAAGTTATTATTTAAAATGATTCAGCAGCTCTAGCCTCCAACTTATGTGTCCTGTCAGCAAAACCTTTGACCTTAAGAGGCCCTGGGTGGACATCTGATATTGCTTTACCATGCCTTTAGCATCTCACCCTTTCTCCTACTCTTCCCCCCCCCCCCCCATCATCATCATCAAAATTCCTTTAAAAATATTTTTATTGCCGAGACCGGTTTGGCTCAGAGGATAGAGCGTCGGCCTGCGGACTGAAAGGTCCCGGGTTCGATTCTGGTCAGGGGCATGTACCTTGGTTGCGGGCACATTCCCAGTAGGGGGTGTGCAAGAGGCAGCTGATGGATGATCCTCTCTCATCGATGTCTCTAACTCTCTATCCCTCTCTCTTCCTCTCTGTAAAAATCAATAAAATACATTTAAAAATTTTTTTATTGATTTCAGAGAGGAAGGGGAGGGAGAGAGAGAGAAACCTTAGTAATGAGAGAGAATCATTGATGGGCTGCCTCCTGCACACCCCCTCCTGGGGGTCAAGCCCGAAACCCGGGCATGTGCCCCAAACGGGAATAAAACTGTGACCTCCTGGTTCATGGATAGAAGCTCAGCCACTGAGCCATGCCCACTGGGTAAATTTTCTTACAAACATCTAGCGAATTCTCCCCAAGAGGAGTTCTTGGAAATCTAATGGTCTCTCTGCAATGTCTCTGAGCCTGCGTGGACTGAGGGCTTGGGCTCCGGACATGCAGATGCTCAGGCCTGGAAGAGGTGATGTCTGAGAAGGCTCCTTTCTGGTCAGGCCTCCAAACCGGAAAGAGCCTGGCACCCTCTCCCTGTGTTGCAGACCCATCATCCTGGACCCGGCCGACCCCACCCACAACGTGGCGGAAGGGTACAGATGGGACATAGTGGCCCAGAGGGCCAGCCAGTGCCTGAAGCAGGACTGTTGCTATGACAGCGAAGACAACCCGGTCCCCAGCTGGAATGTGAAGGTACGGGCTCCCCTCTGGGCTGCTGCCAGGGGCATGAAGCCAGAATGAGATGAATGCATGGTGTTTACCTACTTATTTCTGTGTCAATGGAGCCAACAGGGCATCGGAGTCGGAAGTTTGAGTCCTGGCTGCACCACCCACTAGCTCTGTGAACTTGGGGAAATTACTCAGCTCTCTGAGCCTCAGATTTCTTATCTTCCAATCCTTGTTCTGCTTTCCTTCCTTCTTCCACGTCTCCCTGAGAATCAGCTCCATGCTCCCAATCACTCCTTGCACGAACTGGGCCCGGGCAAGCCCAATCAGTCAGTCAGCTGTTTTGTGCCAACACTGGGCTTGGAGCAAGTGTGGGGGATGGGGGAATAGTCTCTGAAACAAACTTGCACAAAACTGCTAAAGGACACCTGCATTTTGAGTTGTCTTAAAATGGATTGGAGCCTGGCTGGTGTGGCTCAGTGGTTGACCATCGAGCTATGAACCAAGAGGTGGCAGTTCAATTCCCGGTCAGGGAAGAGGGGGGCATGCAGGAGGCAACTGATCAATGATTCTCTCTCACCATTGATGTTTTTATCTCTCTCTCCCTCTCCCTTCCTCTCTGAAATCAATAAAAATATATTTTAAATAAGTAAATAAATGAAGGAAGGAAATGGATTGGAGAATTAGTTCTCTCATGTTCTCAAACTAGGCATTCTTTTTTTTTTTTTAAGATGCATTGAGAATTTTTTTAAATATTTTTTTTATTGATTTTTTTTCAGAGAAGGATAGAGTTAGAAACATCGATGAGAGAGAATCATCAATCAGCTGCCTCTTGCACACCCCCTACTGGAGATGTGCCCGCAACCAAGGTACATGCCCGCAACCAAGGTACATGCCCTTAACCGGAATTGAACCTGGGACCTTTCATTCCGCAGGCCGACGCTCTAGCCACTGAGCCAAACCGGTTTCAGCAAACTAGGCATTCTTGATCAGTAAATCTTTCCTTGCTCCAAATTTGGGGGCGGGGGGCGCGAAGCGGGGGGATGTTAGAAAGAATCACCAGAGAAGATACTCGGAAAACAAACAAAAAATACTAAATAACAGATAATATTACGTGAGTGATGCCAAACCTACAGTACAGTCAAAGGCCATAACAATTTATTTTATTCACATTGAACTTTAAAATGTGCAAAGTGGCCGGGACCGGTTTGGCTCAGTAGATAGAGCGCCGGCCTGGGGACTGAAAGGTCTCAGGTTCGATTCCGGTCAAGGGCATGTACCTTGGTTGCGGGCGCATCCCCAGTAGGGGGTGTGCAAGAGGCAGCTGATCGATGATTCTCTCTCATTGATGTCTCTATCCCTCTCTCTTCCTCTCTGTGAAAAATCAATAAAATATATTTTTAAAAATAAATAAGTAAAGTGCTTGTCCATTGATAATTTTGTAAAGTAGAAATGTCAAGTATTATCATTATTACAAGAGGCCCGGTGCACCAGTGGGGTCCCTTGGCCTGGCCTGCACCCTCTCACAATTCGGGACCCTCGGGGGATCTCGGACTGCTGATTTCGGCCCCATCCCCATAGGCCAGGCTAAACGGGCCTCTAGTATGTTTGTAAGATCTTTGGTTAATCTCTTCCCACCCTCCCTTTCCCCCTTCCCTCTGAGATTCATCAGTCTGTTCCATGTTTCCATGCCTGTGTGTTAAGCGTTTTGCCCCCTGGTGGTCAGTGCACATCATAGCTACTGGTTGAATGGTCGCTTAGGCTTTTATATAAATAGATTCATTATAGCCCTGCACATGAATCTGTGCACCAGTAGCTCACCAGTAGCTTGCTGCTGCCCTCCAGTAGCTCTCCGCCCACTGCCCCGGTCTCCTGTAGCTCCCCTGGCTCCCCTTCCTCCTACCCCCACTCAGTAGCTTGCTGCCCTGCCTTTTCCCGTAGCTCTCCACCACCCTCCTGCTGCTTCGTGATCTGGTTGTTACACAGTCAGTCATTGCACTTCATGGCATAACAACCATTTACATATTACATCTTTATTATATACGATTATTGTTATCACTTATCGTCACTTTACAGATGAAGAAACTGAGGCTCAGAAAGGTTAATTGACCAAGGTCACATTACTAAGAGGCAGCAGGATTCACACCCAGGTCTTTGTGAGGCTCTAGAAATAAGAAATAAATATTACCTCTGAATCACCAGAGAAGATTCCTTGAAGGAGACAGGGCCAGAGGTAGGCCTAAAAGCCAGGGAGGGATATAATGAAGACAGACAATAGTAGGGGAAGGCCTGGCATGGCGAGGTTGGGTGGGGGCTGGGGGGTGGCAAAAGGATGAAAATGGGAGACTTCTGTAATACTATTAACAATCTTTTTTTATATATATATATATTTTATTGATTTTACACAGAGAGGAATTGAGAGGGACAGAGTTAGAAACATTGATGAGAGAGAAACATCGACCAGCTGCCTCTTGCACACCCCCTACTGGGGATGTGCCCGCAACCAAGGTACATGCCCTTGACCGGAATCAAACCCAGGACCTTTCAGTCTGCAGGCCGATGCTCTATCCACTGAGCCAAACCGGTCTCAGCTTAACAATCTTAATATATAAAAATTTAGGGGCCGTCACGACCAAAACAACTGGACGGATGACTGAACATCAGGCTGCATGGGGTGACCAGGCCAGCAGGGAGGGGCGGTTGGGGGTGACCAGGCCATCAGTGGTCAGTTTGGAGTGACCAGGCCAGCAGGGAGGGACAGTTGGAGGTGACCAGGCCAGCAGGGGGGAAGTTGGGGACAACCAGGCTGGCAGGGGGCAGTTGGGGGGAACCAGGTTGGCAGGGGGGGTAGTTGGAGGTGACCAGGATGGCAGGGATGCATTTGAGTTAACCAGCCTGGAAAGGGGGACAGTGAGGGGCAACCAGACCAGCGGGGGGAGGGCAGTTATGGGTGACCAAACCAGCAGGGGGGCATTTATGGGTAACCAGCCGGTGGGGGGAAGGTAGTAGGGGTGATCAGGCCACCAACGGGTGCAGTTAGAGGTGATCAGGCAGACAGGCAGGTGAGAGTTAGGAGCCAGTGGTCCCAGATTGTGAGAGGAATGTCTGACTGCTGGTTTAACCTGATCCCCAGGATTGGGCCTAAACCAGCAGTCAGGTATCCCCTGAGGGGTCCCAGATTGGAAAGGGTGCAGGCTGGGCTGAGGGGACCCCCTCCAATGCACGAATTTCGTGCACTGGGCCTCTAATCTATATATATATAAGCCTAAGCAACCAACCAGTAGCTATGGCATGCAATGACCGCTGGGAGCAGATGCTCAACACAGGAGTGGAAACCACAGGCATGGAAACATGGAACAGACTGATGAATCTCAGAGGGAAGTGGGGAGATTAACCAAAGATCTTATATGCATACTAGAGGCCCGCTGCACGGATTTGTGCACTGGTGGGGTGCCTTGGCCTGGCCTGCACCCTCTCGCAATCCAGAACCCTCAGGGGATGTCAGAGAGCTGTTTTCAGCCTGATCCCTGAAGGCCAGGCTGATGGACCCCACCAGTGCACAAAGTCATACACTAGGCCTCTAATAAAATCTACAATCAGCCAAAACCGGTTTGGCTCAGTGATAGAGCGGACTGGGACCCTTCAGTCAGCGGTCTGCGGACTGAAAGGTCCCAGGTTCAATTCCTGTCAGGGGCATGTACTTTAGTTGCGGGCACATCCCCGGTAGGGGGTGTGCAGGAGGCAGCTGGTCAATGTTTCTCTCTCATCAACGTTTCTAGCTCTCTCTGTCTCTCCCTTCCTCTCTGTAAAAAATCAATAAGATATATTAAAATAAATAAATAAATAAATAAATAAAAATAAAATCTTTAAAAAAAATAAAATCCACAATCATAAAAGAGTAAGATGCAAATTGACTGTACCTTTGCGACACCACCAGTCAATCAGGAGTGAGCGTGCAAATTAACCCAACAAAGATGGTGGGTTAATTTGCAAATGCAGGTGCTGAATGGCTGAGAGCGGGGCTGGATGCTTGGCAATGATGCAGGCATTCTGCACTGCCCCAGCCACTCAGGCCTCTGGGCAGCTTGGACAGTTGGAAAGGCAGCTTCGGCCAGAGCGAAGGCAGTGCTGGCAGCCAGGGGAAGGAAAGCCCATTCTTGCACAAATCTTTGTGCATCGGGCTTCTAGTACTATAATAAAAGGGTAATGTGCAAATAGACTGAACAGCAGAACAACTGAATCAAAGCATAATATGTTAATGATATGCTAAGGCTGTTCAACCACTTGCTATGACTGACCACCAGGGGATAGATGCTCTGACCTGTAGGTCAGCTTGCTGCTGGAGTCCGGCCTATCAGGACTAAGCAGGATGGGCTGGACACACTCTGGAGCCCTCCCACGGTCCCTCCCCTGCCCGATCGTGTACCGATGGGATACCTCAGCCTGGCCTGTGCCCTCTCGCAATCTGGGACCCCTCAGGGGATGTCAGAGAGCCGGTTTCAGCCCAATCCCAAAGGCCACTCCCTTGGGAGGACGCCAGGCACAGGGCTCATGGCCGGTGAATGCGGCAGCGTGAGCCTCTCCCAATGGGGACTGATTGGGAACGAGCCTGCGGCAGGCACAGTGGGGCTGGGATGAGTGGGAGGAGCAGGCAGGAGCTGCAGGCGGCCTTGAATTGCAGGTTTCCATCTGATCCCTGCAGGCCACCCGGAGGGACCCCACCAGTGCACAAATTCGTACACTGGGCCTCTAGTAAAGTAAAAAAATATAAAATAAAAAGCCAGGGAAGGATATAGACACTAAGAACAGAGGGCCCTCTGTCCAGGTAGAGGGTCAGGTGGGGAGAGAGGGGTTTGGTGGGGAGAGAGGGCACAGGACTGGAGGTGTGTGATGGAACAAGAGCCAGACCAGCTTGGAGAAGGGGCAGAAGTGGAACCAGAGGCTCTCTGATGAGGTGCAGGATGACAGACTGGAGGCCACCAGCCAAATGAGCCCACAGGTGGGCTGAAACGTGTATGCCTCTGGGTTTTTCCTAACTAGACAAACCATCGTGCAAAGATTTTTATCTGGACTACGCTGGGCCTCTGTTCCTTCTAGAAAGAATCAACGAGAGGACCAGCCCTCCTCAGCACCTGCCAGCTGTGTCCTTCAGCCACCTGGGATTCTCAGGCCCTTGATATATCACATATATATATATATACATTACACACATATATATCTCACACACACACACACACACATATATATATATATATATATGCACAAACACTAGGAGCCCAGTGCACGAATTCTTGAACCTTGAAAGGAACTGTGGGCCGAGAGGCTGTGGTGGGCACAGGGGCAGGTCTCGGCCCATCCTCTGTGCCCCCCCCCACCCAGCCCCTCCCACCATGGCCCCCGGTCCCCTGTCTGCTGGCAGCCCCTTGCATGCCCCCTGGTGGTTAGTGCACATCATAGCGACCAATTGTTTGGGTGTTCTGCCATTCGATCTATTTGCATATTAGCCTTTTATTGTACAGGATACATATTTTTATTGATTTCTGAGAGGAAAGAAGAGATAGAAACATCAATAATGAGAGAGAATCATTGATTGGCTGCCTCCTGCATGCCCCTACTGGGGATCAAGCCCACAACCTGGGCCGTTGAACCCTGACCTCCTGGTTCACGGGCAATGCTCAACCACTGAGCCATGCTGACTGGGTCGCTTCACCCTTCTTGACCACAATGTCCTCATCTGTAAAATGGGATAATTAGGAGAACCACCCCCTCCTAGGGCTGCCGTGAGAATAAAATGCATTAAGAAGAGAATAAAAGGCACCCACCAGCACAGGGCCTGGGAAGTGGCTGGCACTCCCTGACCGTTTGCTGCTGTTGGGAAGATGAGGGCCGGTGAGGGGGACTGTGGCATGTCAGACAGAGGAGCGTGGTCACTCCACCCTCTCCTCTCTCTTGCAGAAGGCACGAGACATCCAGCTGATGGTGGAGCAGGGGGGCCGGCCGGATTGCGTCCTCACGGTGAACCCGTATGACCCCATAAGGAAGGTTAAGGAGAAGATCTGGCGGGGGCAGTGCTCCTCGGGCGTGCAGCAGCGTCTGTCCTTCCAGACTCCCGGCGGCGAGCGGAAGCTCCTCGGCAGCCGCGGCTCCCTGGCCAAGTTCGGGATATTCTGCGACACGCGCGTCTACCTGCTGGAGACCGTCCCCCCCGAGATCCAGGTCTTCGTGAAGAACCCGGAAGGCGGGAGCCACGCCTACGCCATCGACCCCAACAGCTACGTGCTGGGCCTGAAGCAGCAGATAGAAGACAGGCAGGGGCTGCTCCGGAAGCAGCAGGAGCTGCAGTTCCTGGGCCAGGTCCTGCAGGACTGGTCGGCCTTGGGGAGCTACGGCATCAAGGACAGCGACACCCTCATCCTGTCCAAGAAGAGAGACACAGATTTCCCATTTCTGCCCTGCTGCCTTCCCCAGGGGACCCTCTCTGGGCGTCCCGCCCTCTAGCCCAGGATCCACCCTGTCAATCACTCCGTCAGCTCACCAGCTTTGTAAAGAGTTCCCCCAGCCCTCCCTGCAGTGGAAGAATGAGAAGAGTGTGAGGGATTAGATATACTTTAACATAAAAACGTTCAAACCTGTAAAGAATTTTTGTGGGTTTATTTGAGCCAAACTGTGGACAATTGCCAGGAAGCAGAACCTCAAGGAATTGAGATAATGCTCCGGAGAAAGGCAGGTTACATCGATATTTATACATTGCAATCTGATGGATCCTCCTTTCCTCTAGTTGATGGAAAGATGTAAACCCCACCTGCAGCCAGACATTCCTGAGCTCTGAATCACCAATCAGCACCTGCCAAATACCCTAAGCCCCCGATTCCAATTCCCTAGGTCCCTAATCACCAATCAGCGTGTGCTGAGTGCCCTAAGCCCCATCCCCTATCCTTAAAGGTGCTTGTACCCCGGCCCTCGCTCTCTCCCGCTCTCTCTCTGGAAGCAGCGGGCAGGGGTGCTCTTCCCTCCAATACAGCCTGTGTCCTGCCATCCCGGCCTCCGGTTCCCTTCTCTATTTAATCTATCACAATCAAAGGAAGGGACGTAGGTGGGTTACATGAAATCCACTGGTGTTAGACTAGAGAGGCAGGAGAAAGCAAAGTGGAGGTGGGGTTACCCCTTGGGATTGGATAAAAAGTAAAATGATAGACATATACTCAGGTGGGTGCAGGAACAATGAACATGATAATAAAGGAATTTGTGGTCTACATCCTGGCACCCAGGCACATTAGGTTGTGCCCCAAGGGGTCCAGAAAAAGGGAAGTTACCAGTTACCCAGAATTTTTAAGGGAATCCTATATAATAAAGAGGTAACATGCAAATTGACCATCACTCCAACACACAATGATGGCCGCCCCATGTGGACACAAGATGACCTGCAACAAGATGGCCAGCATGGGAGGGTAGTTGTGGGTGATCATTCCAGCAGGGGAGGGCAGTTGTGGGGGGCACTCAGGACTGCAGGAGAGGGCAGTTAGGGGCAACCAGGCTGGCAGGGGAGCAGTTAGGCATCAATCAGGCTGGCAGGGGAGTGGTTAGGGGGTGATTAGGTTGGCATGAGAAGTGGTTAGGGGCAATCAGGCAGGCAGGCAGGGGAGCAGTTGGGAGCCAGCAGTCCTGGATTGTGAGAGGGATGTCCCAGATTGGAGAGGGTGCAGGCTGGAGTGAGGGCCACCATTCCCCACCCCTGTGCGTGAATTTTGTGCACCAGGCCTCTATGTTATTATAGATGCAAAGAGATAGGTCCAGTTAAGGTAAAGGTTGACCTTTTTGGTGAAGATACCAGCCTAGGAGATAATTACCCACCATAACTTCTTTTAGTTAAAGTTTAATTTCAGGCCATCCTTTGTGGTTACTTTAGGTCTCTGAATTTTCAAGACCACCATGCAGGCCTCCCCTCAGTCTGTCAGGTTAGCATGTGGCCCCTTTCATCCACAATACAAATGAACAGACCACATATGACAATGAATTCTGACCCACAATCTCTGCAGCCACCCCTTTTAGAAGCTAAACCACAACCCGTGCAGCAATCAACACAAAATCATCAGGACTTGGTCAATAACTGCCTTAACCTCCCTTCCCTCCCCGCTATCTTTCCTCTGGACCAACCAGAGGAAAGCGAATAACCTCTCTAACAATCAGATAGGATGATATCCTGCTTCTAGATAGTCCACCTATAGTCAACCTCAGTCAGAGCACACCCAAGGCCTTCTCTGCTTTCCACTATAAAACTTTCCCATTGCCTGTCTTCGAGTCTGCCAAATGCAGGGATGTTGGGAATAAATACCCTTTGTTTATTCTCTTTTGGATAGTTTTAATTTCTTTCCACTGGTGCAAATGCTGTCCTAGTGGTTATTGCTTAATCCTTTGAGCCTCAGAGTGGTCATCACTATTGTCTACAACCTGCCAGGGGCTGGGGCCATACTCTGTGTTGTGGTACTTCTCGCCCTCCTCACTTTCAATCCTATATAATAAAAGGCCAGTGACCATAAGCGTAATGCCAGAATGACCGCTTGAACAGTCACTATGAGGTGGGGGGCTGGTGAGGGGAACTGGCTGGCTGGCGGCAGCTGTGGGGAGGGACTGGGGACTGGCAAGCGGGTGGAAGATGGGCCTGATTGCAGGCTAGGCCTAGGGACCCTATCCACGCACGATTTCATGCACCGGGCCACTAGTAGAATATAAAATGCATCTTATGATTGGTTCTCAGAAATGTATCCATGTAATTTACCTAATTCCCACCTCTTTTTGCCTTCAGGGGAATAGAGTGGCTCCTTTCCCTGGGGTGGATAGGCTAGACCCTGCCCTTCCCATCTTTGTACCCTTCACATTGTAGGTAATGGACATACTCGTGTGTGTGTGTGTGTGTGTGTGTGTGTGTGTGTGTTCGTGTTTCAAAGAATTAGTCACCTTCCTCTCTTTCATAGTAGAAAAGCACAAGCCAGGAAGTTTATTTTAATAAAAATTTTAAATTTTTCCAATGGATGCAAAACTCTGGGGAGGGAGGGCATGTATGAGATGGGGGGGGGGCAATGGTAAGATATGTACACATATAAAACCTTAATTTAAAAAATAATTTAAAAATAAAAATTTTGAAGGAGAAACCAAGATGGCGGCATAGTTAAATGCCTAACTGCAGCCTCACACAACAATTTCAAAAAATACAACTAAAATACAAAATGGACATTATCCAGAACTACAGGAAAGTTGACTGACAGGAAATTCTACTAGAAGGAAAGAGAAAACCAGAAGGAAAATCAGAGGAGCTGTAAAAGGCTAAGGTACGGAGACACGGTGCGCGTGTGGGGAGAGGAAGGAGTCAGAGAGGAGGGGGAAGCTGAGTGCCTGGCTGGCGTTCCCTAGGGAGGAAGGAGATAAAAGCTCCGGACTGTGCTGAACCCAAGTTCCAACTGCACTGAACCCCAGTTCTGGGCGAGACCCTGGGGACCAAGGCTCATACAGAAAAAATCTAGGCTGTAAGGTGGAAACTCAGGGAGCAGTGAAAGGCAGAGCCCAGGAGGCACACATGTGAATGCCGCGCAGAGAATGGACTCTTGACTCTGCTGCTATTATAGATGGCCCTAGCAGGAAGGAGACAAAAGCTCTGGATTGTGCTGAGCTCCAGTTCTGGGCCAGACCCTGGGGACCCAGGCTCATACGGAGGGAATCTGGGCTGTAAGGCGGAAACTCAGGGGAGCGGCAAAAGGCAGAGCTCCGGAGGCGTGCATGTGAATGCACGCAGAAGAGACTGTTGACTGTGCCGCAGGATTGCCCTAGCGGGAAGGAGACAAAAGCTCCAGACTGCTTTGAACCTCAGTTCCAACCTCATTTCCAACTGCACTGAACCCCAGTTCCGAGCTCATTGGGGGAGAGACTAGACTGTCTGGTATTGGGAGAAACTCGAGAGCACCTTTCTCTCACAGGTGTTTGCAGCGAGTACTGAAGGACACTGAGACTCAAGAACCTCATAGGGTGGGTCTGATGGGAAGCCAAGGCTGTAGGCTCCACCCTGAAGCTCCACCCCATCCAAGCTGAGCACAGAGGCTTTTGCAATTTTCCAAGTCTAGTGAACAAGGCTGTCTCCCAGCAGAGACACAGTCTATCCTCACAGCCAATTGGCCTGGAGGTCAGTTCCTCCCAGTGATACCAACAACAATCAAGACTTAACTACAATAAGGCTGTACACACAGTCCACAATGGGGTGCACCAAGGGTGTCCACCTCAGGTAACTGGGAGGCTGACCCACTGAACCATATAGGACACCTTAGCACACAAAGCCACCCTACCAACTCAGGGAAGCATCGAAAATGCCAAGACAAGGAAACAGATCACAAATGAAAGAAATAGAAAACAACAAGCAACTGGATATAGAGTTCAAAACCACGCTTATAAGGTTTTTAAAGAATTTCCTAGAGCTAAAACCGGTTTGGCTCAATGGATAGAGCGTCGGCTTGGGGACTGAAGGGTCCTGGGTTCGATTCCGGTCAAGGGCATGTACCTTGGTTGCAGGCATATCCTCAGTAGGGGGTGTGCAAGAGGCAGCTGATCGATGACTCTCTCCCATCGATGTTTCTAGCTCTCTATCTCTCTCCCTTCCTCTCTGTACAAAATCAATAAAATGTATTTTAAAAAATGTTCTAATCCCTTGGGAAATTTTAAAAAAATTCTGCTGACTGCTATTATGGCAAGGTGTTGTCAGCGTCTTCCATCTCTGGACTGCTTCTCTTCTGTCTTCATGGTTGGCGTAGTCCAGTCAATTCCTCTCTGTTGCCGGAATCCACATGGTCTCGGAGTTGTTTTCTGGAAATATACAAACATATTCTTGACCAAAAGTTAATAAAGGAACATTTTTTATAAATTTGTCTTGGGATCCTTTTTTGATTTTTGCCCAAATGATTTTTCTCTGGCTTGTTTTGACACCATTTAAAAAAAAATCTGCTAGAGACCTGGTGCACCAGTGGGGTCCCTTGGCCAGGTCTGAGGGATTGAGCCAAAACCGGCTCTCCGACATCCTCCAAGGGATCCTGGATAGTGAGAGGGTGCAGGCCAGGCCAAGGGACCCCACCAGTGCATGATCAGGGCCAGGAAGAGATGCTGGAGGTTAGCCAGCCAGGGAGGGACTGTGGGAGGGCTCCAGGGCTTGTCCAGCCTGTCTTGCTCAGTACCTTCAGCCAGACCACTGCGGCAAGCCTACCAATTGGAGCATCTGCCCCCTGGTGGTTACTGCATGTCATAGCAAGTAGTTGAGTCGCCTTAGCATATCATTAGTATATTACACTTTGATTGGTTGAACAAACAACCAGACGACCAGACATTTAGCATATTAGGCTTTTATTATATAATATATTTTTATTGATTTCAGAGAGGAGAGGGAGATGGAAACATCAATGATGAGAATCATTGATCAGCTGCCTCCTACACGCCCCCCACAGGGAATCCAGCCTGCAACCCAAGCATGTGCCCCAACTGGGAATTGAACCATCATCTCCTGGTTCATAGGTCAATGCTCAACCATTGAGCCACACCAGTCTGGTTTCATTTTTTCTTTATTAATTATTACATATGTATCCTTATCCTACCTCGAGCTGCATTTTAATAGGTTTTCTAAGTTGTTTCTGATTCTCAGGTGGATTTCAGAATTCCTGGAATAAATGAATAATATTGAAACTAAATTGAACCAAAACCTGGGTGTTTACCCTGATTTTGTCATTAACTCCTGTATGACCTTAGACAATTTCCTCCCTCTGAATGTCTCATTTTCTTCATCAGTTAAAGGATAGAGCGAAACTGGTTTGGCTCAGTGGATAGAGCGTCAGCCTGCAGACTGAAGGGTCCCAGATTTGATTCCGGTCAAGGGCATGTACCTTGGTTGTGAGCACATCCCCAGTGGGGGCGGAGGGGGTGCAGGAGGCAGCTGATCGATGTTTCTCTTTCATTGATATTTCTAATTCTCTATCCTTCTCTCTTCCTCTCTGTAAAATATCAATAAAATATATATTTTTAAAAATCAATAAAATTGCCGAAACCGGTTTGGCTCAGTGGTAGAGCGTCGATCTGCAGACTGAAAGATCCCAGGTTTGATTCCGGTCAAGGGCATGTACATTGGTTGCAGGCACATCCCGGGTGGGGGTGTGTGCAAGAGGCAGCAGATCAATGTTTCTTTCTCATCGACGTTTCTAGCTCTCTCTCTCCCTTCCTCTCTGTAAAAAATCAATAAAAAAATATTTTTAAAAAATCAATAAAATATATTTTTAAAAAATTCAAGAATGGAGCAGTTGATTTCTTTGGCACTTCTAAACTCTTACTTTGTGGGAACTCCCACAAGAAATCAATGGCTATCAGCGGCCTGCGAGTGAGAACTACAATCCCCACAATGCTCTGCACCTCTCCGCGCTCACGTGGGGTCGTGGAAAGGTAACCCTATTGGAGGCGCTCCCACAACCCTTTGCGGTGGTTCAAGATGACGGCGCCCAGAGGTTCCACGAGCGACGTGGAGAGCAGCAGCGGCAGCAGCGACGCCGAGGAGCTGGCGCGGTGCCGCGCGGCGGCGGTGCCGGCCTGGGGCCTGGAGCAGCGCCCGGAGGCGCCGGAGAAGCGAAGAGCCGGTAGGGACCGTGTTCGAGCAGCCTGGCGGGGGGCGGCGGGTCTTCCCGGGGCTGAGGGGAGGATGGTGAGGAGACTTCGGGACTCGACTTCTTTCCCGAGAGAGCTCCCGGGACCGGAAGCGGGTGTGTCATTATCCCATTCGGGGAAACCGAGGCACCAGAGTGCCCCTTGGCTCGGCTCCCGTGGGCTCACACGGGGAGCCCCCGCCTCGGAAATGACTGCGACGGCCGCTGATGGATCCTCCATCCCCCCCTTCCTCCTCCCGCAACACCTTCCCCCGGGGCTGCGGGAGCCGAGCCCAATGCTAACTCCGACCGGACTCTCGGCCCCGCGGGAGTAAGTCCAAAACTCATCATAGCGGCGCCTCATCACAACCCAGAGTGCCTGGATGTGGATGGGGAGGCTTTCCTCCGTACTTCATTAACCTCTGACACTCAGCATCCCTCCCCATCCTTTCCCGTGCGCCTCAGCCACAAGTAGCTTTGACAACACCTGGCACTTCGCCCTGGCAAAAGTCACAGATTTTCTTACCCCATTGCCGTCTTTGCAGATAAATGTTGGAAAAAGTAATTTACATTCATTCCTACTTTAAAGTAACAATAATTTTTATTTTTTAAAATATATTTTATTGAGTTTTTACAGAGAGGAAGAGAGGGATAGAAAGCTAGAAACATCGATGACAGAGAAACATGGACCAGCTGCCTCCTGCACACACCCCCACTGGGGATGTGCCCACAACCAATGCACGTGCCCTTGACCGGAATCGAACCTGGGACTTTTCAGTCCGTAGGCCGATGCTCTGTCCACTGAGCCAAATGGGTTTCGGCTACAATAATTTTTAGACCCTAAAGAATCTCTAGCCCAGCTGGTGTGGCTCAGTGGTTGATCTTCCTTTCACCTATGAACCAGGAGGTCACAGTTCTATTCCAGGCCGATGCTCTGTCCACTGAGCCAAATGGGTTTCGGCTACAATAATTTTTATTTTTAATTAATTAATTTATTTATTATTATTATTATTTTTAAAATATATTTTATTGATTTTGTACAGAGAGGAAGGGAGATACAGAGTTAGAAACATCGATGAGAGAGAGTCATTGATCAGCTGCCTCTTGCACACCCCCTACTGGGGATGTGCCCGCAACCAAGGTACATGCCCTTGACCGGAATCGAACCCGGGAACCCCTTTAGTCCCCAAGCCGATGCTCTATCCATTGAGCCAAACCGGTCCCGGCGGCTACAATAATTTTTAGACCCTAAAGAATCTCTAGCCCACCTGGTGTGGCTCAGTGGTTGATCTTCCTTTCACCTATGAACCAGGAGGTCACAGTTCTATTCCAGGTCAGGGCACATGGGGGTTTGCAGACTCGATTCCAGTAGGTGGCATGCTGGAGCAGCCTATCAATGCTTCTCTCTCAACATTGATGTTTCTATCTCTCCCCTCTCAAATCAATTTAAAAAATACATATTTTAAAAAGAATCTCTAGATCTTGTTTAATGCATTAAAAAAGAAGCACACATATTAGTATGCCAGGATTGCGGTTTTACTGTTATGGTAACTGAATTTCAACATACGTAATTGTGCGTGTGTTTTTTTGTGGTCCTATTTGTGTATGTGTTTTTAAATACATTTTTATTGATTTCAGCGAGGAGGAGAGAAGGGAGAGAGAGATAGAAACATCAGAGATGAGAGAGAATCATTGATCAGCTGCCTCCTGCACCCCCCTATTGAGAATGTAGCCAGCAACCTGGGCATGTGCCCTTGGCCAGAATTGAATCTGGGACCATTAGTTTCTAGGCCAAGGCTCTATCCACTGAACCAAACCATCTAGGGCCTCTGTGTGTGTGTGTGTGTGTGTGTGTGTGTGTGTGTGTGTGTGTTTTGTGTTTTTTTAAAATTTAAAACATTATTCTGAGAAGAGATCCAACCTATACAGACTGCCAGAGCAGGCCATGGTAAAGCATGGTTTAAAACCTACTTTTGCCCAGCTGGCATGGCTGTATTAAGCGCTGACCTATACTGGTAAACCAGGAGGTCAAAGTTCGATTCCCCATCAGGGCACATACCCAGGTTTTGGGCTTTATCCCCAGTGTGGGGTGTACAGGAGGCAGCCAAGTGATTCTCTTTCATCATTGATATTTCTATCTCTCCCTCTCCCTTCCTCTCTGAAATCAATAAAAATATATTTTAAAATAAAATAAAATAAATAAAACCCCTGCTTTTACTTTAGCTGGTTTGGCTCAGTGGATAGAGGGTTGGCCTGCGGACTGAAGGGTCTTGGGTTCAATTCCGGTCAAGGTCACATGCCTCTGCCTCTACCAATTGATATGTTCATCTCTGCTTCTCCCCCTCCTTCCATTCTCTAAAAATCAGTGGAAAAATATCCTCGGGTGAGGAGTAAAAATAAATAAAAATAAAACCCCTGCTTTTGTTTAAAAGGACTTATAAGCCCTTTTGTAATCTATTCCCTGCCTGTTTCTCCTATCTTGATGTCCTGCCACACCGCACTTCCCATAGGTAGGCTTCTTACCGCCCTCCCCTGATTTATTTTCCTTCCCCACACTTATTATTTATTATATATATGTATATATAGAAATATCAATACTTGTGGGGTTTTTGTGTCATCTGCCAAGTGGAGATAACAGTGGTCCCTGTAATGGGATTGTTGGGAAGAGTCAATGAGTTATAAATGTAAGTCACTTAAAATCATGAGTGGCATACAAAGGATATATTATTGTCATTTCCTCTATAAATACCTCAATTTTCATTATTTCCACAGATGCTACAAATAATCAGTTGCCAACTGCCCAGCCGAGCCTCAGGTATTGCGCACTTTGGGTGCAGGTTTATACATTCATTAACAAATATTTCCCCTGCTGTATGTCAGTGCTGGGTTAGTCAAGGGATAACAGGGTGAACGAGACATATGTAGTCCCTGCCCTCATGGGGGTAGCTGCTGAGCTGGCAGAAAGTGAGGTCTCATGTGTGTGTTGTAGGCATAAGGTGGATGAGCACGAACAAGATGGCAATGAGCTTCAGACCACCCCCGAATTCCGAGCCTACGTGGCCAAGAAGCTGGGAGACCTGCTGGACAGGTAACCAAAAGCATACCTTCTCTTCCCCCACCCTCAGTCATTGGAACAGTAAGGGCTCCTATGGGCTGGGAGCTCACCGCGTACAAGCCAACCCCGTGGCAAGCATGTGGCATATGTCACCTCATTGCATTCCAAACCACCTGGCCACGCAGGTCCTGTCATTTCTCTAGATGAGGAGACAGAGGCTCTGTGAGAAGCAGCATCTGCTGATGTCACAGAGAGGAAGGAGCAGATCTGGGACTCAAACCCAGGTGTGTTTGCTTTTTTTTTTTTTTTTAATAAATTTTTATTGATTCCAGAGAGGAAGGGGTTGGGGTTGGGAGAGAGAGAGAGAGGGAGAGAAAGAAAGAAACAGAAACATCAGTGATGAGAGAGAATCATGGATTGGCTGTCTCCTTCACACCCCCTGCTGGCGATCAAGCCGGTAACCTGGCATGTGCCCTTGACCGGAATTAACCCTGGGACCTTTCAGTCTGCAGGCCGACACTGTCTACTGAGTCAGACCAGCCAGCGCCAAAGGCCTTGCTCTTAAGCTCTGTGTTGTCCGACTCCCATGGGATAAGAGGCACCACAGAAGCAAGAGCCCATTCACAAAAGGGCAAGGAACAGACAGAATTATTGTGTGGGCCCCCTCTGTATGTCAGGCCCTGTGCCAGGTCTTTCTTATATTTGAGAATATCAGTAAAAGCATAAGCAACCGTTAAGACCAAACGACCAGTCAACCAGTCCCTATGATGCGCACTGACCACCAGGGAGCAGATGATCAACGCAGGAGCTGACCCCTGGTGGTCAGTGCGCTCCCACACCCAACCTCCCACGGCCAGCCAACCTCCTGGGGTCCCTTCCCCTGTTCAGCAGATCCCATCTGGCAGCCAGTAGGCTCCGGCCAGAAACTGGCAAGCCCCGGCAGGCTCGGCCCCAATTAGGCCTGGGCAAGACAGCCCCATTAGGCTCTGATTGCCAGCCAGGCCTAGGAACCCCACCCATGCATGAATTTTGTGCGCCAGGCCTCCAGTAATTCATAAAGATCTAGGTCAGCATTTCAAAAATAGGCACCAAGAAATACTAGTCCAAAGTGTGACCAGGAAAAAAGGGTCTGACCACAAAGAAGGTGAGCAGCCCTGGAGCCTGCACACTGCCGTGTGCCCTCGCAGTAAACCCACCCGTGTAACTTAGCTCACCCAGGAGTTTTAGGCTCATTTGGCTACAGTGCCTTCGTTTCGTGGACGACTGATAATATAACATGGACATGGTCTAGATCCATTCCTGATTGACAGCAGGTTTTGAAAGGGAGGTGAGGATGTTAAGCCAGAGTCTTTCATTTTGAAGTAGGCACCAAAAAGAACAAGTGAGCCCTCTCCAAGTATAAGCCAACTGCTCTTCCGAGACAGAATGTTGGACCACAGCTCAGCAATCTGAACCCCCCTGACAAAGGGCCAGCCCGGAACTGGAGAAAGTAGGAAACGTGTTAGGAAGGTCAGCTGGCACTGCAGCCTGTGAGAGCAGTGTGTCTGTGACTGTTTGTCTTCAGGGTGTTCAGGGTCCACCTGGCGCTATGGAAAGCCCCAGGGAACCCAGCAGGATGCTGGTCAGACCGCATCAGGATATTCCCTGGGGAGTTTTTGTTTTTCCCGTGTGTGAGATCCGGGTTTCTCAGCCTTGGCCGTATTGACCTTTGGCCTGGTAATTCCTGGTTGTGGGACTGTCCTGTGCATTGTAGGGTGGTAACAGCATGCCTGGCCTCCACCACTAGGTCCTAGTAGCCTCCCCCTGGCAGTTCTGACAACCAGAAATGTCTACAGACATTGTCCGATACTCCAAGGACCAACATCCAGCCATTTTGTTAAGATAAAGGGTCAGTCAGGCCTGGGTGGCATCGTCTCCATTTCCTCTTCCCAGCGGAGGTCCTGGGGATGGTGTGCAGAAGGCAGTAGGAGAAAGCACCGGCACGCTGCTGTCTGCTGAGAGGACAGTGCTGAGAGCACTGCCCTCCGGAGTGCACAGTGACCTCCGTGCATTCACCAGAGACCGGCATCCTGGTCTCGCAGCTCTCCCTGCTCTGAGCTCTGGGGAGAGGGCTTATTTCTGTTAGAGGGCCTGTGACACTTATTGCTTATCAGGATGACAGTGATTGTCGTCATAGGTGCCATGCTCTGAGCTGCTGCTTGTGGCCAGGCTCTGTGCTAAGGGCTTGATATCAACTATCTCATTTGCTCCTGTGGCAGTCCTAAGGGGGCAGGGTGCCCAGTGTACAGATGGGTAACAGGCTTAGAGAGATAAAGTCACTTGCCAAAAGGGACACAACTAGTAAGTGACAAAGCCAGGATTCAAAACCCAGGTCTGAAGTCTCAAGAAGGCCAATGGATTCTATCAATGTCCGTTTCTTGGTTATGATATTGAACTGCAGTTACGCACATGTTACCACAGGGAAAAACGGAATATCTGCTGTCATTTGGTAAGCATCTCCTGTGAAGAGTACATGGAATCTTGACCTGGCCAATGTTGGTAAGTGGTTAGTGTACCAGACTGAGCACTGAAGGGTCACGGTTTTGATTCCCGGTCAAGTGTACATACCTAGGTTGCAGATTCTATCCCCAGTCCTAGTCAGAGCTTGTGCAGGAGGCAGCCAATCAATGTGACTCTCTCTCATTGATGTTTCTCTACCTCCCTGCTTTCCTGCCTTCCTCTCCTCCTCTCTCCTCTTTCTCCCTCTCCCTTCCACTCTCTCTAAAATCAATGGAAAAAATATCCTCTGGTGAGGATTAACAAACAAAAATAAATGAAAGAGTATATGGAATCTCTCTGTATTATTTCTTGGAATTGCTTATCAATTTAGTTATCTCAAAAAAAGTTTTTAATCAAAATTGAAAAAGACAACAACAAAAAGCAAGTGTTATAAGACTTCTTCACTACGTTTTGGCTATTTCTGTCTCTCCGGTGTTTATTTTCTCTTATTCCTATTTGAAATTGTATTTATTTTGTTGTACTATGAGTATCTTAAAAATCCTCAGCGTTTTCTGGGGTAAAGTGGGGTTTAAACAAATGAAGCCCTGCGGTTTGAGCTGGCAGGAGCTGCTCAGCAGTTACAGCTGTGGGTGTTAGCATTCTTTTTTTACATTTTATTGATGTTTTACAGAGAGGAAGGGAGAGAGAGGGAGAGAGAGCTAGAAACATCGATGAGAGAGAAACATCGACCAGCTGCCTCCTGCACATTCCCCACTGGGGATGTGCCTGCAACCAATGTACATGCCCTTGACCAGAATCGAACCTGGGACCTTTCAGTCCACAGACCGAGCCTCTATCCACTGAGCCAAACCGGCTTCGGCGGTGTTAGCATTCTTCAGGCCAATGTGCTGTCTGCTTTTGCATTTAAGACTGCATGCCCCATCCCCTACACTTAAAAAGAATGGTGTTAATTTTTTGGAAAAGATTTTGTAGGTACTTAAAATTTTATGCTAAATCAAGCATCTCCTCTTTCCTTAGCTCCATTACCATCTCAGAAGCTGTGAAGGGACCAGCAAAGGCTGAGGCACAGAAAGCCACCCCGGAGGATGATGGTGAGTAGTCATCTTCTCTCTCTCTCTCTCTCTCTCTCTCTCTCTCTCTCTCTCTCTCTCTCTCTAAAAGGCTAATGTGCAAAGTGTCCCCTTAGGAGCTCGACTGTGGACCGGGAGGTCCATTACTCGCTATGACATGCGCTGACCACCAGGGGGTGGCGTGGAATGGCAGCCAGAAGGCTCTGATCAGCCCTGATTGCTGGCCAGGCCTAAGGACCCTGCCCATGCACGAATTTTATGCACCAGGCCTCTAGTCCTGTTAATATGTGCTGTCATTTGGTAAGCATCTCCTGTGTATCTGGAGCTAGGAAATAGTATTGGTGTATTACCTCTGTCATCCGTGCAGCCTGCTCTGAGGCAGGTATGACACCCCCATTACGGGGGGACTGTAAGGGAGGCTGAGGCTCTCAGGAATGAAGGCACTTACCTGAGGTGACCACGTCTGTCTAACCCTGAGCAGAGCTCCCACCACCACACTGCACAGCCTCTCCCGTCTGAGCATGTCTGTCCCCTGTCAGGCTCATGGCTACTTTGGAAGCTGCCGCAGGCAGGAGGCTCGACTGCTGACTCCCAAAAGCCGCGAGGGCGTGCTGGCCTGCTCGGCACCTCAGCACCCGTCCCCCGGCTCCAGCGTCGTCAGCATGCCCCTCCGCGCATGTAGCGGCATTTTGTGGTTAGATGGGAGCGGCTCCTGGGCCTTTGCCTCTGGACTAGGCGCTCCTGAGGGCAGAGGCGCCTGGGAGGAGAGGGGCCTGGCAGTGCTGACTCTGCCCCTGTGGGTTTTAGGCTTCCGCCTTTTCTTCACCTCCGTCCCCGAAGGCCCCGAGGAGAAAGCTGCTCCCCAGCCCCGCCGAAAGCGCCTGCCTTCCCGCTCCAGGTGAGGCGCACACCCTCCCCTCAAGGCCCCTCGGCTCTGCCCACTCTCCGTGTTGGCCAGTGTCTCAGGAGAGCCAGGCTGATGGGTGCGGTCCCGGCCCAGAGGAGCCCTGTGAGCCCTGGAGAAACAGGACGCTCTGGGGCGGGGGAGGACTCCGCGGGGCTGGCTCTGGAGGGTTACTGCTTTCTGAGCACCCATGTTGTGCCAGACGCTCACTCCTTGGACATCCTAGTGAGGCCTGGGCTCAGTGAAGATCCCATTTTATAGACGAAGACATGAGGGTCAGAGAGGTTACCTGATAAGATCACGTAGCTAGGAAGCAGAGAAGCAGGAACCCTGGTCTGCCTCACACCCAGCGCCTGAGCTCTACCTGCCCTCCACCCCGTGGGCGCTTTCGGGGGCCGCTTTGGGGCCCAGTCCCAGCCCCGGCTGACCCAGCCTGCCCTCTCCGCAGCAGTGAGGACAGTGAGGAGGAGTGGCAGCGGTGCCGGGAGGCCGCTGTGGCAGCCTCTGCCATTCTGCGGGAGTCCGCCATCCATGGTCCTGTCCAGGTGGAAAAAGAAGCAAAGGAGAAGAAAAGGAAGTTGAAAAAGAAAGCCAGGAAGGAGGCCAGCACGGACTTGACCGCCGCCGCCACCATCACAGGCACGGCCGCCGCCCGGAGGCAGGAAGAGCAGTCCGCCCCGCCCAACGGAGACCTTGTGCCACCTGGGAGCAAAAAGAAGAAACGGAAGAAAAAGGCCAAGAAGGCCACCGAGGCTTCCCCTCTCCCACCATCGAAGAGCGCAGCAGCCGCGCCCGCGCACTGACCAGGTGCCAGGACGCGGCGCCCCTTGGGACGGGCATTTCCAGGTGCTGCCGCCCTCTCCACGTCAGGGACTTGGCTGGCGAGTCCAGACTCTGCCCATGACTGGGCTTGCCCATGAGTCGGGGAAAGCCCTGGTTGTGGAGTGAGAAGCCTGAGTAAGGCCGCCCTCCTGTGCTCCCTGGGGCCGGGCAGACTGTGGAACCAGGACGGCTGTGGAGCCTTCCAGTCAGTCAAGGCTGACAGCCGAGTGGTGGCGCCCCCATCTCCCCGGGCTGTCGGAGGAGGTGCGTGAGGGGAGACCTGCTGTGGGAGACAGTCTGAAGAAAATGCGGGAAGAGGTCCTTGAGGTGTCAATGCCCAAAGTGCCATGTAGACTGGATATAACTGAGAAAGGAGAGATTTCCCCCCTCGTTTTCCAGAACTTTATACATTTGGGAACATAACCACACACGATCATCTCCCAACCAGATTGTGGAAAAGTAAGTGTCAGACCCAGCACGTATCTAAGTGACGGGGTGCTGCCTCCAGCAGGGCTGAATCCTGATGAGACACTTTAAATCGGCACCACAGGAAGGTCCCTGCCCGGCTGTGGCTTACAGGAGTGTCACGGACTGGCTTTGCTGGGTTTTGTGCATGAGGCCCATTCAGGGAGCAGAAGGCCAAGGTGAAGGTAACATTCTGGCATCGTAGATTCAGCAAAGCAAGAACGACAGGTGGCCCCTGAGAGTCTGTGTGTGCTGGACCCATCTCTCCTCCGGCCCCTGGCCCGCCTCCGCCCTCTGCCTGCCCAACCCCATCTGGGCAGTGAAGGACAAGGAAGAAGTTTGCAGTACGTTCCTCGTTTACTTTATTAAAAGTTAAATAATGTACAGGCTCGTCCTTAGCTGGCTGCCAGCTGCAGGGGATGTGGCTCTTCGTGGTCCCAGGATGGAGGTGGTCAAAGCAGCGGTTGCCAACTGGTGGCCCTTGGGCCACTAGTGGTCTGTGAGGTCCAGAAGGTTGGCGACCGCTGGTATAAAGGGCCCGATTCTCACATTAGTCCAGAGGGGAGGACGCAGGAGCCCCAGTGATGGCACCTTGTTCCTCTGATGGAGCTTGGCTCTTTGGGGCTGCATCTGCCTGGACCGCCTCGCCTCTCAGGCCCCAGGCTCCCAGGCCTCAGTCTTGTCCACACAGGGACTCCTCTCCACTGGCCTCGTCTCTCTCCTCTCCCTCTGGGCACCTCTGTTCTGCCAGCTGCTCAGGCCTCTGCCTTCTGAGCTCGGCAGCTTCTCCAAACCAGGGAAGGGTCTGCAGGCCCCAGAGGCCCCGGGAGCTGCTGCCCAGGACTTAGCACCAGGCCCAGAGCGAGGACACTTGCTAGCCTTGAGGGAGCGGGGCTTTTCAGCAGAGGCAAGGCAGCAGGCTGGCACAGAAGGCATGCTGCTTGGGAACAAGTATCCCGGGAAACGAGGTCCCAGGGTCCCGGGAGGGAAGCTGAGAGCCCTGGTGCCTTCGGTTCGCTTCCTCGAGGGCTTGGGCGCTGAGCTCCAGGCCTGGGCAGATCAGCCCTCGGAATGCTCTCTGAGGGGCTGGGCGGGAACGGCGGGCCTTGGGTTAACAGCAGGAAGGGGCAGGGTGGAGTGGCCTGCACAGGGCCTCGGGGCAGGAAGGTCTGAGGCCTCTCAGAGCCCAGTGGGGCACAGCTGCACAGCTTTGTCCTGAGCGGGGACTGCAGCCCCTGTGGGAGTGCTGGGCTCTCCAGAGGCCCAGGCTGGCTGTACTGGGTCCAGAGTCTGTCCCCTTCTTTTCAAAGTGACAAGGTTTACCAGGAGCAGCAGGGACAGGCCCTCCTGTCCTGCCAGGAGCAGGCTCTGCCTCCCAGCTCTCCACAGCGCCCCCTTGTGCACTGAGCAGTCCTCCCTCTGACACTGCAGTCTGTAGAAGCAGATGTTTGCAGGCTCATGCCCTGGTCACCCCCCAAGTCGCTGTGCAGGCTTCGGGTGCCAGCCCCTGGGAGGTGGTTGCCATGGTTACTGGGAAGAAGAGGCCATCTGCGTGGAGATGAAGGTCTCGATGACGCTGTGGTTGGATGGCAGCAGGTGGCTGTGGCCATTGGTGGATTCGGAGCTCTGGTACAACACCAGGCTGCTGGAGGACACTGCGGAGGCAAAGGAAGCTGCTGGCTGCCCACCAAGCTTATCCTGACCCCCCACTCCTCCTGGAGGCACTGGGTGGAGGAGGTGGGACCTTGTCATTAACCCCAGGGAGTGGCCTCAGCATTTTAGTGGAAATGTTAGACATGTGAGGTGGTTAATGTTGTGTGTCAGCTTGGCTAGGCTGTAGTGTCCAGTCCCTCCAACATCTGCCCCATTACCCCCAGCTCACAGTTTGCCCCATCAGGGGTGGGGAGCTGTTTTTGTGCCCGGGGCCATTTGGATATAACACTCGTGGGCCACACACAATTAACAACTTAAAAGCCAGCCTGCTATACTTGGTCAAATGTTTGACTTGCGCCTAGTGCCCTGGCAGGGCCAGCCAAATGGCATCACGGCCTTATCCAGCCTGCGGCCGGTCGTTCCCACCCCATGCACACGCCCGCAGGGAGAGGCTCACCGGGGGGGCTGGCGCTGAGCCGGTGGGAAGGCTGCAGGTGCTGGATGCCGGCGGGGTCCTGGCTGGGGATGTGGATGGTGGTGGCCTGAGATGCCGGTGTGTGGAGCCCAGACTCACCGGAGGCCTCGGCGTCTGAGATGAAGACCTGGAGGACAGAGCCGCCTTCTGAGCCTCAGGGTGTCCTCTGAGGAGGGGCCCACGGGGGTGCGGGGCAGCCCGGGGCCTTACCTGCTTGGTGGGCGTGAGGCTGGCCAGGGCGCTCAGGTTGGTGGTGTCGGTGATGAGCATGGTCTGCAGGCCTGTGTGGGTGTACTGGGCCACCTCAGGCTTGTGGCTGTAAAGGGCTGCCAGGAGGGAGGAGGCAGAAGAGGGTTCAGACGTGGCCCCCTCCCAGGAGGGCCTCAGGGCTGGGTGCTCTGGGGAAGTGGGGGTGAGGCCTGGGAAATGGCCTGGTGGGGCAGTGGGTGGAGACTCAGGGCTGATTTCCAAAATGGAGCTCCAGGTAGACTTTGGATGCCCTCCCCAACTACCGGGGCCTGCTCAGCCCCTGAGAGAAGCCGGCAAAGTCCAGGACCCACACCCAGCTCCGCCGTCACCTGAGACAGCAGGTATGGAAGGGAGCAAGAGGCTAAACAGGCCTCAGAGGGGAAGGCCTGCCCCTGTGCACGGGCTGCAGGACGGAGGGCAGCCATGTCCATGCCAGGATGCCTCTGAACATAATCCAAATGTCACCTCGTAGCCACCCACAGACACAGGAGAAAACTCACTCCCCCTTGACAAATAAAACCACAGCACCCACATAACAAACGCATGCACTCAGCCCTTTATTCCCAAGTCCCAATTCGTAAGGTTGGCGCTTTGGTGGCACAATCTGACCTGAGCCTGAAGTGAGGTTATTTAAGTCTATTTTTATTATTACTTTTGAGATATGTTTTTATTGATTTCAGAGAGGAAGGGAGAGAGAGAGAAACATCAATGATGAGAATAATAGATCTGCTGCCTCCTGCACGCCCCTACTGGGGATCGAGCCCACACCCCAGGCAGGTGCCCTTGACTGGAATCGAACCTGGACCCTTCAGTCCTCAGGCCAACGCTCTATCCACTGAGCCAAACCAGCTAGGGCTTTATTAATCTACTTGGTGAGATTCTACTTTTTTGCTGCAGAAATCGTAGGGCTTGGTGACAGTGTTAACCCCAAATGCTGCTGGGAGAGTTTTGTAACCTATAGTATGGTCCCTCTATTAACCTTTGAAAATCTGAAAATAGTTAATTCTGAAATACATATGGCCCCAAAGGTTTAGAGAAAGATTGGCCTGTGTACCCACACGTGGGCATACCCCTAAATACTGATGAACATCTAGCTGTGTTTCCACTCACAGCACACACATGGCCACACGTATTCACACATGGAAACACATTCTGGCCCCAGACACTCTCCGGAGCCCCCTCAGCCCCCTCCATCGCAAACACACTTGTACCAACACCCGCAGGCCACAGTATCTGCGAGGTCCCCTCCCCCTGAGCTCACCGTGGGGGCTCTGCAGCTGCGCCATGGTGGCCATGAAGGGGTTCTGGGCCATGTGGCTCTGCACAGGAGACATGAGCGGCTGCTGGTAGGAGGGGTGCAGCGGCTGGGAGAACTGCACCGGCTGCAGGGTGGCCAGGCTGCTGCCCATGCTGTTGATGACAGGCACACTCTGTGCCTGTGTGGAGGCCAAGCCTGGAGCGGGAGGGGCAGGAGTCAGCCAGGCCACCACGTCCACTGCCTCCCAGGCCCCTGGGGCACCATCCCCCCCTGCCTCCCAGAGGCAGTGTGCTGGGGGGCGGGGGGAGGCGGACAGGAAATCCCTTTGCCCTAGGGCCTGTCACTAACTCATGGCCCTGGCAAGTCACCCCTCCTCTGAGCCTCTGGCCATTACATGGGCGGGAGGTGGGTCTAATGGGTTCCCTGGAGCCCTGGGTTCCGTGCAGTCGAGGCCCTGGGCTTAGGTCTGCGTTCCTCTCCCATCAGCTCCCATCTGCCTTATAATAGTTCCTGTAAGTAAAGTCCTCCGGGCTTTACAGAAAAGCCTAAAGCCTAGAACACATGGGTCCGCTCCTGCCGCTCCGTCTTCCCCACGGCCTACGGGGCTTAGGCGTTGTTACTGTCTGCCCCCCACCGGAGCCGCTGAGGTCTGGGCCGCTGGGTACGTGTGTATCATGTGCAGCACAGAGCAGGCAGTGAGTATGAAGGAGAGCCGTGGTCCCAGAGGCGCTTGGGCTGCACCCTCCCGCCAGCTTACCAATGACCAGGGTGGAGGCGCCGGTGTTGGTGAACGTGGAGCCCAGGGAGGCAGGCTCCCCGGGCCCGATGGTCATGACCCCGGGGAGCGAGGCCATGATGAGGTTCTGGGGCTGCTGGCCGAGGCCTGGGGACGTCTGCTCCAAGCTGTGCAGCGCTGTCAGCGTGCTGACCGGGGGCAGAGGACCCCCAGTTGCTGAGACCTTGGAGGGGAAACCAAGCTAAGTGAGGACTGCTTTTCCCCACCGAGGGAAGATGGGGTTGGGGGGGGTCTCACCCACCTGGGGGTGGGGTGGGGGGACACTCACCAGCTTGGCTTCCGTGCTCAGCAGGCTGTGACTGGGCTCCAGGCCTGTGGGGGACACCTGGTGCAAGGCTGTGGACACTGTCACCAAGGAGCTGCCACTGCTGGAGGGCACGTCCGCCCCCTCGCTGGTTGCAGGTTGTCCATAGCGCACACCTGGAGGGGAGCAGTGTGCAGCCTCAGCACCCCACTTTTCTGCCCTCCAGGGGCCTCACTGGCTTGCTCAGGCCACTCGCCCCATCTTTATGCAGCCTCCTCCCAGGCTCTGTGCTGCCTGCTTCCAACTCCTGAACACAAGGGCTGTACTGCATCAGCTCCACGACCCTGCCCAGACTATACTGACATGCAGAAGGTCTCAACAAAACAACTGCACCGAACTGAACTGCAGCAAATGAACTGCAGCAAATAATTGGAATTAGTTTAATGAAACTGAATCTAGTTGAATTGAACCTGAAATACATTGAGCTTGCACTTAATTGAATTGAATCAAATTGATTTGGATTGAATCAAACCGAGCCATACAAAATTAATTTTCCTTGAATTATATTTATTAAACTGAGTTGATTGGCAATTGGATTGGATTAAATGGCACCAAATCTAAATGAACAAATTGGATTATAATAAACAGATTAGGAGAGAAACCAAGATGGCGGCATAGGTAAATGCCTAATGCAGCCTCACACAACAATTTAAAAAAAAAACACAAAACTAAAATACAAAATGGACATTATCCAGAACTACAGGAAAATTGACTGACTGGAAATTCTACAACTAGAAGGAAAGAGAAAACCAGAAGGAAAATAGAGGAGCTGTAAAAGCCTAAGGTACAAAGAGGCGCATGGGGAGAGGATGGAGCCGGAGAGGAGGGGTGGCTAAGTGCCTGGCGTTCCCTAGCGGGAAGGAGATAAAAGCTCCAGACTGTGTTGAGCCCCAGTTCCGACAGCACTGAACCCCAGTTCTAGGCCAGACCCTGGGGACCCAGGCTCTTACAGAGGGAGTCTGGGCTGTAATGCGGAAACAGTGGAGCAGCAAAAAGCAGTCCCGGAGGCACGCACGTTACGCGCAGAGGATGGAGTATTGACTGTGCCGCTGGATTGCTTTAGCGGGAAGGAGACAAAAGCTCCATACTGCTCTGAACCCCACTTCCAACCACACTGAACCCCAGTTCTGGGATCACTGGGGGAGAGCCTAGGCTGTTTGGTAGCGGGCGAAACTCGAGGGCACCTTTCTCTCAAAGGTGCTTGCAGCGAGTACCTAAGGACACTGAGGAACACTGAAACTCAGGAACCTAATAGGGCAGGGCTGACAAGAAGCCAAGGCTGTAGGCTCCACCCTGAAACTCCGCCCCATCCAAGCTGAGCACAGAGGCTTTTATAATTTTCCAAGTCTAGTCGAATAAGGCTGTTTCCCGGCATAGACATAGCTGATCCTCACAGCCAGTTGGTCTGGAGGTCAGTTTCTCCCAGTGATACCAACAACAGTCAAGACTTAACTACAATAAGGCTGTACACACAGTCCACAATGGGGTGCACCAAGAGTGTCCACCTCAGGTAACTGGGAGACTGACCCACTGAACCATATAGGACACCTTAGCACACAAAGCCACCCTACAAATTCAGGAAAGCAGCGAAAATGCCAAGGCAAGGAAACAGAACACAAACGAAAGAAATGGAGGACAAAAAGCGACCGGATATAGAGTTCAAAACCACGCTTATAAGGTTTTTCAAGAATTTCCTAGAAAAGGCTGATAAAATAAACGAGACCTATGAGCATATGAAAAGGGATCAACTAGAAATAAAGAATACATTGTCTGAAATAAAAAATATTATACAGAGTCCTAAAAACAGAATGAAAGATCTCAAGAGTCAAGTCAAAGATTTGGAACATAAAGAGCCAAAAGACACTCCTCCACAGAAGCAAGAAGACAAGAGAATCCAGAAAGTTGAAGATAATGTAAAGAAACCTCTGGGACAATTTCAAGCGAACCAACATCAGAATTATGGGGGTCCCAGAAGATGAGAGAGAGCAAGATACTGAAAACATATTGGAAGAAATAGTGAAAGAAAACTTCCCCCACCTGGTGAAAGAAATAGACTTACAGGTCCAGGAAGCGCACAGAACCCCAAACAAAAGGAATCCAAAGAGGACCACACAAAGACAAATCATAATTAAGATTCCAAGAGCAAAAGACAAAGAGAGAATATTAAAAGCAGCAAGAGAAAAGCAGATAGTTACCTATAAAGGAGCACCCATAGGATTGTCAGCTGATTTCTCAACAGAAATTATGCAGGCCAGATGGAATGGCAAGAAATATTCTAGGTGATGAATAGCAAGAACCGACAGCCAAAAATACTCTACCCAGCAAAGCTATCACTCAGAATCGAAGGCCAGTTAGAGTTTCACAAATAAAAAAAAGCTAAAGGAGTTCATCACTGCCAAACCAGAATTATATGAATTGCTGAAAGGGGTTCTTTAGGAAGAGGAAGAAGATAAAGATTAAAAATTATGAACAACAAATATGTAACTATCAACAAGTGAACCTAAAAACCAAGGGAATTAAAAAATCTGATGAACAATATTAACTGGTGAATATAATAGAATCAGAGGTATGGAAGGGGAGTGAACTGACAGTTCTCTGGGGAAAGGGGAGTGGGGGTTGTGGGAAGAGACTGAACATAAGTTGTGTACCTATGGATGAGGACAATGGGGGGTGGGAAAAGGGCAGAGGGTGGGGTGGGAACCTGGTGGAGGGGAGCAATGGAGGGGGAAAAAATGAGGAACATTTGTAATAATATGAACAATAAAGATTTATTTTAAAAAATAAAACTATAATAAACAGAGTAGAATTGACCTGAAATGAATTGATCTGAAATGAATGAGTTGAATTGAACCCAACTCAGAGTGAACGTAGTGGATGGATGACATGTTGTGGTCAGTGGAGTGGAGAGTAATAGAGTGGATAGAATAGTGTGAATACACTGAGTGGCCAGATTATAATGATCTCTGAACGCATAATTGGCCACTCAGTATATGTATATATATGTTTATGTCTATATATATGTATATATGTGTGTGTGTGTGTGTGTGTGTGTATTAGAGGCCCAGTGCATGAACTCGTGCATGTGTGTGGTCCGGCCAGCCTGGCCAGGGGGAGAGGACATGGGCGCTTGGCCGGCCTGCTTGCTGGTCGAACTCCTGGTAGAGGGGACAATTTGCATATTAGTCTTTTACTATAAAGGATAGACACTGAGTGGCCCTATTGTTATGTGTTCAGAGATCATCATCATCTGGCCACTCAGTGCAAAGTGGAGTGGAACCAAACTGAAGTGCTGAGAGGTTTGGGTAACGTTTGCCACTGGGGCGGTGCTCCCACACTCTCACACCTACCCTCTTTCCCTCCACCCACCGCCCCAACCGCTGCCCGCAGAGCACTCACCGTGGACCTTACTGGGGGAGAGGGCCGACGGGGGCAGGCCGGGGGAGCTGTGGGCGGGCAGTGCGGGGCCCGGGCCTGGCCCCTGCGGCGGCCCGCTGTACGTGTCCATGGCCAGCTTGTGCCGAAAGGCTTCTTCCTTGCGCCGATTGGCAAACCAGTTGTAGACACGCACCTCTGTGACCAGGTTGGAGCCCAGCCCCTGTGCCTGTGAGGGCGACACCCCCCTCTGGATGCACTCGGCCCTGTGGGAACAGCCACCGTGAGGCTCCAGGCCAGGCACCAAGGAGCCTGTCCTGGGCCGGGGGTCTGGGAAGCCGGGCTCCGCCTGAGTTTGAGGCTAGCGCCGGGGTGCAGTCCCACATCTGCTCTGAGTGACTTCCCCCTCAGGGTCTCTAATCTTAAGAGTGAGCAGAATCACCACCGGCTGGCAGTGAGGATGAATGAGATGCACAACCACTCAAAATTGCTTGGATTGGGGGTGTGTGTCAGAAATAGAGCTGGGTTTCAGACCCGGAGCCCAAGTTGAGGCGGGGGTGGGTGGGGGGGAGGCCCTCCCTCAGGACCCAGAGCCACCCTCCCCTTCCCCAGCCCTGCGCTGCCCAGACCAAACCAGCCCCGCCGCCCGCCGCCTCCTACCTGTTGCACTCCTCCACCAGGGCCTCTCGCTCCTCCTTGCTGGGGTTCTTCTGCCTCTCGTAGGCCTGGAACAGGATCTGCTGGGACGCTGGGCCCCATTTGAAACGGTTTCTCCGTCCCTTCTTGGTCGGCAGCTCATCTCCCGTGGGCTCCTCCATCAGCCCCCCCTGCCCGGCGTGCGTGAACTCTGTAGACACAGGCAGCTGTGAGCAGAGCACCAGCCCCTCCCGCCTTCCCCGCCTCAGCTGCTGACCACACTCCTGATGCTTTCTCATTCCCAGAGGCCCAGGCAGAGCAGCTTACAGTTAGAGCTTGGCAATCCTCTAATCCAGTGAGGACAGACACACAGCACACGTGCCTCCATGTTCCTAACCGTGTCCAAGGCAGGCATCACTAATCAACCTCTGCACACTTTTCTACTGAGCCAAGCTCTGCTCTCACTAGGCTCCAGGTAACATTAGCATTTGTTCCCTTTGACACATATGCCATCCCATTTTACAGGTGAAGTTCGGGGAACTAAATATTTCTCGAATGTTGCACAGAGTAGGAAATGGAAGCCTGTCTCCTTGAGCAGATTCAGAACTATGTTCAACATTCCAGACTGGGATGCATTCTAAAGCCCAAAGTGCATTGTTGGCCAGCAGAGAAAAGACCCAGCAGCGTATCCCTGAGCAGGCCGCCAGGGGCGTGGCACAGACAGCTGCTGGGCATTTTATGAACGGGAGGAAGGGAGGTTCTGAACCAGGGATCTGTGGGTATGGCTGGCGTGTGCCTAAAATTACTCCAGAGGGGGTTTGCAAGGCTGGGACTGCTTTAGGTCAAAGGCATCTAACTTTTATTGTAAAGTCTTTCTCACATTTTTTCTTCTTAACTAAGTGTGCATTGTCTTTTATTTTTATTTTTTTAAATCTATTTTATTTTTTACAGAGAGGAAGAGAAAGGGATAGAGAGTTAGAAACATCCATGAAAGAGAAACATCGATCAGCCGCCTCTTGCACATCCCCTACTGGGGATGTGCCCGCAACCAAGGTACATGCCCTTGACCGGAATCAAGGGACCTTTCAGTCTACAGGCCGACATTCTATCCACTGAGCCAAACCGGTTAGGGCTGTGCATTGTCTTTTAAAAAGCTGGATGATTGCCCTAGCTGGTTTGACTCAGTGGATAGAGTGTCGGCCTGTGGACTGAAGGGCCCCAGGTTTGATTCCAGCTAAGGGCACATGCGTGGGTTGCAGGTTTGATTCCCAGTAAGGGGGCGTGCAGGAGAAAGCCATCAATGATTCTCTCTCATCATTGATGTTTCTATCTCTACCTCTCCCTTCCTCTCTAAAAACTAAAAGATATACATTTTAAAAAGCTGGATAATTAATGAAAAGAAAGAGTAGAAATTACTTTATACATAGACAGGCTCATACGTGTGAACGTGCACTTGGGAACTGGTGGGGGAGGAGGCCTGACGGAGGAGGTCCACACTCTCTGAATTGGAGTGCGCCCAGGTCTTCCCAGGTTTGCAAGGGAGGATTCCCAGAGCACCTGCCTCGCCTCTGAGCCTTTACACATGCTGTTCCTTCTGCCCGGAACACCCTTTCCTAATCTCCATGCGTCAAAATTCAACTCGCACGTTAAGACCGAGTCTGAAGGCCACACGCTGGTGTGAACCCGCCTGCGCCCTGCCGCCCTGCGGACAATAGGTTTCTCTCTCCCCTGCCGTCAGCTCCACACGTGGAAATAGACTTTGGCAGCACTGCCCCGGGCCAGTGCTATGAACTTCGGGGGCCATGAGTACAGCTCCGGCTGCTCTCCTGTGCTTCAGAACACGTCTCACCGTATCACACGGTCTCTCTCCCTCCCGCCTGCAGCTCCGGAAGGCAGGGCCCCGCTTATCCGTCATGGACGCCCAGGACCAGCCCCGCTTCCCCCTCCCACAGTGCCTTGTGCAGCATAAAATAAACACTGGAGGGTCCCGCTGATCCTCCTGAGCTGCCGTCTGAGAAACGGGGTGGGAGCCGCCCCCCGCCCGCCTCAAGCTGCGGGGAGCCCGGCCTGCCGGGAGGACGGGCTGGGTGTTACTTACGCTGGGCCACCTCTCGCTGCTTGCGGACGTACCAGGTGTACAGGGCGGCGCGCTTCTGCGTCTTCATGGGGGTGCCCTTGTTGAGGTGCTGCGACAGGTGCGACTGGTTGAGGCCGGTGGTGTCCACCACCTCCCGCTGCGGGATGTTGTGCTGCTGCAGGTAGGACTTCACCATCTTGGCCACACGCCAAGGGTCCTCCCTGGGCGGGAACAAGAATAGGGCCCGCTCAGTGGGGGCGGGGACCCTGCAGGCAGGGCTGGGGGCCCGGGTGCGAGGATCCCTGCCCACACGGGGGGTGGGATGTGGATGAAAGCAGACCCTGACTCAGGTATAATATGATTCACGCCAGGACACAGGGACCCTCACACAGACGCGCAGCCACGGGAGAAACATGTCACAGGCCCAGCCAGCCCCGCAGACACAGAGCAGGTGCCAGTTTAGAAACGGTGACAGACACACGGCCACGGACATGTGGACAGGCTCCCCTGGGCGCCCAGCCTGATGGGGAGGGCCTCACCGGTGAGCCTCCTCTACAGAGCCCTCTCCCACTGGCACTGCGTTTGTGGCTGTGCCTTGTCCACAGAGACTGCCAACGCCTTCTGACATCCATTCCCACAGCCTGGCATCCATTCCGCCCTCGGGGAATGCATGAACTCACCACGGATGAGTGGATGGATGGGTGGGTAGGTGGGTGGGTAGATAGTTGGGTGGGTAACAGAATGGATCAGTGGATGAGTGAGACTTACTAGGGGGAAAATTAGGTCTGAAAACAAGGAGAGAAATGAGATTCTCATTTATGGTCCGGGCCACCAGGCTAAGGGCACTTGTGTCACTTGCATCTCTTTTTTTTTTTTTTTTTTTTTTTAATATATTTTTTATTGATTTTCCACAGAGAGGAAGGGAGAGGGATAGAGAGCTAGAAACGTTGATGAGAGAGAAACATTGGCCAGCTGCCTCCTGCATACCCCCCACTGGGGATGTGCCCGCAACCAAGGTACATGCCCTTGACCGGAATTGAACCTGGGACCCTTCAGTCCGCAGGCCGACGCTCTATCCACTGAGCCACACCGGTTTCAGCTCACTTGCATCTCTTGCCCAAGGTCACGGGCAGCCCAGCAGACAGTGATGCTATCAGGAAACATCACAGCGGAATGTGCCTCCTGTAACCTGCACCACCCCAGGCGGGGCCGGCGGGTCCCCCACACCCGGGCAGCACGGGGTCTCTGCAGCCTCAGGCGCAGGGGCGGGGCCAGAGGTGGAGGACTTGTCAGAAAAACGTGACGTCTGGGCGCCAGATCCTCCTCTCGGGGCTGAGATTCTCTCCCGGGAGATGGGACCTGAGGCCCCTGTGGTCCGTGTTCTGCCCCCTGGTCACTGTGGAACGGACGGTCAGAGGCCTCTGCTGTGTGTGTTCTCTCCCTGCCCCGCTCCGGGCCAGCCCCCTCCCTGTCCCAGGCCTCTCTTCCAAATGCGTGTCAGAGGAGAGCGGCCCGACCCCAGAGCCCAGACAGACTGGGATTGGAACCCCGGGCCGCCGGGGCCCAGAGCCCAGTGCTCACGCCCTCGCTCAGCAGTTTATTCTAGAACCGGAGGCTGCGGTGTGTGCACATGTGGCAAATGGCCTGTGCAGGAGGCGACTCGGCACCACGTGGCCTGGCCACAGCCAAAGATTGGAACCCACCAAAGAGGGCGCTGGTTAACGAAAGTGCGGACACCCACGGGGCTGCCACCGCGGAACATTAAAATGGGGAGAGAAGTGTCTACACATTTGAGTGTGCAGGACACGGCGAAGGTCACAGGAACTGAGACACAGTGCCTCAGGGAACGGAGTGCTGAGGACAAGGGGGGGCGGGGGGGACGGACAGTTTTTGTTCCTGCTCCACGCTTTTAGAATTATGTAACATGTTATATAATGCCCAACACGTGCATATGTACTATCTAAAACCGAATTCTGAAAGAGGAAACGCAAACACCCCCTGCTCTGAAGCTCACCACTGCCTGCCCCCAGGCCTCTCGCTGTCCTTGAGGTCCAGCCCGCCTGTCCCCTGGCAACGCCCTCTGCACGCGGGCACGCAGAGCCCCCGCAGCTTTGGCTCCGACCCAGCACCCACAGGCAGCGGCAGGAGGGACAGCTGGCCGGGAGCTGCTCGCAGCGACCGTCTGGGTGAACTGCAGCCGTGAGACCAGTGCTTCTGAGTTCGTGCTGTGGGCTCGGCCTGGGCGGGAGCCGGTCACCTAAATCTGACAGCTGCCTTAGGGCCGTGGTTGGCACACTGCGGCTCAAGAGCCACATGCGGCTCTTTGGCCCCTTGAGTGTGGCTCTTCCACAAAACACCACGGCCTGGGCGAGTCTATTTTGAAGAAGTGGTGTTGGAAGAAGTTTAAGTTTAAAAATTCGTCTCTCAAAAGAAATTTCAATCACTGTGCTGTTGATATTTGGCTCTGTGGACTGATGAGTTTGCCGACCACTGCCTTAGGAAGTCAGTACTACTGATACGTCCATCTTACGTCCATGAAACGAGGCTCAGACAGGTGAGCTCACTGGTCAAAGGGACTGGAGAGTATTTCACTTTGGCCCTAGCTGGTTTGGCTCAATGGATAGAGCATCGGCCTGCAGACTGGGGCGGGGGGAGGGGGGGGGAGGAGGAGGATTCTATTCCGCCCAAGGGCACATACCCGGGTTGTGAGCTCAATCTCCCCAGAGGGGGGCATGCAAGAGGCAGGCGATCAATGATTCTCTCTTATTGTTGATGTTTCTATCTCTCTATCCCTCCCCCTTCCTCTCTGAAATCAATAAAGAAATATATATAAAATAAATAAATAAAGAGCCGGGACCGGTTTGGCTCAATGGATAGAGCGTTGGCTTGGGGACTGAAGGGTCCCGGGTTCAATTCCGGTCAAGGGCATGTACCTTGGTTGCAGGCACATCCCCAGTAGGGGATGTGCAAGAGGCAGCTGATCGATGACTCTCTCTCATTGATGTTTCTAACTCTCTATCTCTCTCCCTTCCTCTCTGTACAAAATCAATAAAATATATTAAAATAAAAATAAAGAATATTTCACTTCGCCCAGACCCCCCAGGCTCTCCACAAGCTCCTCCCTCCTGCTCCCCGGGCTCCCAGGAGCCTCCCCGTCCACCTCCCCCCTCCGGTGCCAGTCACACCAGGAGGGCGGAGTGCAAAGTCCAGCCTGTGCTCCACGGCAAACACGCTTATCTGATCCCGGAACTGGGCTGCTGGTGGCCTCCCGCCTCCCCCACTGCAGCCATCACCCCCTGAGCAACCCTCCCCCTTCTTCCCTTCCCTCTTCCTCCCTCCCTCTTCCTTCCTTCTCCAGAATGAGCTCAGTCTTGCTCTCAACAAGGCCTCTCCTGGCTCAACTGAAAGATTAACTGTCACTGTCGTGTGTGTGTGTGTGTGTGTGTGTGTGTGTGTGTGTCTGTCTGTCTCTCCCTCCCAGTCTCTTTCCCTCTCCTGTCTCCATGTCTCTCTGTTGTTCTCTCTGTCTCCTCCCCATCCCCCCTCCCCATACACACCCCATACACTCAGTCTCCAAGGACGTGACTCTTCAGGACAGTTTCTCTAACTCAGAACTAAGGGGCCAGGCTCCAGGCACCCCACTTCCACCCTCACAGGCTCCAGAGTTAAGCCGGCCCGGGCTCCAGCCCCTGAGGGCGCATGCCCATGCCACCAACGCGCAAACCCGCCCGCCTCGGCCCGGGGAGAGCGGAACGGTCCCAGGAGGAGTGGACGCTCCCAGGGCTGGCACGCAGGGAGCGCCCAGTGAACGGAGGGCGTCCTGCAGGCCGGGACCCAGCCCCGGGGTTTCAGTGCGGCCAGCGGAGGCCACCCTGAGGCCCCGGTGTGGAGGGAGGGAGTCCCCACGCGGGCCTGCGACCGCAGTGCGATCTCAGCTGTGCCTGTTCTCCCGGGGCCTGGGACAGTAGCTTTGTGCTGTCCTGTGCCTCAGTTTCCTCATCTGTGATATGGCGCTCACAGTAAATATCTCACAGGAGGAGGAGAGGAGTCACACACGTCTCTAAGCCCCTCTGTCTCTGAGGTGAGCGTGGAAGTGAGTGATGGTGAAGCTGAACAGCCAGAGGACTAGGGCGGGAGGAGGGAGATAAACGTATCACGGGAGGGTGCTGTGCAGAGCGTGTGGCTGGGAGGACCCGGGTCCAAGTCCTGGCCTGACTGCTTTGCAAGACCTTGGGCAAGTCCCTTTGCCTCTCTGCGCCTTCACTTGCTCACCTGTAAAACAGGACACTCCCAATGGCCACCGTCTGTTACCACGTATGCGCACCCATGTTATCATGTAAAACGGGTCCATCACCACGTATGCGCACCCATGTTATCATGTAAAACGGGACCATCACCACGTATGTGCACCCATGTTATCATGTAAAACGGGTCCATCACCACGTATGCGCACCCATGTTATCATGTAAAACGGGACCATCACCACGTATGCGCACCCATGTTATCATGTAAAACGGGTCCATCACCACGTATGCACACCCATGTTATTATGCCACCTCCACTTGCAGAGGAAACTGGAGCTCGGAAAAGGGAAATGACCTGCCTGCGCTCGAGTTGGGGGGCTGGGATTCGAACCCAGGCAGGCTAGCCTCAGTCAGGGACATCCCCCGTGGCCACTGAACTCCTAGGTCCCAGTGTGTTGGCACTGTCCAGTGGAGAGGATAGAGTCCTTCCAGCTGAGGTGTGAGCTGTTCAAGGACAGGAGGACCAGGAGGACTCCCGGGCAGGAGCCCCCGGACCAGGCTCCCCCGCGGCCAGGGCAGCAGGTGTCCCAGGGCCTCAGAATCCTGGCCACTCGTCATTCGCGCTGTGTGGGCTGGACAGGAAGGGTGAGAGAGCTGAACGAGGCCACGGAACCCTGCCCTTGAAGAGCTTCTGTTTTCATGGCAGAAGACAGAAAACCAAGTGATGGAAAGGGACAGGAGAAAGTAAAGGAAGGTGGTTGAAGAGTGACTGGGACAGACCCTGCCTCGAGATGAGGCAGTCAGGGAGGGCCTCCCTGAGGAGGTGACACTTTAGCCAAAGGCCGGGGAGGAAATGCCATGGGAAGATCTGGACAGAGGGTTCCAGGCAGAAGGAGCAGCATGTGCAAAGGCCCCGAGGCGGGAACCAGCAGAGTGAGCGTAACTGGAGGAAGGTGGAGGGGGGGGGGGAGGCAGTCCCTCGGAAAGAGGTCAGGAGTCAGGGCCCGGAGTTTGAATTCCAGTCAGTGTCCAGGCAGGGCCAGGAAGAGACTTGCCCAAGGTCACACAGGGAGCTGAGGGTGGAGATGTGCGGTGGCCTCAAGCACAGGCACCTGGGAGACCTGGGCCAGGACCCACCACTGTCTCCCCAGAGAGCGACTTGCACCGGAGCCCTCCACCCAGGCTTCTTGTGGGTCCCCAGCCCTCTCTGTCCTCGGAGACCACAGGCCCCACTCTGTCCCCTCAGGGTGGCTTCAGGGCCCTTTGTTACCCGAACAATGAGTAACCCGGGTAGTTAGTTATAAACTCCGCAGGAACAAGGAGCTGGTTGATAATTTATAGCAACATCTCAAATTTAAATGGAAAGTAAATAGCATGCTGTTAGCATTAAAGAAAACCCAATCTGGGCAGGCGGGGAGCACTCCAGCCTGCGCTCAGCTTGGGGTGCCTCGCTCTCCCGGCCCCTTCCCTCCACTCCTATGCTCAGCTGGCTTCCCCAGGTCTCCCCATCCTCCCTGGGTCCTCTCCCCGTCTCCCCTGCGCCCTCTCTTTCTCAGCGCCCCCTCTTGCCCTCAGCCTCCAGGCCTCGGCTGGTCCCAGGGAGCACTTTGACCTCTGCTCCCCCCTCAAGTGCCGTGGATCAAGCCTCCCCCACCCACCACCCACCAAAGGACTGCTGAGCAAGAGGCCCCACCCAGCCAGGTAAGAAGGCCCTTGGCACCCCGTCTCCCACTCCTGCCCGAAAGCCCCCATTCCCATGGGGGTCCTGGCAGGTCTGGCCCGGCCCCGGCCCCTGGCCCCAGCCCCAGCCCAGCTGCCCTCCCTGGGCCGGCCCTGCCTGACCCTTCGCCCCTCCCCTGCAGCCCAGCAGGGCCCTTTGCCCTCCACTTCCTGCCAAGTCAGGGGGCTCTCTGCCCCTCTGCCCCCCATCCCGGTCCTCACCACCCGCGGACCCTGAGGCCTCCCAGGCGGGGGGGGGGGGGGGGGCTCCCCCACTCTAAGCTGGGATCAGGACCTTGGACAGGAGGGAAATGGCTCCTGGAGAGTGAGTGTCACGGGACTCTTCCCCAGAACCCTCCTCACCCCGCTGGCCGGCCCCAGGCTGGGGACTGAGAGGACCTGACGGAGGGTGTGAGGTTCCGCTGGGTGGCCTTAATCAAGCTGCTCCCCTTCTCTGGCCTCAGTTTCCTCGTCTGAGAAGCAGACTTTCCCTCCGCCTCCTCCCAGATTCCATCTCGGCGTTAGCCCAGCCTCAGTGCGAGGCCTCAGCACGCCCAGCTCTTAGGATGGGGCTGCGGGCCTTCGGGAAGGGGACGTCCTCACAGCCCCCCCCCCGCCCCCCCCGGCTCCCCCTCCCCCACCCCGCTGGGCGGGAGGTTCATCGGCCCAGGCCTTCCCAGGCCGCCATCCCTACAAGTTAATGATCACAGGCCTTATCAGAGCCTTTCGCCGTTTATAAATTTATAAAACAAAAGAGAAATAATAAAGCCCGTGGGTAATAAGTAACCAAGTTAGCCCTGCTGAGGAGAGGGGAGGCCTCGGCTCAGACCCGCTCGGTGCTCTGGGAGTGGGGAGCCGGCGGTGGGTACGGGCGGGAGGCCTCCGATGGCGCCTGTGGTGAGGCTGGGGCCTGAGGCTGAGCTGGGAGGACAGAGCCCCTGCCCTGAGGCTGCCTCTCCCTCAGGTAAGAGGCCGGGCTGACTGCGGCCTCCCCCCGGCGACCAGGGGCCCCGAAGCCCCGAGCTGCCCTCCCATCGAGCTGGCCGGCTGAGTGCGGCCCGGAGGTCAGGCCTGGGGCATGGACAGAGCTGCGGGGGCTGAGCCCACGGCCCCTATTCTCAGGCCCAAGAGGCCTGTGACCCAGACTCCTGCTCCCCCCTGGACTCCCCTGGGGCGGCTTCCCCAGTCCCGGGCTGACGGCGGCTCCGGGAGGCCTGAGCTCCGGGCCCCATCCCCTTCCCACCCCCGTCCCCTTCCCACCCCGGCTACGGCCTGGGCAGGGCTGTGGGCTGAGGTGGCTCCGGGTTGGGAGCCCCGGGGGCCGGGGGCCGGGGGCCAGGGATGGGGGACGGGGCCGGGGGCCGGGGGCCAGGGATGGGGGACGGGGCCGGGGGCCGGGGGCCAGGGATGGGGGACGGGGCCGGGGGCCGGGGGCCAGGGATGGGGGCCGGGGGCCGGGGATGGGGGCCGGGGGCTGGGGGCTGGGGGCCGGGGCCGGGGCCGGGGGCCGGGGCCGGGCAGGTGGGGAGGGAGGGTGGACGGGGGCCGGGGGCTGGGGGCCGGGGCCGGGGCCAGGGGCCGGGGCCTGGCGCTGGGGAGGGGGGAGGTCTTACTGCAGCAGGCTCTCCACCACGGCCTTCTGGTGAGCCGCCTCCTCGGGGCTGAGGCTCTCCAGCTCCTTGAGGATGGGTGGCGTGAAGGCCTCGCCGTCGTCGTCCGTCTCGTCCTCGGAGCCCCGCGTCTCCCCCAGCCCGTTGGGCAGCGCGGCCAGCTCCCCGCGGCCGCCGGCCTCCGCCTTGCCCAGCGCGCCGTCCCCGGCCAGCAGGTAGGGCCCCGGCTCGCCCAGGGCCTGCAGCAGCGCCTGCTTGCTGAGGCCGGACTCCAGCAGGGCGGCCAGCAGCTCGGCCTGCAGCTGGCTCAGCTTGGCCACCATGGCTCCGCCCGGCCACGCGGCCGGCCTCCCGCGCCCTGGCCCTGGCCGTCCGCCCGCGAGCCGGGCAGGGGCACCGCCGCGCTCCTGGCACCCACGGCCCCCGGACCCCACTCGCCGAGCCCTGCGGGTGCCCCCGGCCCCGGCCCCGGCGCCGTGAAGCAGCCCGGCCCGCTGTTTACATTGGGCCGGGGGAATTCTCCAGGTTCATATTTATCCGAGGCCTCTCGGGGACTGAACTTTGGACTTCACCCTGCAGCGCAGCCCCATGCCGCCCGCCGGGACCGCCGCGGCCGGCGCGGGTGGGGGAGGCGGCGGCCGGGAGCTGGGGGGGAAGCCGGGCCCAGAGGCCTCGCTGAGTGGCATCGCCCCCCCCCCCCAAACCTGGTTGTAGGGGTCAGGCTGAGGCAGGAGCGCAGAGCAGCAGGCTTCTCTTGGAAACAGAAGCAGCAGGAGTGTTAGCAGGTGGGCCAGCTCTCCCCCAAGGCAGGGCAAGGTCACAGCCAGTTTGGACCTACCCCCTCGGCCTGCCCCAGGCCTCCCCGTGGGAAAAGCTGGACTTAAGTCTCTGCGTCTCAGGGCGGGGGCCAGGCTGTCACCCCCGCCATCGCCTCGCTGCAGCCCGGGAGCTGTGAGCGGGCACAGGAGGTACCCCCATTCCACAGAGGGAAACTGAGGCGCAGGGCTCTGGGAGGTAAGTAGTTACGAGGGACGAGACTTTCGGGTGGAACAGGATGAAGACAGTCGGACACTTGACTCAGGCGCATATTTTAAAGGGGAACCAAAAAAGTTCAGTAATCAAGAAAAATAATAGTTTTTTTTTTTACAATGTATTTAAAAGTTGAAATGAATGCAAAACCGAAAAGCACTAAAAGCATGGGTCCACACAACCTGAACGTGAGTGTCCTTAGCAGCACTATTCCCAGGAGCCAAAAGTGGGGAACATGGATCCCATGCACGTGTAAGTGGGTGAGTAAAACGGTCCCTCCATGCAGTGGTATGTCATTGGCCATTGAAAAGGAAGGAAGTGCCTTCACGGTGGCCCTGAAGACGTGGTGTGAGTGAGGGAAGCTGGCAAAAGGCTGCATCTCGTCTGATTCCATTCGTATGACCTGTCCCCACAGGCGGGGGCGGGGACAGGAAACAGGGAGTACGCTTTCCTTGGCGATGATGGAAATGTTCTAACCCAGTGGTCGGCAAACTCATTAGTCAACAGCCGAATATCAACAGGACAATGATTTAAATTTCTTTTGAGAGCCAAATTTCTTAAACTTAAACTCCTTCTAACGCCACTTCTTCAAAATTAGACTCGCCCAGGCCGTGGTGTTTTGTGGAAGAGCCACACTCAAGGGGCCAAAGAGCCGCGTGTGGCTTGTGAGCCGCAGTTTGCCGACCACGGGTCTAAGATTGAATGGATGATAGCGCACAACTCAACTCTAAAGCGGTGAGCTGTATGACACATCACGCAATATGATAAACTTTTAATCAACGCCAAACATCTGCAATGAACAAAAGAGCAACATTTTATTTTATTTATTTTTTAAAATAAATCTTTATTGTTCATATTATTACAAAAGTTCCTCATATTTCCCCCCCTCCACCAGGTTCCCACCCCACCCTCTGCCCTTTCCCCACCCCCCACTGTCCTCATCCACAGGTGCACAGTTTATGTTCAGTCTCTTCCCGCACCCCCCTCCCCTCCTCCGGGGAAGCCCAGGCGGAACCTGCAGGTGTCCGGGGGCCTGAGGCCAGACGGGCCCTTTGCTGCCTGGCCTCGGAGGGGGGAGAAGGTGCCATTGGCCCTGCCACCAGGCGAGGTCAGAGGTCGGGGGGGGGTTAAAGGTGATGCTAGAGCTCTCTCCCTCAGTCTGGCCGCTCGCACAGCTGGTGCCCCTGTCACCCACCTGCCACGCTGGACAGCTGCGCTGCCCACCCAGGAGCACGGCCACGTGAGGCCACTGAGCCTGGGAATGTGGCTGAACCGCTGGCTGACACGGTGACAGTTTGGCTCTATTGGGGGAATTTTACATTTTAAACCATTTTAACATCACACACGAGAAAGGTGAATGTCACCTGTTTCTTTCTCCTCCTGGCAGTTTACTTTACACTCTTTACCCCGAAAGATTTAAAGTCACACAGGTGGCTCCCAGCACCTCTAGGGGACAGCGCGCTGGCGATTCAGGCGTCCTGTTGTGGTCACGGCCGCCCTCTGCCAGAGGCGGCGGCCGGGCAGGGCTCATCTGTCCTGCGCACGGGCCCTCCCAGGGCCCGGAAGAGGCCTCACTCACATGGCAGGTGCCCTGACCAGTGTGGCTCAGTGGATAGAGCATCGGCCTGGGGACTGAGGGGTCCCAGGTTCGATTTCGGTCAAGGGCATGTACCTTGGATGCATACATACCCAGTGGAGAGTGTGCAGGAGGCAGCTGATGGATGTTTCTCTCTAAACCTCTCCCTTCCTCTCTGTAAAAAATCAATAAAATACATTTAAAAAAAATAAATGCTTGTTGGGTGACTTACAACGTCGTCCTGTGTGCCCACCTGTCGCTGTGCGCTAAGCCTTCGCCTCTCAGGCCGTTAGGGAGTCGGTGCTGTGATTCTCCCCGTCTGCGGAGGGGAGAGCAGGCTCAGAGGCCCGAGTGGCTGCTCACTCCCCGCCCCCCCAGTCTGACGGGGCAACGATGGAGGAGGGGAGGGCCCCGTCTGCCCTCCACTGCCTTCTCCCCGCGGTGCAGCAGCTTTGGGGGCAGACAGCTCGCTCCCAGGACAGCTGCTCAGGCCCGGCAGGGCGGGTGGTGTGTGCCATCCCTTCCTGGTCCCTGGGTCCCCGGCTCGGCGGCTCCTGCCCGGAGGCTGCCCTCGGCCCTTCCCCTCGGGGGTGGGAAGGGTGGGCCAGAGACTCCTGCAGCCGGGCGGCCGGCCCTGCGGGGACGGACCGGAGGCGGTTTGGCTGAGGGGCGGCCCTGCGGGGAGAGCCTCTGGGAGCCGGAGCGGGAGGGACACACAGGCTCGGTCTGGCCTGGTCCGGCCCGCGCAGAACGGGAACCTCAGGAGCCCGCCCGCTTCCCTGCACGTGTCGAGCACAAACACCAGAGGGCCGCTCCAGCCGCCGCCTGCCCGTCCCTCGGTCGGGCCGAATCCGAGTGGACCGGGGTGTGTGTGTGTGTGTGTGTGTGTGTGTGTGTGTGTGTGTGGCAGTTGCCTTTGGGAAGCACACAGACCAGCTGGAACAGTTTGAATTTCATTGCCCCCCCTCTCCCCCCACCTCCGGGGACACTGGGTGGACTCGGGTATGAGAGTTAATCTTTGTTGACTCACCTGTAAAACAGAGGAGGGACCTCCTGGACTTGCTTAGGACAACTTGACGTTGTAAAGAGCATCCTGCAGAGACCCAGGCTTTCTGGCTCAAGGTGACTTCCATGACTCAGTTTTTTCAGCTGCCGGCAGCAAGCATCTCCTTTCACACACACACACACACAAATAAAACACCTGCCGAAACCCGTGTGGCCAGTGGATAGAGCGTCAGTCTGCGGACTGAGGGATCCCAGGTTCGATCCCGGTCAAGGGCATGTACACTGGTTGTGGGCACATCCCCGGTGGGGGGGGTGGGTGCGGGAGGCGGCTGGTCGATGTTACTCTCTCATCGATGTTTCTAACTCTCTATCCCTCTCTCTTCCTCTCTGTAAAAAAAAATCAATAAAATATATTTTAAAAATATAAAACACCTAACAGTTATATTTAGTAAATAGTTAGGTCAAAACAACTAATAAATATGTGTGGCCTAACAACTTAGTAGCTGCATGAAAAATGCACTTAGATTGAAAGGAAAAATAATATTTTAGTTCCCTTTTTTAGTTGATTTTAGAGAAAGAGAGGGAGTAGAATGGAGGGAGGGAGAGAGGGAGAGAGAGAGAGAGAGAGAGGAGGGAAACATCTATTTGCTGTCCACTTGTTGATGCATTCATTGGTTGCTTTTTGTATGTGCCCTGACCCGGGACTGAACTCACAACCTTGGCGTCTCGGGACCAGCTGAGCTGCCCAGCCAGGGAGTTCCTTCTTAAAAATCATAAATACTAATGGGATGAGTAGGCGCTAGGCAGCTGCTCAGACCTTGGAATTCGATTGGGCGTCACCACCTTGTTTACTGTCCACACTAGTTTTGCATGATACTTGGTTTTTATCAGAACTGCCATAGCCCAGTTTCACAAAGTTGTGACATCATTCTACAGAAGCCACTGCGCCTGACATTCAGACTGCAAACTACGGGCCTTGAGCTGACAGTTTCCAACCTGGCCGACAGGTGTCGCTGCGTTCCTTCCAAAACCCTCCCTGCCAGGCCGTCACGGCTCAGGGCTCAGCGGCTGAGCGTTGGTTGACTATGAACCATGAAGTCACGGTTCAATTCCCAGTCAGGGCACAAGCCCGGATTGCGGGCTCGATCTGCAGACTGGGAGTCAATCAGGAGGCAGTTGAGATCATGCTTCCCAACAATTGTCATCAGTTTAGCGCAAATAAAAATTAGTTTGAAACAAAGATTTTCTAAATCGATTTGAGAGAGGGAGGCGGGGAGATAGCGATTTGTTGTTCAACTCATCCCTGCATTCATTGGTTGCTTCTTGGGTGTGCCCTGACATCCAAGATTCTCTATTATCATTGATGTTTCTCTCTCTCCCTTCCTCTCTGAATTCAATTAAAAATAAAAATAGCCCTAACTGGTTTGGCTCAGTGGCTAGAGCATTAGCCTGTGGACTGAAGGGTCCCTGGTTCATTTCCAGTCAAAGGCATGTGCCTGGGTTGCAGGCTCAGTCCCCAGTGGAGGGCATGCAAGAGGCAGCCAATCATTGATTCTCTCTCATCATTGATGTTTCTATGCCAAACCTGTAAGGAATTTTTATAAGAATTCTTTTGGACCTTGTTAGATAGCTCAGTTGGCTAGAGCAGTGGTCGGCAAACTCATTAGTCAACAGAACCAAATATCAACAGTACAACGATTGACATTTCTTTTG